TTAAAGATGATAATACAATGTCGCTTAAATAAATACATCATGGACATTCCCTCCATCCACAGTGTCTCGTCTTCTGAGCTGAAAACACCGTCCCCGAGTCGAAGCAGACGATCCGGGGACCGCAAGGCAGCCGACTCATTGCCAGACACCCTCAGCCTCTCACACAGCGAGCACAGCTGTGGACAGATTGATCGGGGATGGCGAGCAGATCGCCTTCACGTCGATATGCGGGCGTCTTCGCAGGGATGGAGTTCAAATGCCGGTCCCCTTCCCTCCCCTTCCCTCCCTCCCTCCCCCTCCTCTCCCAACCTCCCTACCCCTCCCTCCCCCTCCCTCCCCTGCTGCACAGGTGGTGATGTGTTTTTTTTTATTCTTTAAATCGATTCCTTCCGAAGCAAAATCATATCTTAAGTTTTTTCAGAGAGGGGGAAGGGTGTGGGGTGGAGACACAATATCCGTTTGATCAGAAACATTTTCCCATTTCAAATGAACGGCAGTTTTTTTTTAGTGGGTTTCGAGATGGTATCAAGTGCCAAATGTCCATACATCTTTGCATCAAGCTGTGTGCGTACTTGCTTGTCTGGTGTAAAAATTGGAATTGGCAGGCAGATGGGTGGTTTGGTGATAAATTCCTCTTATCAAAGGCCTGCACCGCCGACGTATGTGTGGCGCTGGCTTTCATGATGGCCCACACAGCAACAAGCGACGCGAAATTGCAATTCCAATGCACTATCCCATGGACGAATTCAACATGCAACGGGCTTGAAGATGATATTTCATACGCGGATATAATTGTCCAGCAAATAAACTTGCACACAGCTGATCCCGTATGTGCATTATCACCATAATCATGACATCCTGCCCTCTCGTTCAACCTCTTCTGCACCTACTATCTTGAATAACCTTTTCACGAACATCTGTGCATCCTCATTCTCTATTGCAAATGAGACGTATTAGAGTATCAACGTGTTTTAAATCATTACCTACAATATCCTGGTGTCCATCGCCATTAACATCGTTTGAATATTGCATCTAAATCTCCTTGCTTCTTAGCAGCCGAATAGTTGTCATCATTCACTCCACCACCAAGAGGGAACTGTACTTGTGCATGATGGCACCGTGCACGATTTAAATAATCTGTTCGTCCCGCAAATCTTCACGATCATCGTGCGACACGGCGGCAGGGGCAGCCTATTCGGCGTCGTGCCCGCGCGGCATCCCTAATCGCCTGTGTGTGTTGTATAACACAGCTCTGCATGCAGTTATGAGCTACCCGTCGGAGGCCGTTGGACTGCGAGAGGGGCTGCGTGCAGAACGAGAGAGAGCGAGAGAGTGAGCGAGAGAGTGACCGAGAGAGTGACCGAGAGAGAGAGCGAGAGAGAGAGCGAGAGAGAGAGCGAGAGAGAGAGCGAGAGAGTGAGCGAGAGAGTGACAGAGAGAGTGAGTGAGAGAGTGACCGAGAGAGTGACCGAGAGAGAGAGCGAGAGAGTGAGCGAGAGAGTGAGCGAGAGAGTGAGCGAGAGAGTGACCGAGAGAGTGAGCGAGAGAGTGAGCGAGAGGTGGGGGTTTACATAAAGCAAAGTTATAAAAAAAAATACGAAATGATGAACGAAGCAGAGTGCCGACTACACCGAGCATCTTCTTGTTTCCACTGATCGCAAAAAAAAGACGCCACGCGAAGATGAACGTGCCCGCATGGAGCGCCACACACTGCACGTAAGGGAGCCTATCGCTGGCACTCCATTCGCATCGACCGCAAGCAAGATCATAGCCACAGTGTCCGTGGTGGTAACATCCGCGGCTTTGCCGCCGGGGCCAGGAAACACATGTCACGGTGGCGCACACAGTGCAACGCCGGTATTTTGGAGGCAAGGTTGGTGGATCATGCAGATGTTGTCATAAATACTCTAAACGTGCACACCAGTAGATGGCATTTTCGTCAAATTGGCTGATGCCCTATCTGTAATATTTGTGGGTTTTTTTGCATGCGTAATCAATGTCCAGTTACTCAAATTGCTTCTCACGTAACATAGTCGGAAGGAATTATTTTAAAAAAATCCCTAACGTAAACCCTCCTAAAAAAAATAGCTCGTGACTTTCCTGGATTAAAAAACAAAATCATTAATTTTGATTTGAACATTGGCTAAATATAAATGGCAGCCAGTTCCCAGCCAGACTGTAGCGGGTTAAAGCAACCATCAGTGATGCTGCAAGACAAAAACAAATGCCCTTTTGATGCTGCAATGGCACGACTTTCAATTATTCGTACGCCAGCGACAGAGCGGGTAACCGTGTCCCGTCCAATGGCAGGAATCCAGTGCAGCCGCGTCTGGCTCATTACTCTTCCCATTGTGTGTGAACTCGCCTGCCCACGGCGCTGTACATATACAGCAATGAACCACTGGCGCACACCACCTAAGAGACATGCAATTAATAATCACACTTATTTTCACAGTTTTCCGTTTAAGGTCACAATGTATTTCAAAGACGGTCACTGCATCGCGCGCGCTTTCAGATGCCTTTCTGCGGCCGTCTGGAACGCTCTTCCGTCCGATGTTAGGAAGCCACTGGAGCTATGCACTTTTACATTTAGAGTGCAAATTCACGTCTTTAACACTGCGTTTTGTGATTAGTTTGTTGTCCTTCCACGGCACCTCCGATTAGCACGGTTGGCTACGTACGGTGCGAAAGAAGTTCAGCATATGCACATACAATCGCCGTGTGTATTGTTTCATTTTAAAGCCACGGGCGAACGGGCTAACTGCTCATCACCATAATTATCGTCGCCGCTACAAAAGCCCCGAGTTAGTGATGAGGCCACGCTCCGGCACACGCACACCACCCATTGCCGTGGAGAGATGCACACGGGGAGAATGTGCCGGCACCGCCGTCTAGATGCGAGGCCATGTCCGTGTCCGCTCAAAAATTACACGCGGGGAAAAAAACACACACACACACGCGTGTCCGTCCGGGCATGCGATGCTGAGTCGGGAGAATTAAAAGCCACGGGTGTGGTAGCCTCGATCTGGTTCCGATTGCCGTGTGGATGATTTGTGGCGATGTCGCCAGAGCCGAGTGCGTCTGAGTCTTCTCTTTGCCATCGCGATGTTTGTCGCGCGGCGCTTGAGCACAACCACCACCACCACCAGCACCATCCTGTTCCGCTTGCAGGGCCACCGCTTTCACGATCGCCGATTGAATATCTGTGTGGACAAGTGGATGCTGCTGGAAGGTGGTCAGGTGTACATGCGTGTGTATGAATTCATTGTTCTTCATTTAAAAAAAATGTGAGCAATGCTTCGGTGTGAAAAAATATTAACATGGTAATATTTTGCATTGCAACACTTTCTCAGTTTATGGACAGTAATAATTAGACGACTACTTACATTTTTGTTTACATTCGTCAAGGGAATGTGTGTACATTTCCTTCATATTCACTGGTATGCAGTGTGACTACAGATTCCTACAATTTGAAATGTTCAAAACAAATGCAAATGTGGAAATAACCACATGAACGGTATACTGTACTCGAGCTTACACAGAGTATACATAGAGTCAACTTGTAAGCAAACCTCATCAAATAGCGTTTTTGACGCGAGAGATAATGCCACTACATTTGTAAAGTTTCCGTGAGTACACGGATTGCACGCGCTCTGTGTGTGTAAAATAATGCAGCAGAGTTGTATGCAAGCGCACTATTTAGTGGCATTACAGATTAATAAAATCAGGCACACAAATATTGAAGATTCGCCTATACCGTCATATTTTATTTATCTCTTCATGTCATTTGTCCAGTCCTGCATTGCGATAATATTGGGGTGAGCACACACATCCACGTAAATTACCTGCATAAACAAACGTTTATTCATCCGTGAACTTAGAAAATAATACCGTTAGTTTTCAGGAAGACTCAGTTTATTATTATCGCTTGCATTTTCAATTCATGGCAAAAATTATTTATGAAGAGGAGTCATAAACATAATTATAAACTGTAGAAACAGTGTCTTATTCATCATGCGTTGGCCTCATCTAATAAACACACACCATTGTTAGATGCTAATAATGTAACACGGTGATTCTGCGCACTTTTAATACTTATTTTAAACAAGGAATATTAACTACCCTTATAAATATGCATGATTATTACAGCAACTCCGAAACTTCGGAAGCTCTCAGCATAAAAAGGTCACAGGACGCCGCTTGCCTTGTACTGAGCGCCACACTGGAACACAGCACTTGGCAAAAGAAAAACAACGTCATAACGTGCACGTGTTTGATGTTCATGCTCTTGGTGTTAGGCTCTCCGTAAAAACTAATTATATGTAATAATACATGTAAATATAATAATGTTTAACGCATAATGTTTAACACAAATCTGGCTGTCGCCTGATGAAGCTAGTTGTAATTACTGGCGAAACGTCGTACTCAAGATTGTAAATGTTGTGGCTTGGCTCTCCAACACACAAGCGGTGTGCTGTACTAGTGACGATTTGGCGCGTTCTGTTTACGTGACAACCCTTACTAGTTGGCTGTGTCGGGTGGTGGCGGGTTTAACGACACATTAATATGTTTATGCCATCTAACCCAAAAAAACCTCTATTATGGAAAATGTAAGAATATATAAATATATATAATACATCAAATGTATATAACGTCATTCATGCTAATAGCATCCCATAACGCTATGCATTAATCATATTTAAGAACAATATTCCATATAAAACCATATTACTACTACTAGAAATGAATAAACAAATTAAGAAATGTCACCAAAACAAAAAACCACAAACTACAATCCACATGCATCCCCATGTGTGTTCGCTCAGAGCGACCGCATGCACAGTTCACTTTGACAATGCCAGTGTCTGCGGTGGTGTTGCATTCGAAACCAATGCAGGAGGAGCGGTGGTGGAGCGGTTAGCGCGCTGCGCTACGAACCTGGCGACCCGAGTTAGATTCCCACTATTGGCCAACACCAGCGACGATTATCTGAACCGGTCCTGGGCCTCCCCTAGGTCGAGTCAGCCTCAAATGAGTACCTGGAGCGGTGTGTAACCATCGCCACTGGGGAGACAAAGGCGGTCGGGCGTGGTGCTGGTCACCCACCCGCTCGTGTGCCGTGCCGGCCTTCATAGGTGCTCGCTAACAGCACTTGCCCCAACAGGATGTTAACGCTACACGGGGGATCTTTGTCTTTGATGTTGGATTTGAAACCGATGCTCTGAGGATAGCAAGAATGACTCCATGTGCAGCAGGGCGTTGTCATGCGCCACGTGTCTGTCGATATGCCACAACTCCCCAATTGAATGCTCCCATTGAAAACAACGCAAAGTGCTTTCACAGTGGACCGAGCCCCATTTTATTTCAAACACAAATAACAATTTGAGAAGAGAACTACGCTAAAACGTAAGTCACCGTATGAAATAATAATCATAACGAACTAATTAAAAAAGGTTCAATCGACAGCCACAAGGGCACGCCGCTCAAAGCCGCCGTTTAATAAACTACAGACGGCCGTTTCTCAAACATAATGGGCACGCGACAACAATGTGGAGTTCTCCCGGCAATGTACAGGCTGTGCAGTCTAACATGCATTACAATAACTTCGCACCACTGCGTAGGCTGCAGCAGCAGCGGCAGCAGCGGCAGTTGCCACACCTGGGACATGCATCAGCAGCCTGCTCGCACGGAGTTATCCGCGCGGCACTGCACTTCACTCGTTCCTAAGCTGGATACACTTCGACGTTCTGGCCGACTTGACACCCGGGGAGTCCTCACCAGGCAGCGGCTGGATGTGAACCTGGGTCAATAGAATCGGGAGTGCAGTCACTGTAAGCAAAAGACAAAAGATTCCCCCGAATAGCCTCAACAAACTGTTGGGGAAAGTGCTGTTAGCGAGCACCATGAAGACCGGAACGGTACGCATGGGGGTGGGTGGCCTCCACCACAGTGGCGATGTTACACACCGGCACCAGGTACTCATTTGAGGCCTAGTCGACCTAGGGGAGGCCCAGGAGCAGTTAAGATAATCGTCACTGACGTTGGCCGTGGGCGAGATTCGAACTCGGGTCACCGGGTTCGTCGCGCAGGGCGATGACCACAACACGAGCGCTCGCCACACTCCCCGCACAGCAAACGAGACCCTACCACGGCAACCAGACAAATAACACGACTCATTCACGGAACACATTTATCTTGTGGGTTTTTTTTTATCTTTAAGTTTATCACAGCTGTTTTCTCATTACCCCATGTACTGGACGAGTGAAGGGTTGGATTGTTAATTGTTCCACTCTGTTTCTGGTGTCCTCTTGCTGGCTTCACCCACAGACATTGAATGCAGCACACTAAGAACAGCAGCAGCAGCACCGCACGGGGGCATGACTCTTGAGGCATATCCGTGTTGTGCAGGGGCTGGGGATCAAACCAAAGCGGATCAGGATCAAAGTCTCGCGAATAGCCTACAAAGTTGAAACACTGATCACCACATACGAATGTGTTTTTTTGCCTCATGCCAAAAGGGGCTTTCCGAAGCATTCTACTGAATTTTAATCCAAGGCAGTGGCAGCATACGTCCCCATCATCACCGATTTATGATGATTTTCGGCCTGACGTTACTCTGCATGCGATACATGGATATCTGCATCGTTACAGATACCTGTGCATGCCGCACATGAAAGAACGGATTACGTCTACATTCGTTTAAGGAAAAACACTTTTCACACCAGATAAGGATGAAAGTGATTCTGTTCGCATCATATAAACGCACAAGCCTGCGTATAATAAATGTATTCGCTGAACGTTAAATATATTTGGTTGCACTGCAGTTACGGTTGCAAAAGTTTGCAGGGCGGTTGTATTTGCAACCATAAATTGTTTTTAATGGCAACCCTTGCAAATGCAATCACAGATATCTAATCGCTGGAACCGCGCAGCAGCAATGAGGTGCAAGTTTAGCTGATCGAATCCTGTGAGACCACAATGAAGACGTCTTGCAGGCAGCTCCTGCTGGTGCATGTCAACAGCTAAAACAAAACCTCTCGTTTTGACATCATTTGGGCCAAGTGGTCATTTTCATTCAGGCGTCACAAACGGAGACCGCTCGGTGCTGTGGAATCATTGGGACTGAAACTCGGGCTTGGTGACAACATCTGGATTACAACACCACCGCTCCGAACAGAACGATTGCAAAAGCGTTCCACTACGCACGCATTGCCGTTTCAATTGCCCATTGGTGCACGTGCTGCTGCATTTACAATGAGCTCCCGGCACTCGGTAACATGGAATTGAGCAGCATTGTGAATATAAGTGCACGTGCGTACATCACATTGAGTGAATGTACACACATGTAACTTTTCAAACTCTCGTGCATTTTGCATTCATTACGTTGTTCAAGCGAATAGTTGTATTCGTCTAGCACACAGAGCGAAACGCGGTTCATTCATTCCATTGAACCTTTCATTATTTTGTTGTTGTACAATACGCTCTCTCCATAAACTGCAACAGCAACAACGTCTCGTTGCTTGGTTCGGCAAGGTGCAGAACATGGAAAGTATCGATGATAGCAGCCACCGATGTGGGTCACAGAGTCTGCGGATACAATAATCACCCAAGTTAAACTAAGAGAGCCATTTGCTTGACTGCGTTACACCACCGTCTCTACTCGGGCTGCGTCGGGGTGCACCACGGCTCATTCGGCTGGCCCGCCACCAATCACAAGCACAGATATAATCGCGTTTTCACAAGGAACCAATCAATAAGTGTTTGCACTGCTTGCACGACGTTTGCCACTGAGCGGGTCTGTCCAAACCCTGTTAATACAATTATCCAGACAGCAATATCTGCAAGATTAAACTGCTGCTGGTGGGCGTCCACAAGAATGGCAGAGGTCAAGTTGACGTGACCTAAATAATCAATTTTCTATCATGGTCATCGACTCCGAACAACCCAATAATAGACTTTAATCATTGTAAATAGTGATCTGTGCCATACTGAAATACCCTTCAAGAAAAGTGGATTCACATTGGCAGCCTACTCGGACTCAAACTCAAGTCTGCAGAAGATTAATCTGTAAATTCACTGTTGAATCGTTGTGACACTGTTGGTATAACCAAAAGCAGACCTGCATTATGCAATGTTCATATAGCCAAAGCAACAGATATGAACTCAGCACATTTTCCGCTATAGCTTTGTTCATGCCACCGTGTATGAAGCCATCTAAAATGAGTACTGTTGTATGCATTCTCATCGCTCTCGAGAGCTACTATCAGCGACAAAATTGGACCTTTTTGCCAGTATCAAAGTATGAAAAAATTATAGGTTGCCAAAAAGGGTAAAACTTATTCTTATTTTTTCATACTCCCAGCTGTTATCCATCCCACGTTTTATCAGTCATATTGCACCGTGCAGTATCTGCAAGACCGCACGATTTGTTAAACCATTACGGACAAGCACACACGGCGTGTATGTGCTAATTAATTGTAGACCTGTAATCAGGCGACGCATGTGAGAATTCATGGGTGTGGCAAATAACACAAGCTGCACATCAGAGTTAATAAAAAATCAAAATCGCACCACTGCACATCGATCAACAATTCGTAAATTTAAAAAAATGTTCACTTGTGAATGACCACAGAAATGTCAATGGTGCAACTCTTGTCAAGAAAAAAACGGAATAACAGGGGGACGTGCTCACAGTGTGCCTCCGCACCCTTGACTACACAAATGAAAAATCCACAAGCCACGTGAATAACTGGACAACTATAAACAATTTATTTCACCAGGTAAGGCCCACTGAGCTATATAGCTCTGTTTCAGAAGCGACCTGTCTACAGATGCCAGCTCAACGAAGTGGCTTTACATGCAGACACATTTATAGCAGCGGCCAAATACTCTCAACGCGTGCTATATACCTCCTGTATACCGGGCGAGGTAGTTAACATCTCGCCACCTTGGTGACACTCCACTGCACCCTCAGCCCACGATTAACGACGTGGGCAAGTCTGGGATGCTTAAGGTGAATCGTTCAACTTGAGCAAGACTTGACAAGGGGTCAGACAAAGAGAAGCGATGACGTGAAGAGCAATGCGCACGCGAGCGGTTTGGCTGTGAAACTGGAACATTGCCAGAGCCCGGCACCAGCAGTGCCAGAATGGACTGCAGCACTTGCTCGCTCTGTCCGTCAACTCCGATGGTACGAGCCTACTGGTAATGAAGCTCGGTTGGGTAAGCACACCGCAACACACCAGGAATCCTCTACATGTACAGGGGTCCCCAACCCCCCGGTCCGTGGCCTGTTAGGAACCGGGCCGCACATCAGGAGGTGAGAGCGGTGAGTCCGCGCGTGTTCCGCCCCCATTGTTTTATTATTGACCACTTCCATCCGCGCCTCTTTCCCGCACTGCGCACTCGTCACAGTCACAGTTGTGGCTAGCCCACAAGCCCTAACCCCTGGCCAACATGAGTAAAAAAACAAACGTCGCTGGAGAGCTTCTTTGAAAAGGGGGAAAGACCCAATGAAAGACCCAATGAAAAAAATTATCTTCCTCGAAACCAGTCCCTGGTGCCAAAAAGGTTGGGGACCGCTGCTCTACAAGGACCGAATTTATCCACTTTCTAATGCAAGATAAAAGTCTCCATTTAGCAAGAAAAAAAAATCTACCATTACGAATAATTAAAATCTTGACAAATGGGAGTTTCTGCCTATTTTTGTATACAAAAAGGTCACCCTTCGAGGGTGTCTTGTCAACTACACTCTACATGGCCTCTCACAGAAATAAAGGTCACCACATTATCAGATTTAAATAAGACTAACGTTTTACTCTCTGCGGTGACAGAGTGATGCAATCAGGTGATGTAAGGAGCCGGATAAGTTGTTGCATCACGACACAAGTGACGGATGACGACTTGGGGAGGCATTCATCCAGCAGTGGACAGCTCATGGCTGACGATTATTTTTTTTTACTTCTACACAACCACCCAATATAATTGGTTCTCGCTTTTAAGGGGGCAATTATAGGAATCGTACACTTTAATGCCAACTGTTTTCAGCACACGACATGGAGGTATGTGAGGACATACTGAAACATTGAAAGATTGGGAGTTGAGAGACATCAAAAATCATCTATTGTCCTTTGAGCTGGAGTTCATCGAGTTGTGCTGTCAGCGTCGAGAGTATTCAGGAAGTGGGAAAGCAAAGACACTGACTCTCATCACTGACGAGCATAAAAAAATATTATATAGGGCTTGAGAGGCGTTCATTATTGTCTTAATTGTAGGGGTGTGAAGTCGCATCAATTAATATATTCATCTTTATTACGTCTCAATGAAAGCATTGTATCATGTACAATGCTTTCATTGAGACGTAATCTTTATCAATTGCGGTGAAAGCCAGGAGGCGCTGGCTTTCACCGCAATTGTGCGTGAAAAAAATAGCGAATCGAATTTGCAACCCTGACTGAAGTTAAGTCATCACATTGCAAGGAGTGTGAATTAAATACCGGGAAAACGAAATTTCATTATTTACAAAAACGGAGATTACATGATTGTGAAAATCCATAAATATTTTTTAAAATTAGGACACTTCAGAAATCCACAAACAATGAAGAGGCCACCGATTTCTTTTTCATGCCGACAACAAATGCCAATACATGGCTAACCTCACATTTTGTTCTCCCTGTCCTGGACTAGATGACATTCTCACATAAATCATAGAAACTCCTTGGAGGGGAGGAGAGTGCGGTGATGCGAGCAGACGGAGCACACAAGGACCCCAAAGCAAACATTCCAAAATAGAAAAATGATGGCAGCTGTTCGTCACTGCAGCTGTCTGCAAAATCCGGAACAAGAAAATGATTGGTACGTGCCGCAAAAGAAGTACCAACTCCTCTAAGCGAAAACGGGAGTTGGGGAGACAGATGTAGGAGGACAGCGTCTGCAGATAGAAGCAGCAGGCAGAACGGACAATGGGATCAGCATTACTAAGATTGTGGATCGGCAGGCAAGATGACATCAGCGAATATCATCCAGTAAACAATCAAGAATAGTGCTCAGACAACATTGTGCTGAGTGGCCCATGACGAAGCAGGCATGCCGATTTATTCGTAAATTGTGGAAAAATGGTTCATCGGTAAAGATTACACAGAAATGCAAACTGAAACGTCGTAGTCATCTTCATCGTCAGCCAAGGTCTCTCCACTGTTGGATGAAGACATTTCTGGAGAGGGATGATGGCCAATAGACATGATTGCTTATTTATTCGTCGGCAAAGGCAAACACCTGAAGGGGCGTCCATTGCAAAAATGGAGCGATGCAATCAGCTCTTGTTCAGGTGCTTGATGAATCGTTGCAATCGCAAGACCACGAGAGATGATGGCGTTTGGGAGGGCCTTGATCCAGCAGTAGAGAGATAACAGCTGACAATGATTACAGATTGAACACATATATACAGATCCGCCAAAACCTTAAAATAAGTTGTGTCCACCATGTGAAAGTCATATATAGACTAAATTATATAAAGAACAAACAATGGGGTCGTTTCTTCAAGCCAGGTTGGATCAGGGTGCATGTGGCATGTCACCTACCCTGAACAACGAACCCCTTGGTGGAAATGTATCAAGAAGTTCCTTTTCATTCAGAGAAAATACCATTTTTGAAGAAACATCAACATAAAACCAAATTGCCAACACTATTCTAGCACATACTTCTACATATCATTTTAACACCCCTATTTCTACAAGAGTCTGAAAAAGCGCACACATATACATTTGTACAGCTTAATCATAGGAGGAAACAATGAACTCAAATGTATATTCTATATATTTTTCAGCTTATTTCAATGCTAGGTATTGCTTTACAGAGATGTGCAGGCCTTATAATTACATTTGAACACGCAATGCCTTGAATCAAAAGGCCACAAAATAAAACTTAACAGTAATGAAATCTGTAAATTACAAGAAAACCCATCAGAACCGATTGTGGGGGCATCCCACATGCATTGTTCCCAGAGGCAGACTTTGCAGCAGTGAACATTGGTGACGATACTGTCGTGCTGATGAGTTCTAACAATGATGATCCCTGTATAAAGATCTCTATCACTGCTGCTGCTGCCAGTTGGTCAAATTTGCTCACATTTTATTTGGTGCTCGAAGACAAACAGGAGAATCACAATGCATTTCTACAGGAAATGCTGATGTGATTCTTACATTTGCACAAACGGCTGTGTACTTCTTACGTATTATTGTGTAAGTCAAAGTGAGCCCACTGCGCTATATGGTTCATAGCTTCGTGTCAGAATTGCAAGAGCTTGATCATGCATATCCTCTACGTGCACAACGCTATACTGAGGATCATTATCTTGGCTTTGAACCCTTGCAGAAGAAGACTGTGGGTGATACACTATGTGTACCAGATCCTCTTAAATGTACTTCGAGTGCATGTGACTTAGTAGGGATTATATAGACAAAGGAATTCTTCCCTAAGCTGGTGGGCAGCCTTTAATTATTCCAGACAAAATGCAAATACATCAATACGACACAACAAAATGTTGCCGATCATACAGAATCCTGTTCAAATGGTGGTGTGTGACCTTTTGAACACACACTTAATTTCGAAAGAACATGGCCCTCCGTCGCCTGGTCATGATATTGTCCCCTTCTCCAACTTGAACGATCCAAAGGGCTTTCATGGCTTAGGTCAAGATGAGCTCCGTGTATTTATACGGCTCATATGATCGTGGCCATAAAAATGCAGTTATGCCTCAATGCCAGCCTCGTCAATTCCTTTCCACTCGGTCATCGAGAACGAGAACTACACAACAAAGAGTGGCGGTGCTGCACTTGCGCCATTAAAATAAGTCGTCATTTACGGGAGGAACAACATTTATTTGGAATTGAAAACGTCAGCATGTTCGATTCATCTACCAAATAGCAATCTTTGGTACACATAGCTGACAATGTTGATGATAAAGAGAATGGATTCGCTTTTTTCCCAATTATGAAGGGCTACCGTCAGTTACACTGGTGTCAGTGCAGCGCATTCGCTGTAAGCATCCAACCACTGCACGACAGCCACGTGAGGTGCTGCAGGGTCTGTAATGCCGCCACGGAGGAGACACAGGGATTAGAGGCTGGCGGGGAGGTTGTCGGTTTAAACCACTGACGCACATCGACGGTGAATGCTTCGCAGAGAATTCCTGTCACTTAAAAAAATCATGTTCCTGGACGTGATGGTCTCGGACACACACTTTCAATGTTGAAACGTGGACATTTTTTCGCGAATTTTAATTGTTTCGTAGCACGTTTGGATAGCACATTCTCATGCATGCAGGTTGAGACATCGTGTGGACAATTTCACCCCATCATAGTTCATGTTGCCTCTAGGAGGGATTTCGTTGATAAGGAGGGGTAATTGTCAGTGTATCGACGCTGCCATTGTAACCAACGCATTCGTCTGGTTAATGGAACGGCATTCACATTACACACAATTACATGTGATAGCAGTGAAACTTGAAGCCATTTTCCATAAACTATCACCATTAATTTGTATTTCCATAATCCAAACACTGGAAAAGCTGTCAACTTCCATGAATGTTATGCTGTTCAGTAGGGAAGCATACTTTTTAGAGGATATTAAATGTCAAAAAAATCGGGAAGAAAGAGAGAAATGTCAATAAAGTATTAATGCTACACAAAGCTTCGTTGTGCCAAGCAATCTTGATATCGCGGTTGTCCTAAAAAAAGGTGTACCCGGCATTGTATTGAACCACGTGAGGAGTAGGGGGAGGCTCAGGAAATGGTTGCAAACTCCTTGAGGAGAATCTCTTGGCTGAGGGTGTAGAGGGACAGGTTCTTGCGCACGTCCGTACTGATGGATCGCACCTGGGGCAACACGCACACACGCGCGCGGGTGAGAATTTCACGTTGGGTGCACACAAATCAACACACGTCCCCTGTATAACCTCACAGAGTGTTGCGGCAAAAGCGCTTTTAGCGATAACCGATGAAGTTACGCCAAGTGCACGAGAGCAAGGAGTGGCCAACACTTCGCCTTTGCGTTCTCGAGTGCTGATATTTATAAACACTCTACCAGGGTACTCATTTTAGGCCGAGTCAACCTATGGTGGGCCTCGGACAAGTTCTTGCATCGCTTGATACTTTTGTTATCTGCGGCTGCGACTCAAAATACTGGTCACTGGATTCAGAGAGCAGTGCACCAGCCACTGCTTTCCACACGCAGGCTCATGCATGCTTAGACACAAGATAAAGTGCGATTTTTTAAGTGTCTTCATAGGGAGCTGAACTGTCAGCACGAATCTACATTAAACTGGTACAGTACTACACCTTCAGGTAGAGCCAACATCACACACTCTGGACTATATTTGTCTGCCCAGTGAGGATGCGGACACATTTTACCCAGCAGTCATTTTAATCTAGGCCAACCTGAAGGACCAAGGCATGACCACGTACCAATTGTGCATCTTGGCCAGGATGCAAGATCATAGTGCAGTGCAATAGCAATTATGCTCTGCTCTGCCGTATACAATTGCAAGACTAATTTCTTAAATTCAGTTTTCAAATCATGTAAAAACTGAAATCTCACCAGCGAAATATAAAACATTTGAGATTTTCACATTGCGTTGTTGAAATAGCAAAAATACTAATTGACATGTTAATGAAGTCGATATTTTAAGAATTCAAATAGAGTTTTACATGTCCTTTTTTGAAGTCCACAAATATTTCATAATTCTTTGAATAAGTCATGTGGGTAATGATAGAATTAAGGGCATTGATTTGCATTTTACAATATATTTGCGAGTAATTTTCACATTTTATTGCCAATTGGCTGTACATTATTTTATTTACGTATAGTGAATTTACAAATGTGGGATTTGGGCCACAATACCGATGGGACGTAAAAAGGTGTCCCCACTGTCAAAAATCGCGTCCCAGGGTGCCGCCGTTTACTCTCCGTGCTACGGAGCACGGAGCGACTGCAGCAATTAAATCACACCTTCAACTCGATAGCAAAGAGACAGGGTGGTGACAACCCGTGCTAATCGAGGGGCTATCCAGCTGCCTTAAGACCCCTGGCAATCACCAACACACAAGGGTCACTACATGTTTGTGATAGGGTACATGAGCACACAAGCTACCCCCCCCCACCCCCTTCCCTCCACCCAGACACAGCAAGCACTGGAGCCAGATCGTTAAAAATGATATCGATGTAAAATCCAGCAAGGAAAAGTGAAATCTGAGTATATGAAGCCAATAGAAAAATTACTACAAGCACTCGCTGCACGCTCAACAATGCACGCTGGAAGATTACAAAACTACGAGTCTTGCCAATTATAAATTCTTCATTGCAAACACGGCAAAGTACCCTGGTTCTTCATTATGCACGTTAAATATGTTACAACATACATAACTTCTGTTTATACGGCCTGAAGCTTTGCCACCAGGGAACAATTTCTGCACATGTAAAATAAGCCAGGCTTCTAATGAAGGAAATTACTTTAACCGTAGCAATGATAAATAATGTTTTAAAAATCGCGTGGAAAGGTATTACATATTTTATACGGCGACTACTTCCAAACTTAGGCCTAAACAATTCAAGCATGCACAATGAAAATAAAGCAGAGGCAGATGTACTTCACAGAGAATTGACAGCTCAATTCACGCTTATTCACCTCCTCGAAGAGTTGAACGGTAAACACTACTCATGCACTACTTACTGCCTTCAAATGCAAGCCTATAACTGTTAAGATACAGAAACATTAATAGGGTGGGGAAAAAACATTCAAACTCTTTAATCTAAATAAAAATACGGCAGCGTGAAGCACTGCATCGATTAATAGCACGGTGAACCGTGAGAATTCCACAAATTGGTGGTGCGAGAGCCAGCACTGCACACGTGGAAACATTGGCAGGGCTGACTTTTGCATGCAAAAATTCTGAGTGATGGCTTAAGAAAGATGTTTTGATAAATTTTTAAATCATGTTATTTTAGAGTTTTAGCGTCGCATAATTTTAAAGAAATATTAGAAATGAATGATTAACTACCTTTAAAATGGCAAGGACTGATGTCGTCCCCAATTCATTGTGTCCGAGCAACCAAAAACACTCAAAATTCCAGAAAAAGCTTATTTATAGAATGAAGGCAAATGCATGTTTTACAGTAATTTGTTAAATATATGCTAAGACAGCATTTATTTCTCCATGTAAATAAAAGCGATTAACAACCCTAGAAATAACTGTCTTCCATATAAGTCATAGTAAAGTTTTAGCATAAATAGAATACAAATTTAATATCGTCTAATATGTGAAATCCCATCACGTGGGCCATAATGCATTGTAATTATACCAGGGCAAGGATGCAAGTCATCACAATTTTTATGCAAGCGAAAATATCCTCTTGCAAACGGACAGCAAGTTAAGGCCCTATAAACCTTCCAACCTGTACAACCCAAAGTGCTTTGCCATTTGGCGAAAATAAATCACTCTGTACGCTACCCAAGGTGCGTTTAATTGCACATGTTAAACTATTGTCAAAAAAATCGCAGCGATTCAGCCGTTTCACATTCATACGCCATCGGAATGATGTAGGTGTGTGCGTGTGATGGATGATGTCACCAGGGTCTGTCTGGGTGGATGTCCCATCGCCCACACGCAGCTCTCAGTGCTGCGAGTTCGGGCCTCGGGCTCTTACAGGCCAGTCAATCACACCGGCGAGGAGTCTGAGCGATCACACAGCACTGGCAGAGCACCGACATGACAGCACCGCTGTGGATTTCGACCAAGTGCTGCTCGGGCAGGCGGCCGTGGCTCATTCTTTAAAAAGTCAGCTTTGAATGATGATTTATTTAAACAGCCAGATTCCTTCCTCATAAGCTTGGCAATTGTTTTTAAAACGTTATTATGAATGAATTAACCTAAATTATAGTGCACATGCAAAGATTGTAACTATTAAGTAAAACAATCTAATTGTGGGTATTTTTTTGTATTTGTCGACATAACAATCACATACACAATGGGTCCACTTTTGCAATTGATTTTGCAAGACTTTGCACATCCATTTTACAATAAATGCCAGACAGTTAATGCTCTAATGAGTAGCAGTGTGATTTGGAGAGATGCCACATCTTTCATTTTAATGCCAGCCACAATAGATGTATGATCATATACCAAGAATGACAATAACACACACACACTAAAATATTGATGTTATTTAGCTCAATTCTAGTCAAATTGTCTCCATGCTCAGACGAACAACACAGCAGGTGTTCATATCCATTGCCGGAGCTGAGGTGGTAAAATATTCTACAGTGCCACAGCGGGACCAGCCCTTTCAGAGGACAACCCACAAACCATTTATCATTTTATTTGTCCCCGGTGAGAGATGATGGGCTAAGTAGTCTGTGCGGTAACGCATTTGCCACTAGTTTTGCAAATGTTCGCAGGTTTCAGCCCCAGCGGTCACACCGGTGAATGCTGCAGACGGATTAAACCACACATCAACGCCTTCTCCTTCACAGCAGAAGTTAAAGATCCTTGAACAATCAAACAATGTAGGCCATGTGGGCAGGTGACATGGTTCAAATTTGCCAAGTATGGTCAATTACTCATTAAATACTTAATTATAAGAAGCAAACAGCAACATCACCCCCCTTGACAACAAATGTATTTTGTAAATGAATATAAGAATACATGTTATCAATTTTTATTTTTGTCGGGAGCAATACTTTGGGAGTGTGTCATGAATACTTGTGGAGCATCTTCTTGGTTCTTTCGGTAAAGTCACGTAGAACATTACGTGACTTTACCGAAAGAACCAAGAAGATGAATCCCTGCAGTCACGAAAGCTTTAAATCGAAACTTGTGGAGCAGTTTTGCTCTTAAACATATCGGGTCGCCCGACGGCTCACCTTGCTGCTGTATTAAGGGAGGTGTAAAGAGATCCACAATCACTCCATGTGACAGCACATTCTTTCAAAGTCCACCACTGCTAATTCCAAGGTTTAATTAATACATCTGAAGTGTTAAATAAACGTTACAGAAATAAATTCTTAAACGTTGTGAAAAACTGTGGCCGTAAAATATCGTGAAAAAATGGGAAAACGCAACCACTTATCCAGCCTTGCATCAATGACTCTTTATTTCTTATAATCATATTACGCAAAGCTTGCCCATTAGAACCTGACCCAATTTATTCCACAGAACTGGACAAGCATATTCCAATTTGCAGCCACAGAACACGCAAGCTACACGAGTTGACATTTTATTTCAAGTGAAGACCTTTCATTTCATTATTTTCGCTAAGTGTTATAAATGTTAAGAATAAGTTTAGCTTCCTCTCCTAGATGTTTAAAAAAAAACTTACAAAACTCTAAACCAGGGCATTGACATGGCCGAGCGATTGCACGTTATCCTGTTAGTGGCAAAGGTTCACAGTTTGAGCCTATGAGCCACCCTGGATAATACTGCGTGCGTAGTGTGATTCATAAGAGAAATGCTAGCTGTTTTACATTGGACGTTAAAGGATATTCGAAAAAGATTCCGCACGTGTGCTGGCACGACAGACCCATTTTTTTGCAAATAGAAAATAATTTGCTCGGAAATTAATTGATTGAGTAATACTACGCAGCAACTTGGCAGACTCCTGACAAACTACACCCGTCTGTGAAACGTAGCGCCTTAATCATAATCTTGCGCAAGGGAAATCATATAAGATGAAATTTAATCTGATGTGTAGCGCTCATCTCTATGCAAATTCAGTATTTAAACGCGGGAAAACTTCACCAAATTCGGTTTTATTGAGCGCGTGTTTCGGCTATACCCATCCATTACAGGTTTTTTTGGGTTAGTTCGCGTAAATGTGTCGTTAAACCCGCCACCACCCGACAGCCAATTAGTAAGGTCTGTCACGTACACAGAACATGCAATTCGTTACTAGTACAGCACACTGGTGTGTTGGGGAGCAAATCCACAACATTTACAAACCTAAGTAATTGGCTGTCTTGGTGTGTGTCTCGCTCGGCGTGTCTTTGTGTGTGTCTCTCTCTGCATGTGTGTCTGCCTATGCTGTTCACGTGTCTTTGTTTTATCATTCATTCTTACCTGATGATGGTTGCTTGTGTTGCAACCGAAACGTCGTATTCTATTATTATTTTATTTTCTACGTGACTTGACCGAAAGAACCAAAGAGTAATTGGATGTGTCAGGTGGTGGCAGGTTTAACAACACATTTATATCATGGGATCTCTTTTGCCAGTACCAAAATATGAGAATAGGTTTTCCCCTTTTTTCTGGCAACAAAACAGGTGTTAAGATGTTAATACACCAGAGTATGTTTTTTTTTAATTCTGACCACAAGTATCTGTGGTTAATGCAGACATGATTCCTTGTAAAAGGTTTCAGTTTGGTGTATTAACATCTTAACACCTGTTTTGTTGCCAGAAAAAAAGGAAAAATCTAGACACATTTATATTTACGTGATCTAACCCCCAACACCTGTATTACTCAACACGCTAAGGCACAGCGCACATGTTGATACACATTGCCGCGTGCATCTCGCCGTCCAGTCGTGGAGGGCGTGAGTCGTATGGACGCCTAGGTGGCGAATCGTCAACGTTCACGTGACGGCATTAGGGGGCGAGCGTTGGGCGCGAGTGTCGTGGTGCGGGGAGAGGAATAGAGATGGGGGGGGGTTTGTGTTGAGGTGAAATATTAAATAAAGAGTAGACACACACAGACACAATTTCAACCGAGAGGATGGTTATAAACTCAGCAATCATTGGAAAGATGTCATCAACCACTTTGGGTCGTGACTTGATTTGTGTTTTCTTGTCGGGGGAGCACAAGTCAAGACTGCCAATACGCTCACTCAGTTTAATAACCATTGCTACAGTCTACATTATAGAATGACAGTTCGCTCACCAAGCTTAAAAACCAGGCTAAATCTACATTATAGACTGCCAGTACGCTCACCGAGGTTAAGAACCAGGCTACAATCTACATTATAGACTGCCAGTACGCTCACTCAGTTTAATAACCATTGCTACAGTCTACATTATAGACTGCCAATACGCTCACCGAGGTTAATAACCATGCTACAGTCTACATTACAGACTGCAAGTACACTCACCCAGCTTAATAACCATTACTACAGTCGGCATTATAGACTGCCAGTACACTCACTCCGATTAAGAACCAGGCTACAGTCTACATTAATTCTTCTAATTTTTATTTTATTTTTATCATTAATATTTTAATTCACTTTATTTTTATATCTACATGACTTTACCAAAAGAACCAAAGAATAGTACACACACACAAGACATGGAGAGTGACTCAGCATCCCGAAGTACAATATCAAAGGGAGAAAATCTTGTAGAATTAGTTTAAGAAAGAGAGAGATAGGGTGATAATTTAGAACCCAGGAACGCAACCCTATTTTTCCCATAAAGGTTCAGCACTAGTCAAACGCAGTTTCGCCCAACACGGGGTTTTCCATTAATATAACCCCTCCGCTCTGAAAGGTTTTCCTGTACTTACATAATTCAGGTTAAAATATTGTAAGAGCTACAGTTTAGCTTTAATACGATCCAAATTGGTAATTCTCACATGTATTGGCAGACATTATTTATTATTTCAGTAGATAACATGCTGAAGCCATGTAGTCAGCCTGGACGTAGTATTTTTTAAAGACAGTTTTATACATTTAAAAATCATCGGAAAGCATACCACGACATATTAACTTGGTGAAATTAAAACATTTAACATGTTTTTAAGCGTACTTGTTCCATGTCCTTTTGGATATACGGTATCTTTGGCTGTGCAGCATTCATACCTTCCACCCTAATTGTTAATGTGCTTTAGTGTTGGACTCATTGCAAACACGGACTAAATATTTAATTCCCATTCTGTTTAACATTGAATTAGGCGACTAAAGGCTTGCACAGAAATCCTCTACATTAACAGTAATTTGAAGGATGTGCACACAACGCAACTGCACGCTTCACGGGATTCAGGCACACGCAGCAGATGTTCCTTCACGAGTACACTTCATGGAAAACATCGTGCAAAGCCACAGCAGACGAAGAAATATCAGGATGTGATGCTGTTTTTACCTAAAATCGCATTTCTTAAATAATCTAAATATGTATCATGATGATTTGTCAAAAATAATCAAGAGGAGCTTGATGGTTTTTATTTTTCTGCGCTATACTGCAGAATCACATAATTATTAAACCCTGCCTGAAGCCGTAACCAATGACATCAGCATCGGGCCCACCCACAAACCTGAGCCCATCCCACATGTGACATGGACACATCGACCTCACAATGATTTTTATCTCCTTCATTGGCACAACATTTTTCTGCCGCATGCATCACGGGTCTTGTTGATTTAATCGCACAGCACGAGCAAAATATTTTACGACAAAAAATTACATTCGGGTGAATAACTGATGCAATTGGATTGTTTAGGGACTTGTTACTTTTAGCAATGTGTTGAAAGATAGTGCTGTGTTCACAGTTTATCAAGAATACAATGGTACGGTGGTGGAGATGGTATCACTGCACCTAGACAATTTTTTTTTAAACATAATTCTGTTGGTGCTGTCAGAATTGGAACTGCATTCGTAGATGACACGATTGTTGACAGTGTATTTGTGTTGGTATACGGTACCGTGCAGTGTTGCTGGCACTTTGCTGAAAGGTGGTTCTGTGTTGACAATGTGTTGGATATGACACGGTTCTGACGAGGCATGCAATTATTCAGCCTCAAGCAATTGTATGAATTGTCTCCTTTTTACGAAATTATTTAGGTTATAGTTGATTTCCTTTCCGTCTCAAGTTAGCCTCAATGTAACATACAAGGTATTTGTGTATATTTTACAGAACCGATTCTCACACGATTCTAGACAGGCATTGTAAGCATAATATTTAAATGTAATCAATGAACTGATGCATCTTAACATGCCTGGTGTTGGCTGAGCCATCCGGCCAGGTAGCTGAGAAGTAGAGCGAGCGGCACACAAACCAAAACATTCCAAGTTGAAGTCCTGGTTGGGGGTTGACTCAGCCCATCATGCCTCTGGGATCGATAAAATAAGTACCACTTTGTGGGGAAGCCTACAGTAGTTGTCCTGTGGATATACTCGCCCATACTGAAGCAATGTGGAATTCCTACCAACGAGAGATGAGCATTGCCTCAATACTCATTTGATCCTGAAATCACATTTGACTATTTTTTGGGAGTTTTGACATTTAAGCTGATTTTGTTTGTTGCTGTTGGAAGATTGCACTGCCCCCTCCCCCCCCGGCGCGAGTGTGGAAAAACCGGCGCCGCGTTGACTCACCAGCTGTGTGAAGAAGGCTGCCTCCTTGGGCTGCTCTGAGTAGCGCTCGTAGTGGTCCAGGTTGTCCTGCAGCTTCAGCGTGAGCGTGTCGTAGTTGGAGCGCACCACACTCAGCACCTGGAGAGTGTGCATGCACGTCAACAATTATTGTTGTCATCAGTCGTCATCACGATCAATGGGGCAAGATAGCCCGTACGTGACCACTGCACGTATCGTCGTTTGTTGCCACTTTCCTCGGTTGTGTGTCGGTGTGCTCAAGCAGTGCCACATCTTTCGGGCACCAATCTCTTAGGTCGTCGGCAAGCCATTCTCTGTTACTCATAATAAACGTTTTTGGGTTAGATCGCGTTATTTATAAATGTGTCGTAACCCTCCACCACCCGACACGGCCAATCAGCAAAAAAGTGTCACGTTGACAGAAGGCAACGTGACAGTTTTTATTATGAAAAATATTGGTCGCGAAAGCCTACGTGTTAAACCATTCTCTGTTATGTCTTCATCAATTATTATTACTACCAAGGACAAAGGGCTAGATTCTCTTTGTCAGTGGTGGATCCCAACCTTTTCTTATTGTCATGTACCTGTCAATTGTCTGTGCTTGCCAACATACAGCTTTTATATTTAATTACGAAAGAGAAAAATGACATTTACCTGTAATTAAAACTTGATTTGAAGCTTTCCTGACTGCAGGAATCCATACTCTTAGGTTCTTTCGGTAAAGTCAGGTAGGTAGAAAAATAAAATAAAAATAAATCACGACGTTTCGATCGCAGCAGTTCCACCGCTGGATTATTTTTTCCGCCTGAGGACGACCGCTTGTGTTGTGATCGAAACGTCGTGGTATATTATTTTATTTTTCTACCTACGTGACTTTACCGAAAGAACCAAAGAGTATGTAATTAAAACGTAAGACATTTACGAAACACTAAATCAATGTACAATGAACTACATATTTCGAAATGAATGTTTAGATTTCAAAAACAATTAAAATCACATGTATTCTACCGTTTAAGCAATGTATATGTGTATGTTGAACTCCTTTCACAGCGTACGTAGCCAACCGTGCTAATCAGAAGTCATCATTATGGTTACACTACGATGACACTACGAGAGAAGGCTGATATTCGCTCGCTGTGAAATGCTAACGAGATTTAGAGTAATATATTCAGTTCATCTGTAAATGAATGCAGAATACATGGGAAAACGAAAGAGAGTGCGAGCAGAGCACATGTGTGCACGTTCACCAAATTCCATTTGGCATATGAGCACACAGCTTTCAAACTGCAAGTGGCCATACGTAGACCAACCCTGCAAGACAATACCCTGTGTGACCACTGCCAATCACATAATTTGTCTCACTTACCCCCAAGAGATACCACATGTAGCTCCAGGGGTATGCTTACGACAGGTTGGGAACTGCGGCTTCATGTAATTACGAGACGTTAGCCCCATACCCAACATCTTCATTTGCTTCGGATTAATGGGGGCTAAACTCTGCACGATGCTCGACGTGGATCGTTTAGCATGCTTCAAGTGCACGATCGTGAACACGGGCTTACTTTGCAGCAAGGCCATTTGTAATTGCCGTTGAGCATTCGCCAACACCACGGGATCTTAATTCAATTCCATTTTAATCTGTAAATTATGCACAGCCTGTGTTGCTTCGTGTTCCCATCTGAAATGTGGCCTAATAACATGAATTAAATTAAATATATAGCAGCTACACACTGAATGGAGAACTCGAGACACAAAAGCAGGCCGACTCGTTTCACGAATCAGAGTGGAGCGGGTTGTACTCTGCCAGAAAAATGCATGTACTTCTCAATGAGTAATCTTTAATCAGCTCCACACTGGTCGAGACACAAGGTAGACCACACGGAGGCAATCATGCAAAATAAGACCTTTTTAGTTGACTGCTCAGGCTCTCGTTGAATTACTCTCATGTCTAGAAAAGTTTCGTATATATCTGTACATTTTCATTAATCAATGCAGGGCTCCCAATGACAGAGTTGAGATTTCATTTTTTGGCAGGTTTAACACAATCCCATCATTATCCTTCTGGGATCAGAAAACAAACACCGCTAGGCAAGGCTGTGTGGCTGGCTCTGTGGAAAGTTAAAAGTGATTGGTCCCAGCCATAGGAACATGGAATGAAAATCAATGACTCAAGACCATGAACGCAAATGAGCACCGCACGAAGCTATATTTGAGCATGTGAACGCTTAAACTTTCTGTTTGCTGAATTGAAATTAGCATGTGAATAATTGTTTTAAAAAATTGAGACTTGAACAAAACAGTTTGCAATTTGCAGTAATGATCTCTGAGGGCATCAAAATGTCTTCACGTCTTAAGATCTTTGTCCACACAACAGCAGATATTTAACAGTGTTTTGCAACATTGCAGTGCAATTGAGGGAAAAAAATATTATTCCTCTGGTTCAACATGCTAACCATACATCTCCTAGATGAGCCCTTTCTGATATATACTCAATTGCCATTTAGTTTAAGAGTATCACGATGACGTGCTAATACATAGATGAATATACATTGCCCTTAAGACTATTCTGTGTTTAAGAGATAAATAGACAGAGAAAGAACACTCTAACCCACAGTTTCTGTCCCTTTTGTACCCAAATAGAATGTCTCAACACATCTCAATACCAGACAACCCCTTACATCAATATTTAACGGAGGTAAGATACTTTTTAAATACCATTGGCCCCAGTGAAATCTTGCATTGTGAATGCAGCAAGGAACACGATTTTCTTCCTCTCTGATGCTGCATACCTCTCTTTTCAGAGATACTCTCACACTACGTACCTCTCCCGTGGTGTGGCTACTTCTGTCTCAATGGAGAACATATCCGTGCTACGTCTCTCTCTGCTTCTCTCACTCCATACTGCACGTGGCCCAATGCCCACTAATAATGCATCATCACGGTCACGTTACTATTGTTGTGTCCTGTAACTAACCACACGGAGACGTCGGCTGGAGGCAATGCGTTTATTATAACAATTCTTTACACTCTGTTAAACACTGCTCTGTTAAATACTGCTCTGTTAAACACTGCTCTGTTAAACACTACTCTGTTAAACACTGCTCTGTTAAACACTACTCTAACACGAAGGGGTACGGCCCCTTTACCCGATAGCCTAAGGGAGAGACAGCCTCCCTTCCAGCGTGTCCTACGCACGCCGGGCTACGCTACACGCCGAGCTCTTGCGACGGCGGCTAGCGGAAGACTGGACCCGACCCACCCCGGGGTACGCAGGGTGTCGCAACACTATTGAGTACTGGGCCAGATCGAGAGAGACAAGTGGAGACAGATATGACACTGAGTGGGTGTGTGGAGCGACACAGAGGCATCGATTATTTTGCTGCTATAAATGTCCACGTGATAAGCCACTTGGTTGAGCTATCATTTGCGGACAGTTCGCTTCCGAAAAATAAGTTTTACCTGGTAACATACAAAAAGTTCAGTTTTATTTGTCTATTTTTAAGCGATTTTTACCTTTCCTATACTTTGCACTCCTATCGTGTTTTTGTATTGTTTCTTGTTGTAACGTTCTGACCTGCCCCTACTGGACATCTGTGAAAAAGGGCTTTATAGCTCATCGGAATCTTCCCGTCTAAATAAATGTTCTGATTCTGATGTGTGCAGTCGGAGAAGCAGGGAGCACAACATGGAGATAACGCAAGTGAGAGAAGCAAGAGACACAGCCAGAAAGACGTCGAGTGGGAGAAGTGCATCATCGCTAAGTGTCGCCATGATGCACAGCTGATGCACAAGCACGTCACCCACATGGGAGTGTAAATTGTGGTTTCTAAAAAGTTACAAAGTAGAGTATTATGCCAAATGTATGCTCGAGATAGAATATTCTAGAGACGTGTTGAAAAAGATTAGTTCGTGGGACCCTTAAGCAGGAAAATTTATTTTAAAAATCCACGTACATTTTTGGAACTTACAAATTAGATTTTGTAAAAATTGGAATCTAATGATGTACTGCCACTTGACTAGCCTCTCAGATATCCTTTCAGCAGGTCAAAACACGTCATCCCAAATAGCACTGAACTTAAATGTATTCGGGTCTATAAGAGTGGGTATATCATTGTTTAACTGTATGCATAATGGAAAAGCTAATGAATATTCATGTATACATTAGTGTCAGGTAACATTAATTTTGCCATTGCACTGGAACACAGTTTGTGACTTTATAAACTAATGTTCCTGGCCTCACTTAGCTTGACATCACTCAAATTGAGTGTCTCCCTGCCCACAATAACAAATTAGCAGGCGCTCATCTCCATTGGCAGTCCTCAGTAAGAGGTGGGAACTCCACATTCCTGCGACAATGATAAGCACATTGCTTTTCCCAGAGCATTCATTTACATGCAGGTAGTGTGCTTTGATAACGCCTAGAATATGACTCTGCTGGCAAGGTGGCAGCATTAAAACCCTTGAGCACAGAGTCAAAATTTACTCAGTTGTGAATCGAATTGCAAACTGAAGGCGTTGAGTACAACCCTCTAGGCGGCTCTGCAGCCCCAGCTACTTACAAACAGCTAGTGGCATGACGTGCTGATCCAACAACACTGGCTGACTGGATGCATTGAGAGGATGTGTGGCTGATTGGCCGGGCACTTCGTGATTGCAGGGATTCATCTTCTTGGTTCTAGTGTCAGGTAACATTAATTTTGCCATTGCACTGGAACACAGTTTGTGACTTTATAAACTAATGTTCCTGGCCTCACTTAGCTTGACATCACTCAAATTGAGTGTCTCCCTGCCCACAATAACAAATTAGCAGGCGCTCATCTCCATTGGCAGTCCTCAGTAAGAGGTGGGAACTCCACATTCCTGCGACAATGATAAGCACATTGCTTTTCCCAGAGCATTCATTTACATGCAGGTAGTGTGATTTGATAACGCCTAGAATTTGACTCTGCTGGCAAGGTGGCAGCATTAAAACCCTTGAGCACAGAGTCAAATTTACTCAGTTGTGAATCGAATTGCAAACTGAAAGAGTTGAGTACAACCCTCTAGGCGGCTCTGCAGCCCCAGCTACTTACAAACAGCTAGTGGCATGACCTGCTGATCTGACAACACGGATGTAATGAAACTCTGAGAAATTCCAACAAAACACCATGGACCGCAGCCTGTGGCAAGCACCTGCCTGGCTGACTGGATGCATTGAGAGGATGTGTGGCTGATTGGCCAGGCACTTCGTGACTGCAGGGATTCATCTTCTTGGGTCTTTCGGTAAAGTCAGAACTATTTTATTATGTTGAATTTTTATTATTTTATTATTTCCCTTCTACGTGACTTTACCGAAAGAACCAAGAACACCTTGACTATGTTTTCTCCTGCTTGACATCACAACAGCAATGAAAGTTAAATATAAATTAAAAAGCATTTTTTGGTTTTGTAGAAGCCATTGACACACTCCAGCTGTTGACTGCTAAACCTCAGTATGTGCCCCAGGAGTGCCAAAAATCGAACAGATCATCATTAGCAGCACGCCTGATCGATGCACTTTTGCATGAATGAGTAGGAGCGTCTTGATGGCTAACTATCTAAACCAGGGTTAATGTAGGCGCTAAAGTCTATTGTCAGTTCAGCGTGCAAATGAATAGTCGCATTACTTGCTGTTGATGGGATCTGGCCTTCATATCTATTCATAGGGTGCATTAATAACATAAGCAAATTAAACAGGCAAGTGCTCAAAATTAGCAGACTAGAATCAATAACATGAAAAACAAGCCCTTGATAGGATCAATTCCTAACGTTTAACTCTATTCTTAGGCGAGGCCATGAGGCAGTGAACAGGTTAAACAGCCAAGTATGGTGACATTATTAGAAACAAATAAGTGGCCAATAATGTACCCATCCCCTCCCGTGGTGTTCAAGCAGACAGGAGAGACACATTATGCAGAGATCACATGCGACCTTGAGCCCTTGTAGAACAAAGCTGTGGTGGTAGCTGACGCGCTTGACACATCAGCTCTGACTGTGCAGACATCTACGCTCGTGTGCACATGCCTTGCCATGTGCGCGTGCGAGTGTGCTCGTGAGCGAGAACAACACTTGCCATTACAGTCAAGTGCGCCTGAATAAGGGATCTCAGCCGTTGAAGTAAACAAACGTCCTTGCCACCCGTGAAATCTCACAGAATAATTATATGAATCTATTGTTTTGTTATTTTAATAATAGTGGAATGTTTATAGCTGTAAAATACACCACTACCACCAATTGACTTATTGTTGTAATTTGATAACGGGCGAATGCAGTGGCCAATGGGTGAAGAGATATCAAGACTAATGTAGTGGCCAATGGGTGAAGAGATATCAGACTAATGCAATGGCCAATGGGTGAAGAGATATCAGACTAATGTAGTGGCCAATGGGTGAAGAGATATCAAGACTAATGCAGTGGCCAATAGGTGAAGAGATATCAAGACCAATGTAGTGGCCAATGGGTGAAGAGATATCAAGACTAATGCAGTGGCCAATGGGTGAAGAGATATCAAGACCAATGTAGTGGCCAATGGGTGAAGAGATATCAGATTAATGCAGTGGCCAATAGGTGAAGAGATATCATGACGAATGCAGTGACCAATGGGTGAAGAGATATCAAGACGAATGCAGTGGCCAATGGGTGAAGAGATATCATGACGAATGCAGTGGCCAATGGGTTAAGAGATATCAAGGCGAATGCAGTGGCCAATGGGTGAAGAGACCAATGTCAGTCTCGAAGTATCACGTCTGACAAAACGAATAGGTGCTGGAAATCTTATTACATTATTATCAAAGCACATTGGAGGGGACATTTATAATAAAAAGTGTCCTCGAGGTCAAATTCAGCTTTCAGGTTAAATCTGGAGCATTTGTTCACGAAATGCACTTTCATAACAGTGACGGTGACTCAATTTGAGCTATGGAGGATCAGCTTCAGCACATTGCCATAAGTTTCAGTGAAACGTCATCCCCAGACCAACTCATCCTAATATAAGTGCACCGAGCTGCACTGTAAGATCTGGTTTAAAATCACGTATTCTCTTCTGTGCCTCGGTATTTTGTGATATTGTAGAAAAAAATAAAATGTGGAGTTTGTTCATGAAGATGGGAGGAATTTAATGATGTCAGGTACTTTCAACCCATGTTTATATACTGCCCCTCCCGCCCCAAAAAATGCCAAAATGATATTGATGCTCAAAATAACAGTTACGTTTTTGGTGCCCTGGGAAATTAGCAGATAGTTATTTATCAAAACAAACAGGTAAGGCCCAGTTGCAAGCAGTGATAAATAGAACATGAATCGATTTGCTGCATATACTCTTCATGCTGTGACAAGAGGCAGGTAATGCTGAAACCCCGGGGCTGTTGCAATTCCTCAGGTTCGCCCCCCACCCACACAAATCACAGAGGGGATATAAATATGCCGCATCATTTGTGTGACGCACAATTCCCTCGCAATGCCTTTGACTTATTACAACTTACTATCACCTGCATCGTTGTGGCCTGCAGCCTTTACATTTAAATGGCTGGAACATGACTGTGTTATATACGCGCGCAATGCTCACTGTTGCTTAGGACACAAGCGGAAGGCATCCTGGTCAGTGTCGCGTGCGTACGAATCCAGTGATAAGGTAAACGTACGTACACAGCCTGCATCACTTCTGAAACATTCCTGTTATAAGAAAATACAATTTTCTCTCACTTTATTTGGGTGTGCAGCACGTAGTTATATATATCCCAAAAAAGTCCTTCACAAAATAAATAACTTTAATTTGTTAAAATTGGACCTCTCAGCTTGTGAAAATGTGTGCCGTGAGGAAATAATAAATCATTAAATACTCAACTCAAAAAGTGGTTAGAACAGATACTATAAAAGAGAATAAAAGGGCATTAAATTATGGCCTCACTTCTAAAGGCTGATCTTTAATGAATTGTCATGAAGTGTTACATGTCAATTCATCCTCCTAAGGCTTTCACATGTAGACAATTTTGTATTACCAACTATCCTAAAATATCTCCGATTTCTTTAACTCCTTCAGATGAATGAAAAGAAACTCATCCGTAACCAAAGCAAATTCCACCATTAATTTACAACTCTAAAATATATCATTGGGCCGCAGATAAAATAACACAGCCCCTGCTAAAATTAACCATTGGATGAGGATTAAGGGCAGTGCGTTGTACATCCATCACTGTGCTGTAACAAGCAAAGGAGGGTGCAGTTATTGAGTGCTAGGCGAAGGAGGTCACAAAACAGGAAGATTAATAGAGGTAAGGTGGTATAAAAATGTCACTTAAAATAAAAAAAATATTTACTCTGAAACGCTGAAAAATAGGAACTGTAAATGCACTGTTGGCAATTAACGCAGAAAGCAGTCTTTACTAAATTATGTGTGTTCCTTCTAAAGTTATATATTTACCCATGCCTGTGACAAAGACTCCATTAACACATGAGCAAGGAACTGTTCATTTTTCGTTGATGTTCCTAAGCCAGTTGTGAAAATTCCATATATATAATGTCCTAATTTTAATGAATCTCTAGGGAGGAATGACCGAGTTTGTGTTCCAACCATAATCTTGACTTGTCATCTTCTAATTCTGAGCTGAGCAACATGATGATCTAGGTGTTTATCTTCGAGGCGGAAAGAATGAGTTGGCATAAACAGGGAAGGGATGAGGCCGAAGCCACGGGGAATTGTGGGGCAAGTGGGAGAGAGGTAGCTTTAACAAATAACGGTGAAGTTAGGAGGAGAGGTACGGAGAGACACGATCCCTACCTGTTCCTCAGAGAGCTGGGAAATGTGGTTCACAGCGGCAAATGACTCAATTTTCGGGCTGAAGTGATTGACGATGGCTCTGAAATAGACAAATTGCAAGACACATATTGAGAACTCATTACAATTCAAAATGGCGTAACATACATGCGTGCCTTCGTGTGAACTTTGCACCGTTATGTAAACGTGTGAAATACTCTGCTTTCAAAGCTGCGGCGGCAGCGAGAGGCTACTAAAAAGAACGAAGCGAAAAAGAGAGCGTGTCAATCTTACGCAGAACATCCTGAAGTCTCATCAACATTGCCGTACAATACCCACCACAATGATTCACGCCCACATGATCCCGGGCGGAACGCACGCGAGGTCGACAATGATGCTTGCACGCATGTTAAGGATTTCCATTCAGGGATCGAGTGGCTTTTAAAGCCATTATCCAAGGCCACAAGCTATAGGGACCTTTTCCCTCTTTCCCTACACTCAGTGTCTTGCTAGCACGGAATAATTTCACCGAGATAAGTTGTATTATTGTTCCAGTGTCAACTAATAAACGCTACGTGAACTACAATGATTCAGGCCATGCAGCAGCCTAAATTTGTTTTCCTTGATGGTGAATTTTATCAGTAGCAGAGGGTATTTGGTTTGGCTGTACGTGTAATCGTTGTTACAAAATAAAAAAAATGTACTGTGAAAAGTTTACCTTTGATATGCAGCTTTAATCAATCCTATTTTAAGCTACCGCATAGTTAGATATAAACAGCAAAGTTTTTAACTGGCTCAGTGATTCTTTGCTCATTTCGGCAATGCGATATTGGTCCTCTATTTCGGTGCCTTTGAGACAGTGGTAACAATTCTGCATTTCCACGGATGATGGCTCTCGGGTGTCCCACAAAGTACAACTCAATTTAACAACCCCCGGGATCTGAGCTAGCAGTCCTCTGACTGCGCGTCAAGTGCTCCAACCACATTACCACCCAGCTGGATACGCTGGCTCACTAGCTAATAATAATGGACTATTGCAGCGTTTCATCATGAATGCCTATCTCTACGTACTGAAAAGTAATTCACTGTCTCTGGAGATCAGGGAACAAATCACGACCCTTACCTCAGAGTACCGCATGATTTGTTGGTAGTACTGGAGAATAGAACTGAGATTACTTAGCTCAGAGAATAGGCCTCTTCAGATTGAACTGAATTGGTTTTCGAGCTCTGCCTTTTTTTACAAAGACATTTTCAAGGAAAAAAAGTATCTTCTTTGGAGATATGTTGTTTTGACCCAAAACTTTTTTTTCATACATGTGGATTTGGGAAGGATGGCATGGGTGTAAGAGCAATTTAAATTCAGCTCAATGAGTTCCAATTCCAGGTCATTCAGTGCCGAGACATTCGTTACGTTACGGTTGCAGTGCACTTGCAAGTAGCTGTATATTGTGCAATACCAGTGACAAATGGAAATCTTTAACCTGGTTAAGACCTCCCAGAGATCAACTCGGTTTAAAATTAGTACCTAATGTGATTGGTCAAAACATCGGTACCAAGGGGCACAAAAGGAGGCTAGGCATGATGCTGATTGTACCACTGCAAGATGTGTTACACCAGCCCAAATAAGTGACCACTAATGGCACTTGCCCCACCAGTGTATAGGACAGTACAGGGGGGGAAAAATCCCTAAAAAATGTGAGTATCTACACACACACACTCATAAAAAAAACTGGAACAAAGGAAAACCACGCCGACATGTGATCTGTGAGAGGTTCAGAGAGATGACAGAGAAGACATTTCCTTTCAAACAATGTGAACATTCACCTGATGTTCACCAGGGCTTGTATTACTTTGCTGGCTGGTTCTTTCCATTGCCCATTGTTTGTAGAGTGCCTCAACACTGAGAACACAAACAACACGCACAACCCATTGCAATGAACCATCAAGGTACAATCTGTGCAATATTGCTTTATACTTATTGTTATGCAGTTGTATATATATGTATATGTTTATACAGGATCACGCACACTCCAGCCTGCAGGCCCTATCTTGTCAAGTGGTATCGCTGTTTACCTTGTATTATATCAATTGCCTAAAAGTTTACAAATACATGATGGATTAATTTTACATTGAAGGCACTTTGTAAAACTATACGGTATACAACTACGAATAAGTATACTTAAGTATTAACCATATTTGCAGCATACATAAATATTAACAGTACTATTTATACCAATATGAGTATGTGATGCATCTATGAAATAACTATATTTCATTTATATTCAAGGATATATTGATAAGGATATAATTTTACAGTAACTCATGAAGCTATCGAGGAAGACTGCATGTAATAATTAAATAAAGCTAATAACGTGATCATAATTTTAAGTCCACCGTCTTATGGACCTTCCTGGTGAATATTTTACAGCGTTTACTCCACCAAACGCTGCTACTTAACATATGTCTGCATGCTGTACTAAAAGCAGGAATTTAATTAGAGCAATTCTGTTCATCGTTTGCCATGTTAACAAGTTGGCATATGCAGCGATGGGCGCCTGCCATGTGAATGTGGAATATCCACCAAAGGTTCACAGGTTGACGACTGCCGGTGAAGAGGAGCTGCACTTTTCACGTTGTTCAAGAAGGAGGACTCATCGACTCCATTCACACAACAATAGAACATAGCTCACCATGTGAGAATAACCCACACGTTCGGAACACAAAGAAATATGTGGAAGTTCGTATACCCTTGATGTAAGCTGTTACAATTAATCTAAATAATAACTTTTCCCAGAAAACTATTTTTTTTATCCAAAAATAACAAAACATAATGGTACATTTAATGGCCAGACAAATTTTGCATTTGTAAATGTAAAGAAGAACAAAATATTTCAAAGCACAAAGGCTTCTATTGATTTATTTTAAGCGTGCAAAGAAATAACATTGTGTGTGTGTGCAGACACTAATAAGTAAATACTGCACCGGAAATAATAAAGTAAAAAAAATCTGAACAGCAGCCAAATACGTGTGACATTGGGCTTGGGAGTTACAGGTTCCTAGGCAGCTGTTTCACTGCTTGGTCTCACACATGAACCCTGCTTTTTAATGAGCACCTCAGGCAGCGCTATAATAAGCCCGACGCAAGCAGGGCACATCACATGCACCACGGTGTGAGGTGGTGGGGGAGATTTAAAACCTAAATAAATAAATTAATCCACACTACTTTTAACACTCTGCCCATCCGAACCAAAATCCTAGCACCAGACTATGGCCCGTGTGTTATTACACATACGGTGCAGAGATGACCTCGAGATCATACGGTAAAATAATTGCGTTCAAGGACCGAGTGATTCAAGAGGCAGGTAGCCAGTGCTGTATATACGTACACACACACACACACGCGCGTAAGAAAATAACCATCCTGATTCGGCAGATTAACTGCTATTAGTGAGCACCTAATAGGGTCAGCACAGCACTCACAGGTGATATGGCCGTGCCGTGCTGAGTTTCATGTCTCCCCAATGCTGATGTTTAAGTAATACAACTGATCATTTATGATTAAAGTTGATCAATGAGCAGACTAGGGCATAAAATATTACCCATGGCCAGAAATGGCTCTCATGTCACTTTGATTTTGGTGCAATGCATAGACCAATTCAACTATCCCTCACCACACAAAACAAAAATCGACCATAAAGCTCTAACAGACTGTTGGGGCAAGTGCTGTTAACGAGCACCTATGACATACTTGGACTTTGTGAAAAGTGTCCTACGAGTCAATAATCCACGCGAAGAGCTGGTATGGCTAACACCATGCCTCGGTCTCCCCCAATGATGATGTTCACACACCACACCAGGTACTCATTCTAAGGCAGAGTCAACAAAGGAAAGACCTAGGATGGGTTCAGAAATCCATCAATGATATTATCTGTGAGATGTCACACACAGATGCGCACACATAAAGATACAGACGTGCACCCAATGCCGACTTGAGCATCGTGGACTAACGAAGCATGCTAAATAATACAACTGAGCTTTAGTATGTACGTTAAACCAAATTTTGCTAGGTGCTCTCCGACACCCTGCGGCTCAAATACAATTGAATCCCCTCTCTGTGCTGGGCACCCAGAAACGTGTATATAATTCACATGGTAATTTTACATAAACAACTTACGTTAAAGTCTAAGTTGTGTTTTGCGATCTCTGCGAGCACGGGCCGGTGCCATCCCATCTGCGTGCAGCTACTCAGCATACAATTGTGCCACGATCAGGATTGGCTTGCAAAAGGAATGAGTGCAGATCGTACCCATGGAGTAGAGGTTGTCGAAGACCTGGTGCATGCGGATGATCTCGTAGTAGAGCTCGTCGTAGCTGCCAGGGGTCGGCAGGAAGGTGTCCCCGAACGTGATGAACATGTTGAACAGGTTCACCACCTGGGCATACAAAAACAACAAAAAACATCCTCCGTGTACCCAATAGGCTGTTGGGGACAATTATGTTAGGGAGCACCTATTTAGGCACACGAGGAAGTGCTGTGGACAGTACCATGCCAGGATGACGCTGTTTTCCCCCCAGTGGTGATATTTGGTAATTTCAGGCTAAGTAAACCTCGCGGAGGCCCAGGACAGATTCAGACGTTCAGAATGATGTTCACTGTGACTAGGAATCGAACTCGGGTGGCCAAATTCATAGCGCAGTGCGATATCCACTAAGCCACCGCTCCCATACGTGCACACGCACATCCGCATGAGAAAGCAATGGACTGATAATGTTCCCACTTTATAGGTACAGCATAAACCAAAGGACTTTGTTTAGAGCATTTCCCCAAGTAAAATAATAGTGGATCATATTCAATAACTTCAATGAACGATGAAGGGTCGGATTCCTGTGTCGACGGAACCAGAGCCCACCAATTAAGGGAAAATAGTAACATTCGTAGGCAGCTGCTGAAATTTAATGGGGCTAATTCTTTCAAATTGGGATGGACCACAAACAATTCCATTTTATAGCAGCCAGCTCTGACATCACAGTACAAAGATGCTGCACCTGGTTTGTGGGTAAGAAATGTTGTTCTGGGCACAAATGTTGTCACACCAGGTGCTGTCCGAAGCACATGCACCCCCCCCCAATCCCCATGCCAATTTAGTGCATAAAATGTCAAAGTTAATGTAACACGGCACTCTGCACAATGCAACTCTATAACTGTGTTTACCAGGATGCAATTAAAACATAATAAGCATCCCCCCCCCCAAGATGGAAGATCCCCAATACTTGAATTAAATCTCATCTGGAAGGAATTCAAAGCAATCAAAAACTAAGTGCTTGCAAAAAATCTTTGCAGTTGGGTATACCCTAACCTGGCATTGTTTCAAAGCAATAAATACCTAATCGCATTCAAATAGAACTGCCATTCACTCAGCACTAGTGATGGCTCAATGCCATCTCTCTCTCTCTCTTCTTCATATCGAGTCCATTTTTCCACTACCATCAACAACAACAATCGCCATACCGCCACTAAGTGGCGGTAACGTCACCACGGCGCTTGTGCCAGGCTATGTGCACGTTAAGGCCACGTGAAGTGTCGAACGCCCGCTGGGAGGAGGTCACGGGACAGACCCAGGTGCCATGGGTCGACTGACTGAGATGACTGGTCGATGTGCCACCTGTACCCCCTATTGTGCCACCATCTCTACCAGCAGCAGCTATAGCACCCATCCCTAGTCTCATCAAAGGACATTGGAAAAACTAAAAGGCTAACACAGTATTAAAATCGCTCTCATCATATTCAGCCATGGCCAATCCACGACTGAATTAAGGTCTCTCTCCAAGCCACCGCCACCTTTCATGGTCCTGTAATGAAATCCGCCCAGCTCACGGGCGGATTTCATTACTCCATCTCCCCACTGGACATCCTTTTCGGTGCGTTCCCCGCCTTGGCTGCCACGTAATCATAAATTTTGACCACCTGCCTCAAATCGCTTCTTGTGATGTGTCCTGCCTAACGGCCAGAATGTTGTCTTTAAACCTGCGTGGTTCTCTAATCCACCTGTTCCTCTTCCTGTCTCTTAACGTCATACCAAGAATATATCTCGCCGTGCCTATACTAAACTAAGACACAGCATATATATTATCAGATTTAATTTTTACAACATTTTTTATGAAAGAGTGCATCGACAATTTGAGTGTAGACCTGTCCTTAATGGAAATTACACAATTCCATGGCAAAAGGGGCCAGTTTCACAAGCATGGCATTCCGTCGCATGCTGTCACTCAAGAGTGGCTTCTTTCCCACAACATACGGAGATATGAAGCAACTGCTCCAAGTTTCACAATGCATTTACAGGACAATGCGGATGATGACTGACAGCATCTTTATTAATGCGTCCACACTTCAACGTTGATTAGGATAGCCGACAACGTGAGCACTAGATGATGTGAAAGTCTAATTCATTTATTAAGAAAAGCTCACTCTGGGGCCTGACATGTGCCCATTGAGATTGCAGTGAATTTAGAGCATCCTGTTTCTTGATTTGTGCCTCGCTAAATCTGACACTCTGCAATGCACGTGTGACTTTCAAAAACTATTCAAATGTACTGTGATTTCAAGATTGTAACTAAAATAACAAGATAAAATTCCAATGCCAGACTTCCCACCCACACCTGTAATTGAGACCACACCCCCCCAATATCCCATCCCTTATACTCGCTCGAAACCCAATCCCATACACTTGCTCTGAACCCCATCTTGGATCAATTCCAAGATGTACTCGCCATCATCGAAGTCCTTCATGCACTCGGCCCTGCCTACCTCTCCCCTCTCGATTCACTCTCGTCCGCTCTCTTCTCACTCTACTCCCCTCCACGTGCTCTCCTACCTCTCCGCTCTCAACTCACGTTCCTCCCCTCCACGTACTCTCCACTCCAGCAGTAAACCCTTTCTGTCGAAGCGCCAAGTCGATGCCTCGCTCATTGGGAAGTTGATCATTTCCTGTGCTGCCCCATTATATAGATTCCTTGCTTTTGTTGAGGTCCAGGTTCAAGATCTTCCCTTTTTTTTTTGCTCCGAGTATACCGGAGTGGTGGCGTGGTGAAGCGCAGTGGTTGGTGCTCTGTACTATGAACCCAGCAATCTGCATTCTATTTTAGGCCATGGCTGACATCAACAGTGGCCAGCGTGGTGAAATACATTCATAAATGGATTTTTAAAAATGGCTGAAAATATCATAAATTAAATTACTAACTTCCTCTTTCTGAGAATAGGTTTTCCCCTTTTGTCTGGCAACAAAACAGGTGTTAAGATGTTAAAACACCAAACCGAAACCTTTTCTGTTTAGAAAATAAACATGCCCATTGTTTATGTGGTTATATTTATACGCTACACGAGCAGCTGCCATAGAAAACATAAATGTGTTATATTAATACATTAATTGTAAAAACTACCACCAGAATTGTACCCTTGGTGTAAACTCGTCCTACTTGAGTCAATAAGTGAGCAAATGCATGCATATAGTTCAACTTTAAATAGCATTTCTGGGACTAATTGGGCTACGGCGTAGAGACAATGCGCTGAAAACACTTTATTGCCATCGGCATTATTAAATATTGATCTACAAATTAAATAAACACATCACGGCCTAAAATTTCCAGCAATGGTCCTTCATCGCAGCGAAGAAAGGCGGTTGAACAAAGGCCATTGTCAGAAACATCGGTTCACTCATTTTCAGTCAAACAACAGGATTTGTGAATCATGATGGCGGTTAAGTATTGTCAGCCTAAGCATCAGTAATGTCCTCATGTAAACTCAAGCCCGAAGTGGCCTTAAACATTTGCATCGCATTTTCAAAAAATTACATTTCAGTGCTCCAAGAGGAATGCGTGATTGCAAGTCTGTTTACTCTTTTATCAAAATCTCGGGAAGCAAAGTTGCTGATGAATCCATAAACTGTTTAAAGATTATGATGCTAGTTTCCATTGTCATGGACAGGGCACAATGTTTCCAGCTGGTACATGTCAGCATACTTGCCCAATGAAGTGCCAGATTCCCACGCAACACTCCTCGGTCTCCCTCAACACGCACCTCCGATTAGTAGCACAGTTGGCGACGTACGGTGCGAAAGAAGTTCAACACATACAGACATGAATGTGGCTTTGCACAGGAAGGGAAGCAGCAGGGGAGGTTTGGACAAGGTACGCTACCTGCAGGGCGAGTGGGAAGATGTTGTGCTTGCTCAACAGCGCCGTCTCGTTGGACAGAAGGAACTTGAGCAGGCTGATCAGCGCTGTCCCAGAAACAAAAACGCACGGACACAGCACCGAGCATTACAACATAAACATGCACATCACTCAATTCAGCAAGGGGGGTCAATTACAAAGGACATACTTCACTTGGCTATAATATTAAATTCATCCATTGAGCAAAATATAATTATATCGTTGTATGGTCCTTCCTGACATCTTGGGAAGCTTTTGACTAAGCAGACGCATCAAACGTAAACCTCGCGCGTGCACACGCGCACGTTTCCGTGGCATACCAACATTTTGGCCCACCAAGTGTCATGTGTAAATTAGCTGACAGCGGTTGCAATCAATGGGCAAATGGAATGTTTTGCACATCCTGAGTGTTTTGAATTTACCCCATGTCTCCTTTGAAAAAATATGTTGCCCTCTCGACATGTTTACAAAACGTAAGCATGCCATGCATACATTCATTAAAGTGGCATGGATTTTCACATTGCATGGAAAAAGTCAAAATGGGAGCAGTGTTTATGGTTTATCAGGGGCTTGTGTACATGTTGTCTGAAAACGTTCATAGTGACTACAACTCAACGACCGATTCAACCGTGCGTGTTCAGATGCAAGGCTACCACCAGTACAGATTTGCCGAAGGGCAATATCACATTTCAAATGATCTCCCCCACTGTGCACTATACATGATGTATGTGTGCTTGGTTCATTTATTGCAAGTTTGTGAATATGTGTGTGTGTATGGGGGTGCGTACCAGTTACCCTGGTCTATTAACCGATGACACTTGGGGAAAATTGCATGATCTTCTGCGAGTGAGTATAAAAAAAATGATTATTACTAATATATATTGTGTAAGTTAATATTTATGCACACGTGAAACATAAGTGGCTGTATATGTCAAAACAAATGTAGCTTATGGCTATCTGGTGCAGTGCTAGCTTCAAGTAGCATTGTAATGTCTTTCGGTTTCAAATCGATCACAGGAAATGCATTCGGACTACCAATACGGGGTTCACTCTGTCGAACGCTCTTACATCAGAAGCTACATCAACACTGGTGTCTGGGAGCCATGTCGACATAAGGGAGGGGGGGGGGCTTTTTTATCTATATTGGGCAGTCAAATTTGCAATTAGAAAAATGTCACATACCGAATTGCCAATCAATTCCCATCAATGTTGACATTACAAAAATCTTAGTTTTGTCACAACTGGGAAATGATGAGATTTTCACGATCGATACTTAATTGCAGCAATTTCCCCACATGGTACAAAGGGGTTATTTATTACAAACAAAGCAATATAATGATGCCTACAAACTCAAACGTCTGCTAAATAAATTTATTGCATAAAAACACATCGCAAAATAGATGAAGGTACTCGATGTGCGAAAGTCACTCTTCCTTGGTTGTTGGCGCAGAGAATCAGCCATCCTGTGACACCACATGGAAGTCAGCTGTATGAAGCAGTACAGCAAATAGGTTCTGAGTCATTCTGTGTGGAATTTGAGGGTCATTCCATTTTACGATCGCTTTGAGATCCTGGATGAAAAGCACTATATAAATGTAATTATTACGGGTGACTTTTATCCAGGCTTTCCAATTCTTTCCCACATTTTAAATCGATCTACAACAAATCATTGCTGGGTATCCCAAGCATCTTGTGAATCGCTTTTCTAAAAAAGTCAGAAACACATTCCTGCAGAGGGAGCTGGTAGGAACGTTGGGTTGCTCGGTCAATGGCCAGGGTCAACGGCGGCGTGGTGTATTCCGCAAATATGCCCGACTGTGAGGGCGGGCACAAGCCGGAGTAGAGTAGGTTAAACGTTGAGTTTTATAAGGGCACCACGAGGTGACCAGCCCCTCCTCACCCAGCCCCATCCCTCCCTCCCACCCCCCACCCAGCCCCTCCCTCCCCACCCAGCCCCTCCCTCCCCACCCAGCCCCTCCCCACCCTCCCCACCCAGCCCCTCCCCACCCTTCCCTCTCCACCCAGCCCCACCGCTCCCATTTTTGGATGCACGACGGACGGACGGACACAATAATCCCCTGTGGGCTGGTGTAACCAGGAGGTTCCTACCAGTATCAGAATATTTATTAACAGTGGAGGAATCCCATGAGCTATGAAGCTTTTTTTCGGCGGATGATCAAAGCCAGCGTTGTTTCCTTGCTCACACGAAAACTGGGGTGGCCGCACGTCACTGAGCGTGGCCCTGAGCAAACGGTGAAAATTCCCAATTTTCAAGGCCAGATGAAAATCTCTTCACAGTACAACCACTGTCAACAATGCCATGAAATGGTCCTAATTCTATTGACCCTGAAGGGAAGATCGGTTGATTGAACCCCGAATCAAACTTTAAAATTGCCACTGCTCCAAATATGACCCAGGCCATATTTAATTGTTTCCACATTTGAACCTTATGGCGGGACCCTGGGGTCCCGAATAAACGGAAGTCAAAATCATAATTAATTTACTTTTGGCGACTCCGTCCCACCTCGCACATAAACGCTGCGACCCACCAGAAATCAATCCTCTCGTTCTTCACCAAGCACCTGTCGTTGCCAAAATTGACGTAGTCATAAATAAAACTTTTAAACTTTGATTAGCGCATCGCGTAGAGCTCGTCGAGAGGAATAGATTGCCGTATCGTTCACCTTCAACAGACATAAAATTACGTCGCAACGCAGTTTATGCGAGAGCCAGGGGCTTATGGGACCCGGGGTTCCGCCATAAGGTTCATTTGCAGTTGTGCACGGGAAAAAGCACACACGCTTGCATAAGTATACAAGAACACAAGCGCGCTCTCATAGAGTGGAAGCGCTTTCCTCCGAATCCCTGCGAAGTCAGCAGAACTATGCACTTTTAAATCTCGATTGAAAACTAATTTTCTTTAGAACTGCTTTTAGTGTTCAGTGTGTCATCCTTCCCCGCACACCTCCGACTAGCACGGTTGGCTACGTACGGTGCGAAAGAAGTTCCACATGCACAGAGTCACTGACCATCAAGGCAAGAATTTGGCTGAAACTCACCGGCCCAGAACTCCTGCCAGGTGTAATGCAGACGAACGCGACACTTCTTCTGATAGCAGATGAGCTTGTGCGAGATTGAAACGCAGCGCCTAAGGGAGGGGGGGGGGGAATTGGCGTGTTAGAGCGATGTCAGAAACTGGCAGGGTGCAGCAGATTGCCAGCACCACTGAGCACATGTGAGCTGACTTTACGACAAATGTCACGCAAAATGGAAGTGTATTACCGCTTAAATTCCTGTGCTCTATTACAATACATCATCACCCACCGAGTCAGGGAATGCTGTGCTCTGTAAGAGTGTAATGTCACGTTTGAATCCATCGCAGATTAATTTTACTGAGAAACATTTACTTTAGATACAACTCATCCAGTGAAATACTCTAAACGCATGCTGATTCGAAATGTGGAGATAAAAACTGGAGGACCGATCTCCTGCATACCAGGCGATGTAGTTAACATCTCGCCATCGTGGTACCCCGATACAAAAGTGGCAATGACTATGACAATGCAAAAACTGCCACAGAGGACAAACACACTGGCAACTTACGTGTAGAGATCCATCGGGAATTCTTTCATCATGTGCGTTACTATGAACTCCACCATCAGGTCTAAAGAGAAACGTAAAAACAATTACCGACTGCAGAGAATCTCAGCGCCATGCCAAGACCGAGTGACAAGATGCTGCAGGCACTGCGGCAATAGGATAAATTATCAAATGAAGGATTTGTTTTTCCCCAAAGGAGGGTGACAGTACTATAACCACGTCAAATGTAAATAAATGTAATCAGCTACATTTGGTCCTCCTCTGTTAGGATAGATGACAAAACGTGCCTATAGCATGTCAAGTATCTGTTTTGCGGAATAACAAGCAACAGCGTCACCATCAGAACAACAATTACATTACAGTAAAACCCTGGATTGCGAGCATAATTCGTTCCAGAAACGTGTTTGTAATCCAAAGCACTCAAATATCAAAGCACTCGTATGTCAGTTGTGATCACGTGACGCTCGGCAGACAAAGCGTATACACGTACTACTCGTATTGCAAAACCTCGCTCGTTCATCAAAGTAATATTGATTTAAAATTTTGCTCGTCTTGCAAAACACTCGCAGACCAAGTTACTCGCAATCCAAGGTTTTACTGTATCTGCTTCTTGGCTGTGAATCTCAAAAGGGAATAGGTGCAGTCTGCATGCGGATGTTCCAAACATCACATCCAAGCTAGGCAAATGTTGCATTAATTACTGTGCTGAAACCCCACTCTTTCCCAACAGTCCATGGTATTTAAATAAATCTCACGCTTCAATTTGTTTTTCAACAAGGCACAACATAAAAGATTGGGTAACGAGTCTATAGATTTTGCTGGAAAGCAATTCTTATCAGTCTTTGCACGTCCCAGAAGACTATCATCATGACCTTTGTGACACAAGTCTGTGACGTGACACGTTTCTTTAATCGAGAACCCTCGTGTTTCGATTCACTGCTCGGGCTCATAACGGCAGACCCAAATACCATCGCCGTTGATGATGCGAGATTAAAGTGCATTTGCTTGGCGTGAGCTGCAGGCCAACAATGCACGAAAGACATGAAAACCTGTTTGCTTCAAGGTTTTCTCTTAACATTTTTTGCACTCGCTTGTACTTACAAGAGGATAAAAAAAAAAAACTTTAAAAAAATTAGCTCGCCACTATATGCAGTTGTGCAAGGGCGCCAACATATATGCATGTGCAACGTGTTTGCTATCCAGCGGCAAACATGAATATTTCACGCGGGTACTCGGAGCATTCCCCATTCACGACACAATCTTACCAAAAAATATCGCACATATCCTGTCGCTTGCAGAATTAAGTATCTTGACTTACTGAGAAGCCATCACACACTTTGTTCACGAAGCACTACCCATTGACAGATATACATCATGCAATTTACACAAACACTCAGACATCTGCAAACACACACACTCCACTGAAGACGCTGCAGGATAAGATACTTTATGCCAATGTTAATATTACACTCTAAACATCCACACATTTTAATGAGAACCAATTTTGACATTACTGTCCCCATTCTGTCATTGCTGCTGTTATTGACCATTAACTAAACGAGAGAATGCTTTCCACCTATTTTACCTGAATCATTGTCTGTATGCTTCTGGAACATCATAATCTCATCGACAATTTGGACTCGGCAGTCACGAAAGCTTCAAATCAAGATAGTTGACAGAGAGCGCATCCCGCTCATTAACCTAAACCATCCCAGTAAGTATTCTCACAGGAAAGAAGGGTTTAAAACGAATTAAAAGGACAAACAGTTGGTGAACTTGCTGCTTGCATAACACCAGCGTCAATGCATGCCTTGTGGCCGTGGAATGAATGTAATTTTGAAACTTGTAATATATATCAATTGGCACCTGCTAGTGTACATCGTGCATCACGTGAAGCGGTCGCATGCCTTACGGCAAGGAAAAATAGCAGATCAAGCAATAGATCCTGCGGTGATTACATGCTTTTGAAATATCAATTTTTTTAAATGCTTAGAAAACTATGCTTCCTTGCATTAACCTGTACAGACTATCGGCTGTGTGCAGAACAAAGACTTAATTACATGCAATTTGAAGTCATGTGTTGCTAACACACATATAAACTAAATTCTTTAATGACCAAGGGCTTTCAAAATGTAGGAGCTTTTCCAAGCTGGAAACTATTTTGGAACAAAAAGCACTGATCTGTACCCATCTTGCTGATCTTATCAGCCCAGACACTGCATGAATCATTACTTATTGGGTGTCTTCCCCATGTCAAAAGTGCCACTTTGGCAAAGAAAAAATATGAGCACTACACAATCAATTTTGGCATATCAACGATTTAGGTTTCAAGGGGGAGTGGCAATACATTTTTGTTTGGCTATACAACATCTTGAATATCAAATCAACTCTACTTCATTCAACATTTATACTATCTGCTAGGCACAATAATAATATACTTGTTGACTATTTTTTTCAAGAAATGTATTTTGTTGGCATTTTATAGAATTCTTGTCTGCAGAGAACTGGTATACCTAAGGAAAGTGCAAAGATATAACAATAAGATCTTACGAATTGCCTCCTACAGGCATATACTCAATTCACATTGCCCCAAGTCGTGCTGCTGTGGAGCACACCCATCGAGCCTGGCACTAGTGACCAATACGGTGGCATGACCATCTACCACTCACAATGGTGGTATGACCTCTACCAAGATGGTGGCATGGCCTCCACCACACTCACAATGGTGGTATGACCTATACCAAGATGGTGGCATGACCTCTACCACACTCACAATGGCGGCATGACCTATACCAAGATGGTGGCATGACCTCCACCACACTCACAATGGTGGTATGACCTATACCAAGATGGTGGCATGACCTCTACCACACTCACAATGGCGGCATGACCTATACCAAGATGGTGCCATGACCTCTACCACACTCACAATGGTGGTATGACCTATACCAAGATGGTGGCATGACCTATACCAAGATGGTGGCATGACCTCTACCACACTCACAATGGCGGTATGACCTCTACCACACTCACAATGGCGGTATGACCTATACCAAGATGGTGGCATGACCTCCACCACACTCACAATGGTGGTATGACCTATACCAAGATGGTGGCATGACCTATACCACACTCACAATGGGGAACACCAGGTACAGTACTCATTTAAGGCTGAGTCGACCTCGGCATGACCCAAGACAAGTTCAGATGGCACTTCCTACTCATCTGTGGCTGAGAATGAAACTAAAAGGGTGGCCACAAAATCCCTTTGCAATAAATATTGTTATTTTTTTATTTGCTGTATTTTCAGGTTTGGTTTCAACATAGAAGACATCCGCCCGTTTGTTATTGGCTGTGAGCGGCAATCCAACTTGGGTCGCCGGGTTCACAGTGTGCTAGCCACTACACTACCGCTTCCCATGCACCACACAAAAACACTTAAGACAACACATTTCATTCGATCTTGGTGTGATCCATGTACCCTAACTCCAAGTTGCAGGAATACATAATTACCACAGTGCATTATGACCCACTCAAATGCAGTGCTTCATGTGTTCCTGTCTCACAAAGACAAAGATCCCCCATATAGCCTTAACAGACTTTGGGGAAAGTGCTGTTAGTGAGCACCTATGAAGGCCGACACGGCACACGAGGTGGTGGGTGGCCAGCACCACGCCTGGCCGTCTTTGTCTCCCCAGTGGCGATGTTTAAACACCGCACCAGGTTCCCATTTGAGGCTGAGTCGACCTAGGGGAGGCCCAGGAGAAGTTCAGATAATCATCACCGTGTTGGTCGTAAGCAGGAATCGAACCAGGGTCGCCGGGTTCGTAGCGCAGTGCGCTAACCGCTCCACTACTGCTCCCCTCATGTCTCGCACACACACACACATAAAAAATACACAGGAGAGTCTGACTGTATTGGACAAAACATTACAAGATGGAATTACCGAGCACGGCACACGCCAGTGGGCGAGACGGCACATTCTTGTCCACAACCTTCTTGCGGTGACGCATTGGCTGCAAGAGATGGGGAAGGTGGGTCACAAGGGGGATGATTAATGGTATCGCTTTCTAAACTGTTTAGTTATGTTTAGTAGACGTTGATTAGCCAATACCTTTTGTTTATATAGTCTATCCAGCTGTGTGTTGCATGGTCCTAAGAGCGCTTGACTCGAAAGATCGCAAGTTCACATCCCTTTTGGGGGTCTGCGCAGCCATCATCCATCCAGGGATGATTATATTCTTGGTTCTTTCGGTTAAAGTCACGTAGATAGAAAATAAAATAAATTAAAAATAAGAAATAATGCTTTTATTATTTCCAATTTATTATTAGAATTTTTTATTTTATTTTTTATTTTTATTTTCTATCTAATTGACTTTACTGAACGAACCGATAATATGAATTCCTGCAGTCATGAAAGTTTTAAGTAAAAATTTAGGGAAGATTATGTTTGCCCGATTTTATCAGTAGTCAAGAGTAGTCATCCACAGAACAGAATGTCGGATTATCACTGGGAGGGACGGATGGTCACATCCTAAGGACGGGTGGTGGTTGCATAAGAAAATCACTTCCAAATATATCCCGTTAAAGAAAGATGCTGATAATCTAATATGTGCTAAATTTAATAATAATCAGGGAATTAAATGAGCAAAGGCTCAGGGGTGCGAGTTATGCAAAAGTGAAAACCCTTGTCAAAAAAAATATAATAATAGGGTTTTTCCACTTTTTTCTGGCAACAAAACTGAAACCTTTTTACAAGGATTCATGTCTGCATTAACCACAATACCTGCAGTCAAATGGAAACAAAAAACACGCTATGATAATATATGCATTGTCCTTGAAACTGATTGGTCCACACCAAGGGACGGCTTTCTTTTGAGCCTCGACCCAATTGGTGCTCGACCAGAGGTCGCCTTCTGGGATGATTATATTCTTCTTCTGGCATCCTCTGGTCGAGCACCAATTGGGTCGAGGCTCAAAAGAAAGCCGTCCCTTGGTGTGGACCAATCAGTTTCAAGGACAATGCATATATTATCATGGTGTGTTTTTTTTGCATTTGACCGCAAGTATTGTGGTTAATGCAGACATGAATCCTTGTAAAAAGGTTTCAGTTTTGTTGCCAGAAAAAAGGGGAAAAACCCGATTATTATATTTTGGTACTGGCAAAGGAGGTCCAATGAAAAAAACAATGTTACAATAAATAACATTTGTTAGGATTAATCGTCTGTGCATTCTAGCAATATACAGCATAGTATCATAATGTGACATATCTGTAGATCACAGCGGCATGGAATTCCTTATCAAAGTAACCAGAAATTCCTCTAACTCAAAAGCAATTAGCTGCACAATTCAGTTTGAAATACGTATTAATTGGATTTGAAATTGTCAGTCGATGCACATACCAATTGGAACATGAATGCCGTGACTTCCATCAAGTGAAAATACATAAATCACACCAGCATCTTTTGAATTTACACGAGTTTGACTTCACAAAAAAAAATCCTGATCTGATAATGAATTTGAAAATAAAATGTCGTTCTTTGGCATTGGGGTTGGAGGCAAAGTTTGAGCACGAAACAAAACATTACGCAAAATACCCACATCTATTTTTACTACAGCAGGCAGTGTCCAATGATACCAAACAGGGACAGGACATTGGACTTTGCATCGACTTAACTCGGTCAACCACAATCTTGGGGAGAGGAGGAACAAAAATAAAGAACGGTTATGTGTCACCCCTATATCCCTACAGGAGCTGTAAAACGCACGGCTACAGGATGGTAAAACTGTGCATATTATCCACCGAGGGTTCTGATGACATGAGCCAGTGTGAATACACACAGGGATGGCTCTAAAGGTATGTTAGTGCTGGTGACAACGAATACAATATATGGCGTAGCATGGGGTGGGTTATGGCATAACGTTCCTGACGGTCATGAGCCCTTTAGCTCTACTTCAAGCAGATGGCAGATCATTTGTATCTAATTGGTGAACGTGCTGGAACAAACAAGAAGCTAAATGTCAGCAATTTTTTATTGCCACACTCATGAGCACAGACTGAACTGAAACCCAAAAATGAGGCGTCCGATTGCAATGTTGGCTCCCGGCAAAGCTGAACAGCATGGAGTGGTGACAGCCGCCAGCGTATTCTGTGTATTTGGGACAACGTTTTTTTTTTGCGATGGAAATTTGCATCTCATTTAAAACATAAATGCTTCGTACTCATTTAAAAGAGAGTACGTCAGCAGCAATCTAAGTTAATTTTAAACATGCTTTGGGAACAACAACAAAAACTAACTTATATATTTCGCATAAATATTTTATTTACGCGATCTAACCCAAAAAACCTCTATTATGGATGATATTGGTCGCGAAAGCCTACGTGTTAAATGTATATTTTCAAACTCACGCTGCGTAACGCATGCTACAATTTTTTTTACAATGAAAGTGAAATCAAAGCAGGAATGCCATTAAGTTACCAGTTGACATGTTTTCAAGCAGCTGTATATAAACACGTGCGTGAAAGGCGCAGTGTGTGCTTGTTTAATGTGCTGGTGTGTTCATAGTACCTCCAGTATGTTGCATGCTCGAGATATACATGAATGTGCGAGATAATAGGCGAGTGTGTGAGCTAACACACTGAACTTTGCCCATTTATATCCCATTGGTCTTAAGTCTGATATGGATGATGGCTTCACGGGAGGGGGGGTGCAATGTTAATAATAAGCCGAGGAGTAAGGTTACGAAGAAAACCAATTTACAATGTTACGCACAAGCCATTGAGTGTATGTGTTTTGATTATTGGGTGGCCAAGTGGTTATTGCTGTGCTTGACGTTGGGGTCAAGGGTTCGCTGGACTGAATCCAACCTGCGTGCTCAGACGCCGTGGGTTATCGTGAGAGAAGCATGTTATCCTCGTTTGTGTTAAAGTAAAATAATAACTTAACATTAGACATGTGTGCAGGCCAATGTGTGCCCATTGTAATGGCCAATTTACTCACAATTACAATACCATCAGAGTTATGCCTCCATGAATGCTGGAAGGGTTAGATGCCCTGAAATTTATCTTGACAGGAATCCTCTGAGCCTAACTGCTGCATTATACAAGTCTTGGTACATATATTATGACAACCACATTAATGAGCTCATGTAAAACATATAGGTGCATGTACATAACCTTGTAGTACAGTACCTAATTTGACAATTATTGCACACTATGGTAATATCAAGCTGTGTGTAACTTTATGAGACTATTTATTAAAGTGGAATTAATTATCCATGCCTTCTACAGCAAGAAGCCCTCCCATGCAAATAAATATCCAGAGATCATTTATTTCCTTCCATAAGGACATGTACATGATATTGGGTTTGATAACCCAACCCAATGCAGGTTGCTTCTTTTCATACAACAATGTATCACACCTCGAAGCAATGCAAGCAAGTACATTTATAAACGCACAACTCTTATAAATTTCGATATAAAGTTTTCGTGACCGCAGGGATTCATATTATTGGTTCTTTCGGTAAAGTCACGTAGAAGAGAAATAATAAAATAATACGCATAACAAAATTCTCACGACGTTTCGGCCACAATGCAAGCAGCCGTCCTCAGGTGAAGAACAGAGCTGTCGGAAAGCCCTGTTCTTCACCTGAGGACAGCTGCTTGTGTTGTGGCCGAAACGTCGTGAGAATTTTATTATGGTTTTTATTTTATTATTTTATTATTTCAACTCTTATAACCTCGGTTACCCCTAGTGCGGAATATTCATGCATTGTGAGCTCAATTAAACAGTTCTTTCTTGCATTGTCTACTCAACTGACTCAATGTCTGTGAAGAGTGTTGAACGCAGTGCCACGGCAGTGAGCAAGACTAGCCCTCGAAATGGGAAAAACCTGCAGGAATGAGCGACGCGTACGCGCGTCGATCCGCTCTCCAACCCACGTCCCTGAGCTCACACATGTTCTCAGCACATGCATCCCTGTTGGCAGCAACACACACACACTCACCATCTGATGTAGATGAACACGAAAAGTCATGTTGTCGTCATGCAAGAAAGAGTTGGCGTACTGGTCCTGTTAACAAAAAGAGCATCACGCAGCAACGGCATAAATTATGAATGCTCCAACTTGTAGCCTCACTCCGTGGTGATTCTCAATCAATACCCCGACTCTGGTGCTTTATTGGCACGCAAAAACGTAACATGCAGTACATTAGGCCGTCTCTTTTTAATATAAATTCCTCACAGCGCTGTGTGGTTGTGAAATCCCAAAGGCAGGTAGGTTGTCAAGTGGATTTCAATGCGTGAGCTAATCAAAGAAAGAAAATCTATGGATATAACAGCCGTGTTGCTTTAAAGGTCACTCATCGCTGCTGCCAAAAAGCTGATTACTGAAACGTGTACCTCTGCAATGCAGGTGAGGATAATCAAACAGAGCTTGGCACTGTTCAATCTGTGTTCATCTGCAAAAAAAGAATAAGTATTGCCAGTTAGACCAGCACAGCAATGTGTACAGTTATTATAACGATACCCACCATATACAAAGGCATACCTAAATAAAATTGTTAGTACTTTAGGACACACAGCATAGAGGTCCGAGATGGTTAACAGTGTTTCCACTTGTGTTCATGCCTTTATTTCGCCAATCCAATTTTCTGAAAACATCTTGTAATGTTGATTTGAAGCTTTCGTGACTGCAGGAATCCATACTCTTTAATCCATGATCTTGTAATGGGCGTTCAACACGCACAATGATGGCCAGCGGTCGAGGCTAGCAGGGGAATGGCAGCCAAAGGCCCACACACCCTAGAAGACGTCCGTCATGGAGATGAGATCAGACCACGTGCAGCAGCGAGATCCATTATTGTACCATGAGGCCGTGGTTACAAATTAATTTGGGGAGGCTTTCATCCGGCAGTGGAGATATTATGGCTGATGATAACATACCCCCAACAATAACATACCAATTCGTGTATAATCCACCGATGTCGTTCAGATTGCATTTATTACTCAATTGTAAAAATCTGCGCTCAACAAACTGGACTGACCAGTGTGGTGAGGTATAGTCAAACAACCCTCACAAATGTGGCAGTATTAAACTACAAGCAGAAGTGGTATTTAAAAAATAAACCACTTAATGAAACCATACATTTCCTTTTGGTAATTGATGTAGAGTAATGCATGCTTACATTTAAAATTAACGATACAATTTAAAATTAATGACGAAAATGAATGCGCTATAAAATACAAAGATCCCCCGTATAGCCTTCAACACTGTTGGGGCAAGTGCTGTTAGCGAGCACCTATGAAGCACGACACACGAGCAGGTGACTGGACAACGCCACACCTGGCTGCCTTTGTCTCCCCAGTGCTGATGTTTACACACCGCATCAGGTCGTCATTTAAGGCTGAGTCTACCCAGGACCGGTTTAAATATTTGCCACTGTTATTGGTCTTGAGTGGGAATTGGAATTCGGATCGCTGTGTTTGTAGCAGCTAAGCACTGCACTCTTGCTCCCGATGAGCTATATACACATATAACACAAACACAATGTGTTGTGTGCACATTCGTCAAATAAAAGATTAATTTAACTCCTAGAAAATAAATAGCAGCAGAGCAGTGAAAAGGGCTCAATGTTTTCAAGTCTCAGGTACCGACTACCCCAGCATTGTGAGTCATTCTGATGTTGAAGTTATTTGGCATGGCATTTGTGAGGTGCACTGATTGCAATGTGATTCTGAAAGAACAAGGGTATTGTGTAATACACGTCAACGGTTGAAACACAATGAGGAGCTTGTTCAGACAACATGACGTTACATCAATCAAGCACACACCCATGACTGATATGACTTGCACCGAGTCGGGTAAAAAGGCATCGGACCCTGTCGTTAAAAAGGACACATTGAAAATGCTTCTCGATTTTCAAATTTAGAACAGGCATTGTGGCAGCGTTCATCTTCATTGGTGGCGCACAAAGGAGGGTTGGCAGCCTCACCACACAATGATTAATTTCAACTTCTTACAATGGTGGAACATATTTTATTGGGAAAATGGGCTTTGATGTCCGAACCGGACTCTGAACTCGCAAACATATGAATATCAGTTAAGAACTCTAACCACAACACATCTGGCAATAGTTACTTTGGAAACATAACATATATTAATTGATATTTTTATTTTTGAACCAATACATTACTGAACAGTTTCGCTACATAAATTGCCATACGCGCTGCCTTTAAACTATTTGCTACGACAACCGAAGTGAAAGGCCAAGTCAATGGCGAAAGCTTTCCCAGCACCATGTCTTCATCTCTCACGGGGACAGCTCGCAAAGAACAAGTTTTACCCGCCAAGGATCGGACGGATGACGATTCACGTGCCAACGCCATCTCCCGCAGTGCCGTAGTACGGGCACGGGGCCAAAACTAAATACAGCCGACTCCATCTGCAGGCTCGTTGATGCAGGAGGCACAACAACACTCCTCGCGAACGACACCACCAACTGTGCAGTGGTATCTTAGCATAACCCCCCCCCCCCCCCACCTTAAACAAGGAACATCTGCTGATAGAACAAAAGTACTCGTCAGTAAAGCTGCAGAGTGTACAAAATGAACTGCTCCTTGCATGGATGTGAAAGTGAATGAATAATGTGGTGGGCCAAGTCACAGGTTTTTAAATTCACCTATGGAGGGGAAGCATTACTGGACATCTGTGAGAAAGAACTTCATATTTCATCGGATTCCTCCAGTCCGATTGAAGATTCTGATTCTGATCCCGAATTTCACAATCTATGCATAAGCTCAGGAGATGTTTGCAATATATATCGTTCGATTTAATTCAATCAAAACATTTCTTTACGGATCAAATTAAACAAATTACACCAACAATTGTATACATATATAAAAATCAATTCGTGCCAAAGGTAGGGTTAAGGCAATGGTTGGCTGCCAACTGATATAACTCGGTGTATTTTTAACATCAATTATTTTAAGGCATCAATAACGACATTACAGCAGTATTATTGGCCGAGGTAAGGTTGATTAATGAAGTCAGGGTTAGTTGTGCTGTTTAAAATGTTCTCACTTTAAAAAAAAAATTGCTGATAACGGCCATAAAATTTCACCTCTCGGTGACAAAGAACCAAGTGACATTCGAAACAAGCCGACTGCATTTTATCTGCGTACAAAACACCCTCCCCAGTGCACATAAATCCCATACGTGTCATGGAGAAGTCGTTACTTTCTGTCACCACTTGTTTCTAGCCATGTCCACGCTAAAGGTACAATGTCAGGGTTTTCACGAGTTGGATTCATGAAAGATTGATGCTATGCGAGGAGGAAGTGTCCCACATAGCCCAACTGAAAGCTCTCTATGCGAAATGACAGCCCTACCTAGGGGCTTTTCTTAGTATGTGCAGTAGGTTTGAATTAACTTTCTTCATCAAAATGACTTAATGATGATAATTGGTTTTTTACCCTTCTATCTGGCAACAAAACTGACACCTTTTTTTTACAAGGAGTCATGTTTACATAGACCACAATACCTGCAGTCATAATGCAAACAAAAAACATAACTCTGAAAATGTGCACTGTCCTTGAAGTTGATTGGTCCACACCCGAGACAGCTTTCCTTAGAGCCTAGTCTCACATGGGTTGGACCAGATGACGCCAAAAGGCATCTCAGGTGTGGACCAATCAACTTCAAGGACAGTGCACATGATCAGAGTTATGTTTTTTGTTTGCATTATGACTGCAGGTATTGTGGTCTATGTAAAAAAGGTGTCAGTTTTGTTGCCAGATACAAGGGTAAAAAAACAATTATCATATTTTTACTGGCAAATGAGGTTCCAATGGTGTAAATTACTTAATGATATTAGCATTTCTGCCAAATGCATTATCAATAACTGGTTGTGCAGTCGATGTATTACTACGAATAGGATTCCTCTGCAGCTCTAACATAGTATTTTTATCTTTACAATTATTAACCGAATCACTATTGCCATTTACGTTCTGATCACGGAATAAGGTTACCAACCAGACTTAGAAAAATCTATAAACAACACGCTGCATAATACAATTGTGGGTAAAAAAAAACCGTTCCAATATCTAGCATACTGCAGTGTCGATACCAGTAACTCATTCCTTTTGATTTGATTAATTTAATTGTGACATCAATAAAAAACGAGACTGAATATTAATTGTGCCCGCCGCAGTAACGAGCCTGGCGGGGGCACGGTGGGGGACCTGTGCTGGTCTACGCTCGCGGTGACTGGCGCCCAAGCCGTTCAAGCAGGAAGATGGGCATACAGCACCCCTCCTCCTCCCCCCTTGCCTGTCACATCTCAACTCGCTGCCAGGCAGGGGGGTGACGCAGCCTCCTGCAGGGCTCTCATTTTGCACTGAAGCGATTTAGCACAGCTGGGGACCTTCCATTACTTGCTGCCTCCCGTGGAACTGCGCTGTAAATTGGCAAAAATAGAAGTAAAGAAAACCCCACTTTAATAAATAATGTACTTCGAAACAGACAAGATGCTCGCAGGCCAAGCTGTGCATGTCTCTTCAGAAAGGCCTTAATGTCTGGAATAATTTGTTCTGATGTTAAGTCAAACAGAAAGGCCAAGTTTACTGTGAAAACAACAACAGTGCACAAATGATAGCTCAATTGCCTAAAGTTTTCAGACGTGAAAATATGCATTAATGTGGAATTCAATTGCATACTATTCATTTTTATGCCCACATTTGTATTTATCATACCTTAAATGAAATAACAAAATAAATAAGCAACGTCTCCTTCACACTAATTACATTTGACTTAAATGAGAATAGGCTACATGGATTGACTGCAAAAGCACTTAAATTTCTTTACAAAAGCGGAGATAACCAGGTGGCTCACAAATCAGAGCATGAAGCTGTCATGGTTGATATCTTGAGTCTGAATCTGGGAAGCAATCTGTGATTAAACAGAATTCTCAAGTGGAGCGAGGTGGTGGTCTCACCTGCGTGACCAGTGACTGCAAAACATAAACATTAAACTTGCCTTGACACTTGATTTGACTCTTAAGTGAACAAACGATTTCATCGCACAGCGCGTGGGAATGTGCCCTCTACTCTGTAAAGATCCCATCGACAGTTTCATATTTTGGGAGAAGACCGCTGTAAAATCTCCATCCAGTCTGACAACAAGTGGGACATGCTGCTCTCTCAGTTTTCTCAATGGATTCTTCGTCTCCCGACACGATGCCGCTAGTGCAATTGGAATTACCGTAAGTAATACAAATTACAAAATATCACTATTAAGTCTCCAAAATACAGGTTTTTGGGGGGGGTTAGATCACGTAAATGTGTCGTTAAACCCGCCACCATCCGACAGCCAATTAGTAACGTTTGTCACGTAAACAGAACATGCCAATTCGTCACTAGTACAGCACTAACCGGTGTGTTGGAGAGCCAAGCCACAACATTCACAATCGGAGTACGACGTTTCGCCAGTAATTACAACTAGCTTCATCAGGCGACAGCCAGATTTGTGGAGAAGTCCTCCTGTTTCATTCCTTAAATAGAGGGGTAGCTGTGAGTCTCCATGCCCAATCTAATTTCAAGCTGAAGTTGTATGTATGTATGTATATGTTTGCATGTTAGACTTCTTCCGCACCGTACGTAGCCAACCATGCTAATCGGAGGTGCAGGGGAAGGACAACAATCTAAAACACAAAAAGCAGTTATGAAGAAATTAATTTTCAATCTACATTTTAAAGTGCATAGCTCCATTCGCTTCCTAATACCGGAAAAGCATATTCTTAGGTTTTTTCGGTAAAGTCACGAAGGTAAAACATTAAAATTAATAAAAGTAAAATAAAATAAAAATCACGACGTTTCGGAGGCAACACAAGCTTCCGTCTTCAGGTGGAACCGTCACAGCCACGATAGCTGTATCAAGTGGGCGGTAGGGAGTGGTAGTGCATCAAGTGGGCAGCTATCGTGGCTGTGGCGGGTCCACCTGAAGACGGAAGCTTGTGTTGCCTCCGAAACGTCGTGATTTTAATTTTATTTTACTTTTATTAATTTTAATGTTTTACCTGCGTGACTTTACCGAAAAAACCTAAGAATATGAATCCTTGCAGTCACGAAAGCTTCAAACCGGAAAAGCATTCCAGACGGCCGCAGAAGAGCATCTGAAAGCGCGCGATGCGGTGACCGTATTTGTTTGATGGATAGCCAAAAGCCACTGCGAGGATGACCGGAGTTTGCTTGGTGGTTTATGCTCCTTGACGAGACCAGCAAGGTATTGTGGTTCATTTGTGGCAAGCACTTTGTGTGTAATGAGTGTGACCTTCTCGTACATGAGAAGCCATGAGCTAGTCATGGAGATTCCACATTAATATGGTTTAGCTTATTCTCTCTATTAGACAAACCACTGTTCACTTCCCACAAAGTAGTACTAATTAGGGTTAATTATGGTTAGGGAGAAGGATTTTCTGAGGTGAACTCTGAACTAGATTTGAATTCATGGCCTTCTGATTGCAAGTCAATCACTCTGTCACCAGACCAAATGGATAGACTACAATCAGCAATGGATGCGGACATGCTGTTTAAACATCACATGCCAAAAGGAGGAATGTGGGAGAAGCACGTGTAACCCCAGATAGAATCAAACAGTCTTCAACTGACCCAGGCATATGATCCCAACCATGTGAATCTGAAATTCTGTAAAAGATAATTACTCCTTTCAAATGGAATTTTTTTTAATGTTCAGCTGTATAGAACGTGTGGTATTAGACATGCTCACTGTCCATTAATTTTGTAATGAAACGCTCCGATATTGTAATTTCAAAAGACTATTTTTGACAGTTTTGGTAATGGTGTGATTCTTCTCAGGTACATATTGTATCACAAAAAAAATAAGCTTCCAAGTCTTGAAATTTGACATCTACTTAAAGCTCGCAGCAACTGTTGAAGACCAGAATGGCCAGTAGGTTTGATCTGCAATTCAAGCGACAATAATAAGGCCAAGTCTCAATCAATCATTCTTGAAAGTACCAAACAGAACACACCATGGCGAGTTAGTACACAAGTTAACGCATAGTTAGCATGCAGTGCAAAAAATTATGGGGCTTAAAATGAATTTGGCTGCCTTTGATACATTTGAAAACGCATTTGTAATTATCAGTGTACTCTACAAATCTGCATGCCTGTAATCCATTACACACTGCCATACGGCTTCAATGTGAAGCGTGTTTCTGGAAATGTGTAAAGAACAGTAATGTGTATCTTTGAAAGGCATCACAATTCATTTGTAGCCCAACAATCAAATGACAGGAATATGCGTTAAATGCCATAGCATCAACCGTCACTTAAAAAAATTATTCTCCTGGGAAAGTGATGTCTGCACTGTAAAGAGAATAAAATCTTCAAGTTCATTAAGTTATTAAGTCAGAAATAGGATGAATTAGACCACTGTAGAGAGGGCATCGTTCATTGTCAGGATGTAAGAATAAAATTGCCATGAAAGAGTGATTCCTCAGCATAAAAACCAGCCGGTGTCACTCTTGAGTGCTCAGCAGGATCTCATTCATATTTCTGGGTAAAATATAACACGTTCCTTCGGAGTGGGCAGGTAGGAACTTGCTTGGACAGCGCATTCGTACCACGACAGAAAGCTCGCGGTCACGTGACACACTTCAACCAATCCGGGAGCGTACATGTTTGGGAGGGGCTATGCACGACAGACAAATAATCCCTGGTGGGCAGTGTGGAACTGTTGTTCGTACCTGTAAAAGGCCTATCTTGGAAAGGAGACCTGTTACTACACTAGACTCCCAGATGTTTACTAATCTTGGAAATCTCTATCTATTTGGTTATTCACAGTCTTTATCACTGCTGGTCTCTCTGGAGACAACTCTTCCGTGTGAATGCTTTTGGTTTCTCAGTATCGTTCTCAAATTATCATCAAACTATTTTTACCTTACAGACTCCAGGAGCACGTTTATTTTATCTTTCCAGCAGAACACCAAACCAGTACTGGGCTTGGGTGAAAATTAAGTGTCAACATTTCAATGCAACAATTTATAAAAATTAAAACCTCTGTCAAGCAGGTACTAGGGGTATGCTGTAAATTTAAGTGTGGAAGAGAATTTACAACCCTTTTTCATTCTTCTGGATTGGCGATCGTTTGATCATACTGCATGCTGGTCAATGCCGATTGGTAAAGAGGAGTCCATGCCATACAGCAAGCAGTTTGCAGGGCCTCAATGAATGGCCTGACGGCATCAATGTACCTATTTCTCCATTATTTCAAGTTTTTGCAAATGACAGCAGCACTGTTATCAAGTGATAATTAACTCAATTTGTTAAACATTCACTGCTGCCATGAGACCCGGATTAACACTTCACGTTCCAGGTCACAGAATAGACAAATTTGACTTTCAATTTAATTCCACAGTCCAGAAATGGTCCATATAACTGTCCAGCCAAAACGCTGAAGAGCCCTACATAGCAATCCTATTACAACTGTTGCACTTAACATTTCAATGCCAAACACAAGACATAGCATTCTATTCATATACTAACAGCAAAGCAGTGATGCACTTTATCATGGCTGCATCATCTCAAATTGAACAAACGCATACTTTTATGTTGCAATAGTTTCCAATTAATTTTCAAAATTGCAGAATATTACAGCAATATAAATAAATGCAATGGACCCAACATTTTGGTTTGTGGATTACTGCACGGATGTAAAAAGAAAAAAAATTAGAATCAGCTCAATACACTTTTCCATTTACACAAACCACTGAAAGCCTGAAGGGTGGTGATTAACGTCCGTGTTCTCAACGGTGATAAACTATGTATCTGCAGATACGGGATATACTGACAGCATGACAATTCCCATAATAGCAGCCTGGCAACATTAACAAAAGGACCAGAGCACATGGGCACAAAGCCCCTAATTACTAATTTTGATGTGAGTTTTTCTATATGGCCAGGTGGTGTTATGATTAGAGCACTTAATTCGCAATTGTAAGGTTATAAGTTATATTCTCGTTCAGTATTAGACTCAGCAGCATAACAAAAGGCAGCTTAATCCTAGCTTGCTTATCTACTTCTGCCATCTACATTACAAAGGCTCAGTTCCAGCAGCCGTACTGACCATCTCACAACTCCTCCTCTCCCGCGGCCCATCCTGGCTCCTCCCCCCTTAACCAGTATATAAGGTCGTGTCTCTTGGGACTTTTCTTCACCTGAAGACGGAAGCTTGTGTTGCCTCCGAAACGTCGTGATTTAATTTATTTGTTTTCTTTTTTAACCTACGTTACTTTACCGAAAAAACCAAAGAGTACGAGTAGGTATCACTTTATTGAAAGTGATCAGTGGTCATGGCATGGACAGAATGGGCACCGAATACTGCAATGTGGAATATTCAGGCTGCCAAATGAGACGAACACCACTCCATGGCTCATTTGAGCACGGAGGCAAAAACTGACGTGAGAGTTTTCCCCATTCCATCTCGAACACCACTATCCTCGGAAAACAAGTGTTTTTAAATCAACAGACTCTGATGGAGAGCAATGGCTATTGAATTTAATAAACGCTCTTCATTTATACCCAGGCGACAAACCCACGGAGACAATGGGTCTGATTTACGCGTTGATAAAGAGGCAGCGTCCACAATTGCGTTACAATTTGATGTCGTCGTCGTCGTTGTCCATCCACGCTTTTGCATTGAGAACAAAAAAGACAAGTGCACACACGTTCACTCGGACAAAACACACCGAAGGTTCACATCAAACACCGAACGAGTTCTGCTCGGTGGCTGGCTGTGCTAACGCATTCACGCACAGGGGGCCAACGTTGCCACAACAAAATCTCCCTCTCAGCCACAGCTCTCACCTTTGGTGTCCTGCATGATGATGGAGCTGTACTTGAGGAATGTGATGAGGAGATTGCTGGTTTGGATGTTTGGATCAAGTGGGAGCTCTGTGCTGCTCAGTGCTGAAGCAAAAACACCCGCGAGAAGCAGCAATCAGACAAGCACCGCGGGAACACAGAACATGCGCCCTTCAGCCGTGCTAGTGCTTAGTAGACTTTATTATTGACAGAGCCAGGAAAAAAAATAGACATTACAGTTTGTGATTGTATGCATGTATGTTGAACTTCTTTCACACCATACGTAGCCAACCGTGGTAATCGGAGGTGCGGGGGAAGAACAACTATAAGTTGGCAGAGATTACCACTGTAGATATTAAAAACATGTCTTTATCTAACACAATGACAAGTTGAAATCAACATCCTATGTGGCCCTTCCTAAGTCATGGGGCTGTTCTGTTTTGAATATATCATGTAACGGTACTACTTTAGAATCACAATACCATAATGTGTTCAGACTTGCCCCAATCTAAGCCAAATGCACAATGACAAGCAAATAATTGAGGGTGGCTGAGCATGAAGGTGTTCTTTTCCCCTAAAACAGATTCTCAAAATATTAATGTCCCCAGCAACATACAGACTGATTTCCCTAACCTCACTCTATACATTGTGTGAGCCATCACACCAGTATGTCAAAGCTACAATCACATGAGGTCTAAGTTCACACACACAATGTCAGCTCCATGAGCAGATCAATACTCCACCGTGTCGAAATAGTATTAAATCATTTTCAACCAATCAATACATTTTACGGTCTGATGACTTATAAACACTAAACCTGCTCCCTCCTGGAGGCTAGGTCATTGGCAGAGGGTGTTTCGCTGCTAAATGCTTCAGGCTGGGTGGTGCATTTTGGATGGTCTTTGCTGCATGCTCAGTGATACTCATGATGCATGCTAGTTAGTATTTAGATAGTGCACAGTGAATGGTTTTTAAACAGTGCTTAAGGCTGGACATTTAATTGTGTGCATTCTAAAGTCTATCTCAGATGCTGAATGGTACATTTAAATTGCCCTTTGTCAATCCACTTCTAGACGAAGGTCACCCCAAGTTGTGTCGGTCGTACTTTACCATGCTGGTCAATGCAGGCTGGTGATCGGGGGAGGCCCAAAGGACCAGTTCAGAATCAGAATCTGTATTTACACTGGAGGAGTCCAATGAGCTATGAGGCTCTTTTTCACAGGTGTCCAGTATGGGCGGGTCAGCGGTTGAGATATCGATTACCACCAATGTTAGCCATGACCACGAATTGAACTAAGGTCACCAGGTTCATAGCGTAGCGTGTCAACTGGTGCGCTGACACTGCACCATTCACAGTAGCATGGTCGACTTTAGGTCCATGGTGGACGTTTTGTTTGTTACTCATTGGTGGACACCGTATGTTAAAAAGAGCGTGTACATATGTAGGTGTTGAACTTCTTTCGCACTGCGCGTAGCCAACCGTGCTAATCGGTGGTGCAGGGGAAGGACCACAAACTAAACACAAAAATCAGCTCTCACGAAATGAGTTTTAAACTATATTTAAAAGTGCATAGCTCCAGTGGCTTTCGAATAGAGAGGAAAAGCATTCCAGATGGTCACAGAAGCACATCTAAAAGCGCGCGATGCAGTGACCATCTATATTCGACGGCTAGCCAAAAGCCACTGTGAGGATGACTGGAGTTTGCGCGATGGTTTATATGCTCCTTTACGAAATCAGCAAGGTATTGTGGTGGACCGAGCATCGTGAATTCTGGTTAGCCGGTGCTGGGTGATAAGTTCTGGCTGTGGCGTGTTGGAAGCACTCACAATCATTGGCAGGAGGGGTGGTGCCTGGCTGCGGAGTGGTCGGGGTGGTGGGAGATGCGGGTGCTGTAGGAGGTGGGGTGATGATTCCCATTTCTGGGTGACTCTGGAAATGACATCACCTTCTTATGAACACACATTCAATAGTTTTAATGCATTTGCATGCTACGTAGCAGCACAATGCAAACATTGCAACTATTCATATGACAGCACATACGCACAACACACGCAAACACACATGTTCACAAAACAATCCATAAAGCTATTGTATGTACAAACATTCAATTTCATCATTGAAAATTGTTTCATGACAAGAAAATGCATAGTTGGGATAAGAATCTATAAGATAATTGTCCTCTACTCAAATCTGAATCCTCTTCGGAGTTATGGTCTATTGAACCAGTTCCCATCATATGTATATCTTTATTAACTCAACTATCAATATCTCTATGGTGCTCTTTAAAATTTCAGTTGTTGCACCATGTGAAACGACTGATGGTCAGCAGTAAAACATATCCCTGTTGAGTGATCAAAACATTGTCACTAGACCAGAGAGAAGAAAACAAGCTAATACATTTACAGAGGGTAACAAAAAAGAGAAATCTCACATCATTTATTGAAGGACCTGTCAATTAATCAATACGAACTTGTCAGACATAAAAAAACAGGTGCCGTGTGAAATTGATGTACGTCTCGAGCTATCGCCAGCACATGCCACGAATGAAAATTGCCCCTTTATGCAATAAAACATTATTCAAACCAAAACATGTAATCCGGGCGATGAGCAGAAAATTACGTGAGGCAAAAATACAATACTGTCAAATTCCATCCGAAATTAGATGTAGTAGTAATTCATCCCGAAGATAAAAAAAAACTGTCGATTTGAGCGCAGCTCATCTTCATACGAGTCACAAACATCAAGAGAAACGTTCCTTCCACTATATTTAAACGGTCTCACAATGTGCAATTTTATGGGGACCATTTTTATGACAAAACAGCAGCCAGCTCTTGTATATTTTACAGGATCTTAAAAATTCTGTTGACAGAAGTGCTAAACTTAACCTCCCATGAATTAAAGAAAAAATGTGGCCCCTTCAATGTTAAGCCCTTGATATAAACCTTAATGGAAAAGCTATTAGCCATTTGCTGGTAACAATGAGCCTCCCTTATTTTATATCTCTCAATAGACTCAATACACTTAACACGAATGCTAGATCAACTCAGCTCTCCAGATTAACAACGTAGTGCACAACCAGTGAAACCACTTCATAACAGCTTCCCCTATGCTACACTTAATAGAGAAGAAAAGAGAAAATTTCAATTAGTTTTTAAGTTCGGAAATTACAAAAACTGTTTTAACATATATACAAGCCAGGCTTAAAGCACTTATGCACGGTTTGTTTTCTCAAAGTGACCATAAACACGTTCGTCAACGTCCGAACTCTAGCCCATGGCCTCAAGAAAGCTCCAGTTAAAGTAAAACCCACACCCCACGCTCCCTTCAGGGCATTATGCACGTTAAAAACAGCGCCTCTGAGCATCAGTAACGCAACGAAGACAACGGAGCAGGCAAGTGACCCGTGCACTGAAGCACGATTAGAAAAATACATCAACGACCAACATTGGAAACCCCACAAACCAGACCACCAGCAGAGGACAATAACGAAGAGAGCCGTGCAAGAAGAACTTCCACGCCCAACATGCTCCCTCTTCAGAACGTGGGGAGCAGAGTGGGAACAGAACGTGCCGATGGCTGCTTCAGTTCACCAGCCTTAACAAGGAGTGACTAAAGCCTAGTTTACCCTTCAGTAGCTCTCAACACTTTCATGTGTGTTGAACTTCTTTCGCACCGTATGTGCATCCCCCCCTCCCTCCCCTTTTTTCTTCTTCTCCTACAGGGCAATCAGAGCTTAGGAAGACACCAGGAGGGGGTTGTAGAGTTTATTGCAACAGTTTATTGAAACATGCAGGTTGGACAGGTTTCCATTGCACTGTAATTCGTAATGTGTTTACGCTGGTGTCAACCTCCTTTCATATCCTCGGTGTGTAACTGAATCGTCTTGTTCATACAAATCTTTGGGGGGAAAAAAGTGCATACCTCCAGAGGCTTCCTAACATCTGAATTTTTGCCAAAACACCAACAACAGAAGGAGGAGGCCAGACGAAGATCAACGACCACAGGCCACAGATGAGGGTAGATGAACATCAAGGAACGGGGGCCAAGAATCTGCCACCAGATTCCCAAACGCCACCTTTCTCACTCACTAAGCTAGTGCGGAAAGCACAGCCCACTCAAAAGACTCAGCCTCTAAGCAGCCGCACTTCATAGCGTGTCTCTATAAGAGACATGCCTACCGGCTCTCCTCTGAGATCACTACTGATCTCGTAGAACAGTGGTTCTTAACCTTTTTGGAGGTACCGGACCCCACCAGTTTCATATTCGCATTCACCGAACCTTAATTAATTGGAAAAATAAAATATGATTTTTTCAAATTCAAAACATAGATATATTTTTTACTGGTGCACAATCATATGAGTCGGGTGTGTGTCTTAACCTCCGCCGAACCCCTGAGACTGACTCACCGAACCCCTGGGGTTCGATCGAACCCAGGCTAAGAACCACTGTCGTAGAATGAGCCTCATGTCCCCCCCCCCGCCACCCCCCACAAAATCAAACGCCAGAACCGGTAAAGCCTCAATGCTGCCTGTACGACAAAATCCACAACTTCAAAGCAGCTTTGCCTCCTTTAAGTAAAAACGACGAGGTACAAACCACGCCTATCCACTCCACTCCTTCCTCCTTCGATCTGAATGCTTTTGTGTGACAAACAAGGGAGAACAATCTCTCCAAACCCAGACAGGACAATTGTGGGAATCCTTCAGCGGAGAACGGCGTTCTCCTGGTGAAGCACCAAGGCCTGAATCTCGCTCAGCCTCCCGGCCAAAGTTCACTAGAAAGCCACCTTGAATCATTCAAAATTATCACAATCATTTCTAACAGGTAAAAGGCAAATGGCATTCGGATGCATGTCTGAGGGAGCTACCAGCAGGTGCACAAGACGATTTGTACCGCAACGATACACCATCAATCTCCTCTTGAAAAGCAGAGACTGCACGTGAAATACAGTTTGCTTAAACAAAAAATGTAAAGGTCTTTACTTTTGTCCTCAAAATAAATATGGCACGGCATATCACACAGCTTTAGACGAGAGAAGTGAGGGTTTTTATTTTTCATCTTCATAATCGGGCTTGAGACTGTTTTAAATTCTCAAACTCGACAGGGGTCTGAAGCTGAAAATAAAACACTAATGCTTAATATTCTTTGGGTCTTTCAGTAAAGTCACATAGAACAAAAAAAAAATTTGTTCTACGCGACTTTACCGAAAGACCCAAAGAATATGAATTCCTGCAGTCACGAAAGCTTCAAGCCAAGAACTAAAGCTGTATTTGTCTGTTGCGCACAACAACAAAAAATGCCCACAACAATCATCTAATGCATTACAACTCCACATGGAAGCAAACACCGAAAGTATATTGCCGGCGTATTAGCCAAGAATAAACTCAACCGTGACAAAGTAGCCTTTCCAACAGTTTTCTCTGCTGTAATTCCACTACCCTGATGGGGTTACGAGGGCAAAACCGCGGTGGAGAGATGCACGGGGCTGGGGTTAGATAATATGAATAATATGTAAAAAACTATTTTTGTTCCTGGGTACTGTCATTTTTTAATGATTATGCCTAAAAAGTATAGAAAATGTCCAATATTCCCCACAAACTTTGCTTTTGTGACCTTTATGTGAAAGAATGACACAAATGCACACGTTTTGTCATTGAAAATAGGTACATTTCAAAATATCCGTGTACTAGTCACAAAAGCAAAGTTTGTGGGGAATAAAAGCCATTTTCTATACTTTTGAGGCATAAGCAATTAGGAAATAACCCTTACTACCCAGGAACAGAAACTTTTTTGGTTACACATCAGCCTTGCGACATCGGTCCACTTCCAACTCTGTTGTTGATTTCCATGCAGTCTTTAATCTGCTTTTTCTACGCGGAAGAAAACGTTCCAGGAACTGTCAGGAGGTTTATGATGAACGATAGTTCGCATCAAGCTGCGGTTTAGCGCCAAAGACCAAACGGCAAAGTTGTATAATGTCGTCAAACTGAAACTTGCTAATGGGCAAGAGAGCGAGTGGGTAGGAAAATCTGGCAGCAAGGACTTTCAAAAAACTGTGCAGCAGTTTCATAAATTAGGTCCCATTGTAGCTGGTTGTTTGACGTTCACTTTTCCCGAGGCTTTGTATTTCAAGGCAGGTGGAAACTACACCGTGGAGAAGGTGCCGTCATGTCTGCACCACAGGGCTGAGCGACAGAGTTCGTCACGAAACATAAATAAAAGCCGACGAGACGTGTGCACACATTTCTGTAGTGCTCCAGCAGCTTCTAACTGCCATAAAAGTATCCGGGAATGAGCAAGTTTACAGAAACGAATTGTTAGCCTCAGAGGTGTAAGCAAAATGCAAGCCCCAAGAACACTTATAACAAACGTCGAGTTAAAATACCAAAATGCGCTGTATGCATAATAGAAATAACGTACGGTATTTTGTTTCAATACAGTGTGCTTGGGAAAAATAAAACGTGCGTGGCAATCAGTGTTAAACCCGGAGCCACGGCTTAATCATCGGACAGTTTTTCTCTCAGGAAGATTCAGGGGCATTACCAAAGAGGGTTACTGCATTGTCACGATGCATATCTGTGGAGCTGGCTGCTCAGAAGGAATGGTGGGGTGGGGCAGGGGTAGTGGTTGGGGATCATTCGTTCAACATGGCAAGCCAGTGCCCCCCCGATAGTGGGGGGGGTATGTTCAGTGAGATATGCCGTCTCCAATTTACAGAACACCAGGACTGTAGGTGTGTGAATAACAGGATCAGATACGGCACACAGTAGGAAACAATTCGCTCTCCTGAGCAGCAGACACAGCCACTGCAAAGGGGGAACTTCTTCGGCAAACCCGTAATACACTGGCACGCAAGCCTTGATGACATAAGCATAACACAGCATTATACTGTTACTTTTTTCCTGGTGTTGAGGATGAAGATCACAACCTTTATCTACAACTGTATATTGGTTTTCGTGAATATAACGTTACTCTGCCTTCCTACATATAATATGCTGCAGTTGTATAATGCTTTTGTTGAGTGTGTCTAGTCCAACCTTGTCAGATCTTTCAATAAACAACGTGATGCCATTCTAATACAACATCGAATATAAAGGCAGTGTAATTTTAATTCCGTGTAATGTACAACTCAATGGTATATGACCAAATGAGAAATTCCCTTTTGGAAGAGCTACAGTTCATATGATCACAGTGAGTTCAAACAACATAGGGCAGTACATTTCTATGCAAGAACGACATCTTACACCAATGTGAACTCATAACCACTCACTCATCAGCAGCAGCCAGCCCAAATTACAACGAAATCCATTCAGAAACTCTCATTAAACCCATCTGATGCAGTCAAAGCCTGTGCGCTATGAGAATACCAGCGTAGGTCTATATTTGAAAACCAAATCAGACTTCAATGAGCGTCTTTGCCCATGAGCCACATCAAATGTAAAAATACTTACGTGAGCAAGAACTGCCACAAAGTTCCGGTTGAGGTGTACCGCCTCGTACAGCGCCAGTAGAATGGACTCATTCGTCCTGACAAGAAACATACCATCATCACCATTACTATTCATATTAACAGCAGTAGCATCAGCAGCAGCAAGGAATGTCAATTATTCACAAAGTTAAAGACACAAAATAGCCATTTGCCATCTCAGCAAGGACGGTGATGCTGTGTTAGGAACACACGACTCAAAGCCGGAAGAGTACAAGTTAAAATGCCAGCCAAGGGGTCGAATCAATTCATCTTCCCTCCAGGCCAGATGAAATAAATACAACTTTGTAGGAAGTCATTGATATTCAAAATGTGAAGAAACCCCAGCCATTGCAATGTGTCATTTCTCCATTGCTGGCTGAGTGGCTGTCTGTGCAAATTAGATGTGCCCCTATTGCTCGTTTGAGATTGCAATTGCATAAATAACCTAAATTAAATTTCCAATTAAAAAGTGTGCTTTTAATGCTTATAAAATGGCTTCTAATACATGCATACATACTTTTAATCCATTCAACTTCAAAACCACAAATCAACTTGTTCTAATTGTTGCTGCTAATCAAAGACTGGTTTGTTTTTCTCTTTCAAACAGAATTTGTAGTTTAACAAGCTACCCGCATTCAGAAGGAGTCTTGTCTAATACTTGAATCGTTGCTTTATTTTCAATGTGCAAGTTCATAGGACCCAGGTAAATATAACCGACACAAACACGATTGTTGTGTGCCTTAACTTAAAAATGTGTTTTCAGTTTAAACGAGACAACTTCAGAGGTTGCCCCAACATATATAATGCGTACATAGCTCCGGGTTGGGGCATATTAATGCTGCAAGACACAATATATTATTTATAACGAATACGACTTGTAACCTGAATTTGCTCAACAAGTGAACATCTCATCATCTGAGCACTATTTTTTTAACAGTCATTTATCTTATATAACCTATGGATTTATAAAGAAACACTTTTGATTTGCTATCATTCCACAGTGTATGTATACCTGTCAATTGTTTAAGGAAAATAAACTGCCTTATTTGAGAGACTTTTAATAAAAGCCAATATACGTCGTTTTATTTTGTCCTCAATAAACCAGTTTAGCCAGAGTATTTAGCAAGGCAAAATTAATTCACACATTGCAAAGAAAAGACACGTCTGTCAGATGACTTTAAAGAATATTCTTTGGGTCTTTCGGTAAAGCCACGTAGATAGAAAAAAAAAAAATCAAAATAATAACAGTATCACGAAGTTTCGATCGCAACACAAGCAATCGTCTTCAGGTGATTTTTTTTTTGTATCTACGTGGCTATACCGAAAGACCCAAATAATATAAATTCCTGCCGTCACGAAAACTTTAAGTCAAGATTTGACTTTAAAGAAGTTTAATTAACCCAACAAGGTCTGTGAAGCAATTTTGAAAATCTTTGCTCATAATGCGCCATCTCTCAGGCTTTTGCGAGTGCTGATGCAAGCAGACGCAAATAAAAAGGAAAATATTTCTGTGGGCCTGAGGGTATGTTCTCGCACACATAAATGAGAAGATTACACCCAAAGCAGCTCAAGCATTTAATAACTGTCGTGTACAAAAGACACACAAGGGAAACAACAAACTTAAACTTCACTTACCATCTCTAATTACGTTGAAGTATTCCCACCCCCTCCCCAAATGCCTGAGGTGCACAACTCTCTAACCAAGGTATCTAGCACTACACCGTCCCATGACAACTATCTGTAAGATGGGCAACGGATATATTGCATTGCGAAATACTAGCTGGAAGACACGGAGACGCTCAGGGACAACGCAGATGCTTTCAATACAGGACTGAGCGACTCACAAAAGTCACATGAGCCGCGATGGGTATGCGTGTCTGCAATGCACCGGTGATTCAACTTTCAAAACGTCTTTCCAGTGTAATTCTCCAAATGTCTATGGTGCCAATCAATGGTTATGCCCCCGCTTTAAAAAAGCCACAGTCTGTGAGTTTGTACAGCACCACTGTGTGTGACTAGAATGTTAGACTGCGTGGTATACATATCTAACGGTAATGGCAAATAGTTGTCAGTTTTTTTTCTTTGTTATGAAACTGTGGGAGTTCTATTACCGACAAAAATAGCCAAAGTGTGTTAGGTACAAAGACATCATATAAAATAAAAGGTTAAAACTGTCATCCTAAATTTGACAACTAAAATACAATGAAAGTTATTTCAAGTACAAAATACCCTGTGGTACATTGACAACTTTTTGTAATACATTTGCAATACATATTTGCTATGTGCTATAGCAACGCAAATATTTGATTGCAAAAGATAATGAAAAATGCTTGCTGATGCCACTGGTAACATCTGTCTTTGCAGGCGATTATGCGAGCGTACTTAAGAGTACATCATTATTCATCCACCGGGGGACGAAGACCTCCTCCCTCCCCAGGTCATCTGCATCCGTTGCGCATCACGGAGGCGACAATCGATCTGGCTCCTGCACACGAGCCGATCCCACTGCTCAAACTCCGTGGTGGACGTCCACAATTACACTTTCCAACAGTTGGTGCCGTTTTTAAATCCTTTATATTAAGTTCGCATGCTTGCTTGCTTGCGTGCTTGCGTGCTTGCTTGCTTGCTTACGACCGTGCAAATCTTTCGGTCGTTTTTTAACCCACTTCCCGTGATCCAATCGAGCTGACATTTTGCACACAGACTCGTTGTGCGAGACAATTAATGTTCGTGGAAATTTTTTTCCAAAATTTTACACTGTTTAGGGAAAATAAATTAAATATTTAATTACCAATTGTTTAATACTGCAGACAATCATCTGACCCATAGGTGGCAGCCATCTCAAGCCAGAGGACGAGAGGACTCTAGCCGCCACGCATATAAAGGATTTAGAGTGAAAAACTTTGTTTTTACGGGTTATACTTATTGTAAACAAAAATATCTTCGGTTATGCTATCTGGTCTTGGAGCTTTGATTAGACTGCAAAGGGCAGTATTTACTTAAAGTGCAATATCTGGAACTTCTTACACTTCTCTTCAATTCGATTTTACTGCTAGGGTTAATGGATTTTTTTGCTATAAAAATGTGCATAAAATTCCTGTACTCGGTGCAATATTCTGTCTCCGCTATGTGTTATGGATTCATCTTAATGAGCCAAGGACTACAACTGGTAAATTAACAATCATCAACCTCTTACTCGTTGGTTCCTTCGGTAAAGTCACGTAGAAAATAGAATCAAATGATAGAAAACGACGTCTCGGTTGCTTGTGTTGCAACAGAAACATCATTCTATTATTGTTTGATTTAATTTTCTACGTGACTTTACCGAAAGAACCAATGAATAATTCCTGCAGTCACGAAAGCTTCGACTCTAGCATCAACCTCTTTTTCGGTGCTTTTGCACTCCCATTGCACACTGTCACATTGAATAAAAAATGTATTGTGTTCTCTTCTCAAAAATGTTCTGATCTTCTTACACAGCGCTATGCTTTGTGGCTTTCATTTGATATTACCATCCCTTTTCATCTCGTCTTCTTCATATTTTGACAGTTTCAGATCATGTGTTCCGGTTGCTTTAATTAACTCCGCACCTGAGATTTTGACATAAATTAATAACTCATGGATTTTCCCTTAAGCCCAAATAAATAATCTAAAAACAGTTATATATTGTTATTTTCGTAAATGTTTGTTACAAGTCACGTGCTTAAACCAAACAAATATATTCGCCAGTTAATCCGAAATCCGCATGATCACCTCTACAGTACAGTAGTTGCCATATCCTTACAACAGTGGGCAGAGTTTGATTGATTTTTATCGGAGTGGCTCTGCTAGACTTAGTGGACAGTCTTCTGCGTCGGAGCAGGAAAGTGTGATCACTGAGCACGCACACCGATCAGCTGATCGTTAGCATTCGTTCTAAATCGAAAGAGTAACAATCGAAATCGTCAGTTGTGCTTAATTTTGAGTGATTTATCTGATAATTTATTATCCAAGTTTTCATTTATGAAACGGTGTGATGGCAGATAAATTTAACCAGAATTTACACCTATATTAGTGGTTTTTGGTACGGGGATCCACGGAAAATTTATATTTTTGGATTATCCACGATTTTGAATTATCCGCGACTTATCCTCCCCGTCATGAGCGCGGACAGTCGAGTCTCCTGTAATTGATTTCATCCTCTCTGTTGAAGTGTGTCACTTGCATGGCAAAGAGTCTGTGGTCACTTCTAGTGATGAATTTGCTGAAATTGGACATCTCTCGCATATTGGCACTTATTCATTAGAATCAGGTCCATGTCCCCGATTCCTTTTTTTTAATGTGTTTTTTACCTTTTAGGTATAAACTCTAATATACTTTCAGTCTCATCTCCCTTGCTCATCTCTGCTCCTTTTACCTACATTTGTATTCAATGCTGCAATGTGTTTTACCCTTCCTTAGAAGCAAATTATTTTCAGTAGTATATATTTAGTCTACTATCAATCTTCATGGCTTTGATAAATTCATCAAATGCATTTTTTAAGTTCAAATATCATTTAACATTCCGTGTTTGCTATAATTTCACATCACATCTCTCTGGAATCTTGTTGCACTAAATGCCCTCTCGGTAAGGAAACTCTATATTAGCCATTATTCACAAGTATGATCATTACATCAATGGCAACGGTGTTGATATCCTGCTGATAAGAATTCTATTTAGAAGCTGCAGGCTTATTCTATCTACTAGTGGGCAGAAACTGCTGTGGCATAAAATTCAATTATATAATTTCATAGGGATGCTGCACAGCATTTGCCAAATGAAGCCAGTTACTTTCCATCAAGGATCTTGGGTAAAGGCCAGCATAGAATGCCTTTCAGGCTCAAAGCTCTTCATTGATACCAACAGACATGTTGCCCGCAAGCTACTGTCAACACAGTTTACTGCAGTGCTGTGCTTTTAGCTTACTCTGCCCATTCCATCAAAGGACGCTCATTATTTGTGTTACTGTACTCGTATTATTAACGCCATTGCTTGGAACATTGATTCTGTATGCGAGTTAATGCTCCGCATTTTCAGGATGTGAGAAAGCATGTATTACTACACCGTACTGGAAGTAGTATATTTTGTATAGGGCTGTATTGACTGAGCAGTAAGCAGTGTAAATGTCCAGAGTACCTGTGACATTAGAAGTGAGAGTCGAGAAGTCTAATCACAGAGCCACCAGACACTGGTTTGAACATAACACTATATCAGCATGTAGCAGGATACATTTTAGAAGCAACTTAGTTTAAAGAAAGACAATCTCTACGCCACAGCAGAAGATCATTACACCATAATTAGTTACAATAAAAAATCTAGTTTAACTATCTGGCTGATTACAATTACTTTAACTACATATTGCACACAGGAAAGCATGTAATGTAGCCCTCTCTCAAGAGACTGACACAGTTAAAAGTCAAACATTTGGTAGAAGCTGATGCAAACCAAACACTGTCAAAGCATCACAATACTCAGTGGAAAGGCAATATAGATAATAAGTGTTACATACATTAAATGTGAATACAGTTTTGTTGGAGAATTTTCCCATTTAAAAAGTACAGACAGGTTTGTTCCAGAATTTTCTACTTTAAGAGCAAACTCTGGAATTTGAAGCACATTAATCCAGCAGAAAACATTGTTCCGAGGCAGGTTTATGGACTGTTGTATCACATGACATGCTAACTACCAACAATTCCCTACATGCATTGTGTATCCTTTCCAGTGACCTGACTTTAATGCTAGCCTTCAGGGCCAACAATTTCAGCTGGAATCTGTGCCAAGTAAATGCCTCCCCTCAAGTCACAACACACTTGAAATAAGAGACCAGAAATCTATATTTGTGAGCTATTCCAAAGAAACGATTGTAGCAGTGGTCATTTAACCATGTGATTCCATCTGATTGGTATTGTGCCATTCAAATGGTTGAATGGCAAACATGTTTCTGTAGCATGCACCACGTAGAGGGAGCCGTAACATTTTTTACCCGTGGCGTACCACAGGATGAGGAGTAGAGTCAAGGATATCGTGCATGGAAAAATTGTAATGAATGGGAAAGGGAAGCGAGCAGGTAAGGGGAGACAGAGAAAGATGATTGGCAAAGGTTCTGGATGCCGGGACGGAAGTCACCGAGAGGGTTGAGGAGGTGGTGGCTCAAGACGAGTCGGCAGCAAGAGGAGAGGAGCACCGGGCAGGAAGTGGAGAAGGGGAAGAAGGAATGACTGGGCCGAGATATCGGGATGAGAAGAGGATGATGTTGAGAGGAAAGAGAGGGTGGGAGAAATAGCAAGCTGAAGGGAGCTGCGTGGAGCAGCGTATTGTTATCACAGGGGGTGGCGAGAGGGGATGGATTCATAATGGGGGTGGTCACACATGAATCGTGTGAATTATGGGAGGTTTGAGGTGATTTAGATATATCGAGGTTCACTTAAATAACAATGGGTCTGGAAGAAGGAAAATATGCATCCCAGCATTCCATTATTCTGTTTAAATATTAATGAAAAACTCAATGTACTCTGTATTCCAAAATGAGGTTAAAACTATTCTGATGCATATATGCATTGTAACACTAAATGTTAAAGTATAAAAAATTGTTATCATGTTGTACCTAATACCTATATTTGTAATAGTGTATCTTGCATAAAAACATGCATCTCTTTTTTGGAGTTTAAAGCATCTTCACAAATCTGTATCTAGCTCTTTATAGGTCAAAACGTTGTTACTTACAATGCCACCGATACCATTATATCCCCTTATTGCTTCATTCTATCTGCTATAATAACCTATCTTGAGGGACATGTGATCAAATGCAATAGTAACACAGCAAGCTGCCAACCCACTTACTTGACAGACATTTTCTCTTCTCCGTCTCCCACAAACATGCTTCCGACCTACAAATCAAAGAACCCCACGTTAGAAAAACCTTTCATATATATGTAGCCGAAGCCAAACATAATGTCACAACCACAGAGTAAAGCTGAGAGATTATTGTTTATATAATGAGACAATTCAAGAGGTTCTTTTCAGGTGAGCTTGGGTCATGTGCACCAGAAAAACGCATCATCAGGACAACGCAGAATATCAGCCAGGCCAGCTTTAAAGATTTTTTTTCCTAAAACTAACGTTTGCCCACAAGTGCCATTTACAAGGCCAGCACTTGCCGACTTTGACCTTTTTCGCACAGCTTTAAATTACACTCTCATCGAGAGGAGGGTGCGAATACACACAAGTTACTTGCCAGTGCGACAATGTGGCCACTGTGGTAGCAGTATCTGTGTGGATGTGCGGATGTTATCACCTCATGCGCGTAAGTTTTCACCAGCTATTCAAGTGTCCTTCAAAATGTAAAAAATACTCTACGATGGAATTGGCCATACATTCTAAGGTTTTTTAGAGCTCCATGTTTGTGAAATATGCCCTAGTCTCGTATTTAATTTCCCTGAAATGTATCATTTACTTCTGCATATGCGTGATGCTTAATACATCACCATGTTTGTGATGGCCGAGAAGATGCCTCCCTGGTGCTCCTCTTCCTTGGCTTTGTACTGTCTGCGGCACATGGGAAGCAAGGGAAGAAGGAATTCAACACGACGCACGCGACACTGCCAAGGTGACCGTCTACCAGTGGCACCGGTGAGCGTCGACTGCTGCTTGCAAGACTTCACAACATTTTCCCCGCTTTTTCCAAAAAAGCGCATGAAAATCAGTGAAGTTAGCAATACAATAAACGATCATTCATAACATGGCAAGCCATTACAAGGGCACAGCGCAAATTACTAAAACATTCAACATCAGTCATTCGTCAAGCGTAATGAGAAATAGATGGTGTCAACATACACCTCGCTGAAGACCTGAGGAGCTCGCTACACCGCGCTGCTCGAACGCAGCATGGCAGACGCGCATCCACCTTCCACAAATGGACGATCAAAGAATCGCCGAACCGCGACCGCGAGGTGAAGTCCAAACCATCAAAAGCGAATCACCGTCGAATGTGCCGTCCGTGTAACATTAGCACCTCTGATTTTCACGGTTGGCTACATAAGTTGCGAAAGAAGTTCAACATACGTACGACATCCTGGTGGTGTCACTACGATCCACACAGCGTCTACTGCTGTCTCCTTGTATTGGTTCAATGTACTTCGCTTCTACAACACACTTCAGAACTGTTGCATTTCCATCCCACCATACAAAAGAAAAATTATTGGTAATGTATGGTTTGAATAAGTTTTTTTTTTTATGGAACAACCTTGTCTCTACTGCACCGAATTATGTGCACGTGGTACAAGTGTATACATGTCATGCATTTAGTAGACAGTGAATAGGTGACATCATTGAGGAGTTAATCCCTGACAAGAACAGACCCGATTCACAAAACATATTCTGACAGGGGTAGTTTAGTGAACCCAATAAATTTTTCACACGGTGAGCAATCCATGGCAGGTGTACAGCCTCTCTACACACTGACCATGTGGAATTCAAATTGTGCACGTTCCAACAACATACCCCACCGCAGTACACCACACAGCACCATTATATGGCTGCTTAACTGTTACTGCAGTCAATGCCAAATGCATTGATTTGCCTAAAACTTGATCATTCTGAAACAGGAATGATACGCAAGGGTATCTAGATAACGAGTCGACATTCTGGCCACTGCGACAGTCAATGGCACAATGTGATTAATTAAGAGCACACTGGTTCTGCCTCCAGGGCGTAATCATGCCACTTGCGACGCACGCACTGCTTCTGGTGTGTAACCCTTCCAAGGCCCAGGACTGTTCTCCCCTGGGTCAGTTTCACACGGCCAATAAATTACAGTTTTTAAAAGTGACACTTTATTATCCTGGCATTGCATACAAATTAAGACCGTGCAGGCTTCTCAAGACCGTCGTGAGAACATAAATATAAAAACAAAACCCCATTGAGGTTTGCACGTGGAGCGTATGCAAGCAAATGGGCCATTAAGCGGTAGAAAAGAAACCACTCACTGAAAAAATTACCAACTTAAAGGAATTGCTATAGACCATTAATATCTCCTAAAAACTAATGAGCATAAAAAGTTTGGGGAGATACAATAATAGGTAATCGGGGAGATTTGTATGCGTAGTTGTTATTGCAGTTGCAATAAACACCCACACCAAGGCATGCAAGCCTTAGTGGTTAATGCCGATATGATTCCTTGCAAAAGGTTTCTGTTTGGTGCTTTAACATCTTAACACCTGTTTAATTGCCAGAAAGGGTAAAACCTATTCCTATATTTTGCTACTGGCAAGGGAGGTCCCATGATGAAGTTCAACATGCATACATAAAATAAAAATATGTATGCACGCACAATAAGTCTCGATCATGTGTTTTCATTGGGCATGTAATGTCACACGATGTATAAATAAACCAACCTGTTGTATTCTGTGAGAGCCCTAGAAATGACAAGACCTTCCCCCTGCAAAGAAAAACACAACAATTATTTCGTAAATAAACAGCCTAATTTCATCTATTCAATATGCACATGTAAGATATACAATTGAAGCATCCATTAGAGGTCTAACTGAAACTCGGGTGTACTAACGAATACAAATGTAAAAGCAGGAATAATTTCAAAGGTGGCACGTGCTGGCCCCCAACTCTAAAGGCCAAAAGGGCAATGACCACCATCCCAGCCCACTTTGTGGCAAGGAGGGCACAGGATCAAGCACGCTTTGGACGAAACACCGTGGTTTCTGCTTAATATATATTTGTGCTGGTGCTCAGGCGAATGTAACCAAACTTCTAAACTGAGCAAACTTTCACGTAATGGTGCATTTTCACCTTTGCTCTCATGCCAATGGACTATGCTAATGACCAAGTTCATATAATTACAGGACAGTCCATCTAATGAATGTTACATGCGACCAAACTTTGATCATTCGTATTCTTTGGGTCTTTTGGTAAAGTCACGTAGATAAAAATAAAATGAAAATAAAGTGATAGAAATTTGCAAATTGTTAAAGTGAGAAATTTGCAAATGTCTCACTTTAACATCACTAGCCCCGCCCACTTCGTTTATGACCCTTGGGCTACACCCATTTCAAACCTTTAAAACAGCTTGCCTCAGCAGCTTTCCCCCTCCTTTTTCTCCTGATGACGATTGCTTGTGTTGCCGTTGAAACGTCGTGATATTTTTATTATTTTTTTCTCTATTTACGCGACTTTACCAAAAGACCCAAAGAATATGAATTCCTGCAGTCACGAAAGCATTAAGTCAAGATTTGATCATTCGTTTAATTGTATACTTTCCAGACATGATTTTGTAACAATGCAAAGCTCATTGTGCCTGCTGGGTTTGCAAGGAGCAGTATCAGTGTGGGGTAGCACTTCAAAAGCAAACATGGCTTGACTAAGTAAAGTGTATTTACGCTGTGATATTTATTGAGATTAAAAAGGTGGCCATAACCCAACAAAAATATCAGACCATGTACAACAACTAATAAAGATGTACAACTGAAGTAGAGTGTCAATTTCAAAGGGCGGCTTGAGGTTTCATTTTAAACTTGGAATGAGAATGCCCATGTGAAGATTAATAATCAGTCTCTTCTCAAGTTTATTTTACAAGCATTATTAACTTATTTTAATAAGAGATTAGCTTAGTGAGCTAGGCATACTTTTTCAATAGCCCTCGGCCAAAATGTCACCCTGTCTTATAAAGATTTATAGGACAGGGTGACATTTTGGCTCAAGAGCCAGGGGTGACGGTCTTGAGCTAGTAGTGCTCATTTTAATAATTCAAGAGGGAAGATGATGATGATGAAGATAAACCCTAACGAAGAAGTAAAACTGGCAACCTCCCAATTGCGCGTTAGGACACCGTGAGACGGGCTCGAATTTTTGTTTAACAGTGGAAATGTAAACAAAACTCGTGACACTCACATTCAGCGCCATTTCATCATCCAGGATGGACAATTTGACGATGTAAGGGTTTGCCGACTGTGGAGAGAACATCCCACGCATGAGCACACGCCAAACACATTTAGAATCTGAATATTTATTTATCCTGGAGAAATCCGATGAGGTATGAACCTCTTTTTCACAGATTTCCAGTATGGTGATCCGCTTAAGAAGAACACATAATTGGGCAATTTCAAAAACACAAGTGCACCCCCTAATAAATGTTTAACTGAAAATAATGCGTAATTATCATAATGGTATGCATTTACATAGTACGTAAAAATACATTTAATAGCTCCAGGGTATTCTGTCCATTCGTATGACTTATTTAATGTTCCAAAAAATGCTAATAAGTTTAAAAGCTTTGCACGAATTGCTTATGCATGTTATCACTGCTAAATTGGCAACCTTTCAACAAAAACAATTGGATGCTGAAAATGAAAGACGATAAAATGCTTGATAAAAACGTGATTAAATATGCTATGTATATCATGCAGGGTAGAGACATTGATGGTTCAGAAGCAGTACGTAATTTGTTACTCAAGTAACTGGCCGAAGTTGACTCTTGAATGCCACCAAAATACCCCAGACACTTACATAATGCACATACATAATGCACATACATAATGCATACACAACGTGCATGCATAATGCACATGCATAATGTACATGCATTATGTATGTTGATTAACTTTGAATATCCATTGTAGTTTATATGAATACATTAACCCCCCCCTGCCCCGCTCTGATCCAAGCACCTCATTGGCTCACAAGTGATGACATCACATTTATCCCTCTTATAAATAAAGACGGGAAAAGGATTTCTCCACAACTCTGGCTGTCGCCTGATGAGGTTGGTTGTAATCATCGGCGAAACGTCACGATACTCGAATTGGAAATGTTGTGAGTTTACTCTCCAACACACTGGTGTGCTGAACTAGGAGCTAATTGGATTATGTTTTGTTTACGTGAAAAACCTTACTCAGTGGCTCTGTTGGATGGTGGCAGGTTTAAATGACACATATTTACACGATCTAACCCAAAAAAAACTCTATTATGGACTTGTGAAAGTGTTCAATATCCCAGCTGACCCTTCAACTCATCGTGAGAAAAACACATTCTTACTGAGGTGAATGACACATGCCAAGCCTCACAGATAACCCTTGAGAGCCTGACGGTTTTTGCACAATTTGTAATGTCTCACAAGCAGTGCAATTTGACTAAAACGTGATTTTTTTGTTGCTTACCTGAAAATAACACACTTCTCAGCCCTATTTATTGCAGTGTATTCTGATCAGTGAGGGTTATTGAAGGTGGGAAGCATAAACATTGCATCATAGTACAGTACAACAAATTATTTTTCTGCACTGCCCTCTGGTGACAGAACACCTGCATGACATGAAGGCACGAAGATTGTATTAGACTCGCGAAAGCAAGGGCTGCCATGCAAGCACTGCTGCTGTCGCTGTTGGCGAGGCTGCCCACCCCTCTACGCCCCTCATCCCCTCGCGCCTCTGTGGAGGCCCCGTCTTGGAGCACGCACCTCGTTCTTGCGGTAGTTGACGAGCAGCGCCAGCAGCACGACGGCGTCGTGGCCCAGCTGCTTGCGGCTGGGCTCGCTCGACAGGATCTGTGCACATTTCAGTGGCACGCTGTGAACGGAGCCGCAGCAGCCAGTGGCGAAGAAGGCAACCTCGAGCAGTCTACCGTCGAGGGCGCGACGCCGCAAGTGTCGTCATTCGTTAACACCGCACGCGTTTAACCATGTGCCCGCCGAAGCGATGACGCTCACAGGTGAACGTGCACACTTGGACAACAAGTCCTGACAGATTGTGCGTGTTAAGCCATTAAAGGTTTCGACCATTCGCCACATTGTATGTATGTTGAACTTCTTTTGCACCGTATGTAACCAACAATGCTAATTGGAAGTGTGGGGAGAAGGACAACAAACTAAACAAAAAAAAGCAGCTCCAATGAAATTAGTTTTAAATCTAGATTTAAAAGTGCATAGCTCCAGTGGCTTGCTAATATCAAAAGAGCGTTCCAGACGGCCACAAAAGTGCATCTGAAAGCGCGCGATGCGGTGACCATCTTTATTCGATGGCCAGCCAAAAGCTGCTGCGAGGATGACCGGAGTTCGCGTGATGGTTAATGCAACTTCATGAGATCATCAAGGTATTGTAGTTAATTTGTGAAAAGCATTTTGCGTGTAATGAGTGCGACATTCATTTGATGCAGCATCGCTTGCAGATACTTGTCTTTGAATGTCTTTATATACTGCCAAACTAGATCCACAAGCTTTGATGAGAAGTAGTTATTTAAATAGAATAACCTACTCTTGAATGAATTAGTCCACTCCAATACCGACAGTTACCATAATCACACTCCAGTCTGATGCAATCCACGATATGCTGTGTGTTTCAATAACACCACGTACCATTCCAGGTTTTTTCTGCACTGCTTAGCTGACAATGCTAAAGTAATTATTTGCAAGGAAGAGTGCACTGTCAACATCATGCAAAGGTTGGCTTGAAGGCTATGATAATTCAATGCATCCGTAGGTACCACAAACACGGCAGGAGCCTTGGTAAAGACCCTTGTGGCATACATTTACTGGCCTGGGATATATCATCTGTGTTTCCAATTGCAAGTTGGATAAACAGCATTCAGACACATGGCAAGCACTTTGTGGGAGAGCAATTGCCGAGATTTAAATCACTGTGCATTAAAGTGGATATGCCAATTGAAAAAGCGTACAACTGTTTTAAGCATAACTACCCTGTGTAAACATTCAAATACCACAGCAATTTACTTTATCCTATTATATACACCGATTCCCCAAAACACAACCTTAAGCGAACTATATTTATCTACACCACAAATGTGCACACTTTTCTTTCGTGGAAAGATTAGTCACCCAATGCTTAAAAGGCAACCTCGGCCTTATTAAGTGGCAACCCATGGACAGAATGGAGGAAAATGTCCTTTTCAAGTAATAGGGGTTAATAAATGTTACAGAATTACACAAGACGTATAAATCACCAATTGCATCATTGTATATACACTATTTACAAAATGACGCATCGTTACGAGGTATGGCACACTACTTTCACCCTACGGTGGGCTCATGGTAACATTCTCAAGTAAGCTATTGCAACAACCATTAAAGACAGACATGGAAAAGCAATATAAAATGTAAAGTGACAATTAAAGGAATATGATGGATGGGAATGAGGCTTCTCAATTCATTTGGAGAGAGCATGTAAGTGTTTAAACTTATTCAGCGATTTTAAACAAATGTTCAGTGTGCCACCCTGGCCATTTTAATGGTGGTAAATGCACTGTTGACACAATTTTGATCATTATTGCAAACAAAGCCCAGCAAAGAAAGACTTAGACAAGGCAAGTTGTTGTTATGATTAATAAGCACTGTACATTGTGCCAAATACATGATTTGAAGAGCACCTATTTAAAGTAAAAATTAGTGAGGGAAAAAATGTAGTACCCATGAAATTTCAACCAACACAAAATATACATAAATGAAACTAATGGCTTGCCTTGATCACATTTACAGATGAACACTTCCAACCCACTGTACTCTGACAAGAGATGTTATTATTTCTTTAGCATATCTCAGGGACGGTGGAACGTGGCTCTAGCCAATGCTTTAGAGGCGGGGATTGGTGGACCATAGAAAGATCGTCCCGTTCACGAGGCTTCCACCTGCAGGACTACAAGGTAACCAGCATATAGCAGCATAACAAGTGACTTGTTTACCGCTCGGTATGAAATTTGAGTGGTTTTAAGTTGTTCTTTGCAAACAGTATTATTTATCAACAACGATTGCCAGTCCGATGATAGATTAAGGCCTTCCGATGCTGCCACCATCCCTCATGTTACTGTGATGCTCCAATCAATCTCACACATTTACCGACTTCGTCATTTCATCTCTAAGGTGATCATCCTTTCAGGCACATTCTCCATTCATACATCATCTCGTACAACATCCATCATTCCTTCCAGCTATGTGACCTGCCCCAAATCCACCTACTTTTCTTCACTGTCATTCTGATGTCTATTTTTTGCATTTAATCTCAGACCCATGTGCTTCTGTTCCTTTCGCCCAGTCTAGTCCCAAGCATACATTTTTCTAAATTTTGTTTCCACGTTTCTGATCCGTGACAAACCTGGAATTATAACACGATTGAAAACTAAACTCCTTTACATATGTACACCCATGTTTAACTGCGTGAATTACATTTTCCTTAACTCGAGGATGTGATATTTCTAGGCTTGCACGTCTTTGCCTGCTAATTTGTGTTATGAGATGCAATAACTGGAGCATTTACACAAAAGTTTCCATATAAATACTACAGCAGCCTAAAATTATTTTAAACATTTCAACTTTTCAGACACCCATTTACGAGATTCTCTGCTTACCACGCAGATGGTTATATGTTGGCCACAGCACTGGAACATTATTCTTATAATGGAGAGAGGAATACTGCAGTAGTAGTAGTAATGCACTCTGCAGCATATGAAACAATAATATCCCTCTCTGCAGGACAGTGTAAACTGTACATCCATGGCTTCACAAACAGAAACACAAAAACCGCCTCTCACTTTAAACGCACCAAACGTCACTTTAGCCAATGCATAATCTACAACAAACATGGTCTCGTAATGCAACACTCATGGTGAAACAAGTAAATGTCTTACCTGAACAATCGCCTCAAATATGCTGTTTATCATGATGTACTCCAAAATGGTGTTTTGACTGATGTTGTCTGTGACCTGTGTAAATGACAGCAATAATTAAACAACAGAATTAATTTATTTCCATATAAAACCCATACGGCTGACCAACTGGAGAGTAAACAGAGTGCAAATGCGGCATGTGTTTGTGGACATTCGCAAGCGGTACTGCTAAACAAATGGAAATCATTGTAACAGAATCTATAAATCAGTGTGTTTGCAGGGGTTCTGCGTCATTTAAATGTCGCTTCAACCAACGACTAATAGGGTTTATTCATTAAAAACACCATGGACATACACAGCCCTTTGCCACATTCACTGCAGGATGTGACATCGTATTTTTGCATATTTATCTGGGACCCATGTGCCTCCCCAATACCACGCAGATCGTCAGGATAATTTCACCATACTTCACCATGCTGATCAGTGCAGGTTGTGTAAAAGTGTCTAGCAGTACAGAAATGTGTTTTGCTGCAATGCCCTCTGCTGCTCAATGTAGTCTTGTAGCCTATATCACCTGTTCTGCATGGTGGTTACCCATCCAAGCACTAGCCAGGCTCAGCCATGCTTAGCTTCTGAGATTACCTACGATAATCACCCAGAAATGTCTGTCCGTCCCGCGCGTGACGTCACTCCACATGAGGCCCACCCCCCTGAGTTACGTCACTCCACATGAGGCCCACCCCCCCCTCATTAATATTCATGAGTGGGTGGATTTTTACACTAACGCAGAGGAAGGTCGTGCTGAATTAAATTATTTATTACGCAAAGTCGCTTCAAATATGGCGTTTCTTTACAGAAAGTGACGGTAAAAAATAAATCTACGCAGCACAGTGCTACATCCGTGCGTGACGTCACTGCAAAAGAGGGCCCCCCCTCCTTTATTAATATTAATGCACGCGTGGAAATTTACACAAACGCACAAGAAGGTCGCGCACTCCACATGCCGCACCCCTCCCCTCATTAATAATCATGAGCAGGTGACGTCACTCCACCTGCCGCACCTCTCAACAATAACCATGAGGGGGTGACGTCACTCCACGTGCCGCACCCCTCCACAATAACCATTAGCAGGTGACATCACTCCAAATGGAGAAACCCCCCCCCCCCCTCCTCATTAATAATCATGAGCTAAACAATTTTTCTATTGAATATTTCAGATTTACTGCAATATACACCCATCCTTAGACGGGCAAAAAAACAAGATTGACAAGATTTACCACACATGCCAACGGACATGGCCACAAGAACTAAAATAATGACTTCCTTTGCCAATTGGAAAGCAGAAAACACACATCTGATCGAAACAGTGGACATTGCATATAACGAGGGGAAAAATCCCATAACTTACATCAAATTACAGAAGATTTTTGTACCTAATGTTTTATGCACTGAGGTCCAAGTGTGTTGCAGCGGTCACACACACAATTGTCAAAAGCTATGTATTTCACAGCTGTCGTAAATAGGCGGTGCGTATTTTGGGATACCCTCAAATATAGGCTCACACCTGATTAGCTTAAGCAGAGATGCGTCTCATTAATTACAGCCCATGACTTGTTTGGCACTTGGGAAAGATCAGTAATAGAACTGTATTTTATACAAAAGACAAGTTCTGACAAGGTAAAGGCCACTACACGTACAATTATAAGAGATTAATTTGTCTTGATGCTGTGTTGTTGGCAGCGTTATTGACAAATGTGCTTTGTAAGTCTTACTTTATCGAGCTCAATTAAAATAGTTGTGCTTGGGGGGAGACACGAACCTTTTAAACCCCACTGGAGATTTAGCCACCAAACAAAAAGTAAATACAATGTAGTTGTAGCCTCATTCATCGATTTACTCCCGTCTTGCATAGGCCAATCTGAAAATGGTTCTGTGCCTCCAGAGGAAGCCCGTGGAAGAACAGGGTTAGCGCCTACTACATTATAACAGAGCTCAGTGCCCAGAGGGGATGGGCTATTTTCAGAGCAGTTTGGACATGCTGACTTTCCATGTTCGCACACACACACACACACCTTGCAGCCGATTCAGGCATGTAGCCCAAACCTGCGAGGCATGTTTCTAATTACTCTGTGTAGAGGACAATGGGTCTACGCTCCTGGACATGCACGCAGCGTGGCCATGAGAGGTGCGTGAAGTTGCTGGCATGCGCGTATTTGTGTGTAAGTTACAGGTGCTTGAAACCAGGCCTCGGAGCATATACGCAGTGGGATCTTTGCAGAATAAAATTTGTGAGTGCACACGGATATTAAACGGCAAGCGGGTACACCCGCACGTGCACTACAAAAGGAACACATCAACCAGGCCCATCAGCTGCTATCATTATGCATGGCCAGTAATTGAAGTTAGAGATCAATTGTCAGGCGTAAGTAGATGCGCCTAGGCATGGTGCTGGTCCCACTGTCTTGTATCATGCTGGTCATAATAAGCCGTTATCAAGAACACCTGGCCCAAATATGAAAGTGTAAATCGTAAACTATTAATTTATGCATTACTAAACCCAGTTCATACTGTTCACACAATTACAGCAGGTACCCATAACAATCGTGACATGTTTTATCAATGTAATATAAATGGTACATGGTTTAACTCATTCAACGCGCTTGTCCAATCAGCATTTAGGAGCCTTGGGGTAGGGACGCTTATTTTGGGAGGCGCAGCGTGTGCGTGTCCAAGCAATGCATACGCACAGTGACCAGGCAGAGCAGCAGCTTGAGGCACAGACTTTTGAGGCTGGGAGAGCCGTCCCCGCACAGCAGATTGTCCAGGCTCTCCATCAGACTCTGGGTAATGAGCACACCACACACGACAACAATCGGCAAAGCACAGCACTTAAGCGGCCACCATGCATCCCGCCCTCGTACATCTAACGGCCGTACACTTTCCATGCAATGCACATCGAGCCAAAGTCAATATCCGTCATATTACCGGGTCTCAGGTTTTCACACTAAATCACTTCCTCTTGTAATGCGATTTAAAGTTAGGAGATTTCCCCATTCTCCGCTTCCCAACTGCTGCAGAACTTAAAAAACTGCTGCAGGTGTCCGAGTTAATCCAATTCACACACTTCATACCATCGCACATTCACCTCGGCACATGGCCGTGGATCATTATTATTTCCGGATTGGGTTTATGCTAATGTAGGGAGTCCAGTAACATAAGCTCTGATGAACAAGCCAAGATAGGAACATTAAATTAAAATATTGAAAGACTAAATAGCATCTGGAAAAGCAACGGACTGAGTACAATGACGAAGTATAAGGTAACATTCCCTCGTAAATGCATCCTCTTAAACAGTCTTAATACAGAGTGAGACTGCACTGGCAAAGGAGCACAGTATTTTGATCAGGAGTCAACTCAGGACATAATTTCTCCAAGGTCAATAAAATAGGTACCACTTTGCAGAAAGCCAACAGCGGTTGTCCTATTTTAATCGGAAAAATTTGAATGAAAAATATCCATTGCTGGCTTAAAGCAGCCAAAGATGAGCACTGCTCCAATGCTCATTAGAGGAAGGAGACACTGAATAATTGCATGAGGCAACAATTAGGCTAATGGCTTGTATGCGTAGCTATGGGGCAGCGTTTTAGCCCAGTGCCCTCCATCCGCACGTGTTTTTCCAGCTCCCACCCACGTACGCTCCGATGCCCCCGTGTAGTAAATCATGTAGCTCAGAGGCAGCAGAGGGATGGCGTTGGGAGAAAGCAGTGGGTAGTGTGAGGCACAAGGGTGAAGAAGATTTATTGCAGAGGAATCACGGGTCACTGGTTATTGGCAAAACTTGTGCCAAGCCGGATGGAACTCTGAAGGACCTCTGGGGCAGTGTAATATGGCTCCATAATATGTAATGTGAGCTCTATATTAGTTGTGAACATAATGCATTTAGTACAATATTTCAGACACAGGTGCTGCAAAAACTGTCACGTTCACTGATTTTTGCACTTGACTGAACCCATCCAGTGAGCAACAACAAAAAGTGTTTTTGATAAAATTACATTAATATTGATTTCAAAATGCAATGTTTGTGCTGGAAAGGCTTCAATATAAATTGCAATAAAATCAACTGGTAGAAGTGGATTAGGACTCACTAAATGTCCTGTGACTGATGATGGGTTAGGATGTATTATTATATTGATATAAATTATATGTAATGTGTTAGTAACAAAGCTATATTTGTGCAGCAGGTATTAACCATTTTATTTATCATACATAACCATGCCTAACATTGCCAAAGAGAAGAGTGCATCATGGCTGCAAGACTGTAATCTTTGCATTTATATGTAGAACATGACCACAATATGAAACAGTGAGGGAGGTCTTGGGATAAATTGAATTAACCAAGAATATAATTTTCAAAATTCTGATAATTTCTTTAAAATGATATGACAGCAGGAGCATGATTCATAATTAAAGTGTTTTGAAACTAAAAGTTTAACAAATAATTTATAGTTATCCAACCTCTGAAAATGTCTTCATTGAATTTTTCATCAATATTCTTCCTTGCAAAGCACAACTCAATATATGACCAGAACAGCGTTGAAAGAAAACTTTTTAAAATATGGAATGTAACCCAGATTATTTGAGACCCAGAGAAAACATTATTAAAAGAGTGTTATAAATAAGTGATTTAAAATATTGTGATGGGCTCTATGGATTTGAGACTGCCCATTGTTCAAAATAAAGTCAACAACACAACTAGATCAACAATACACTTTAAAGACAGTCAATTTAACACCTGATATGCCTCATCATGGAAAAGCTGCAGGAAACTAGTTTTTGGTGCATTTTATTCAGACATCGTGGCATTATCCAATCTCACACCGCAGCGGTTCCCACCCGATGGGCCATGGACCACTGGTGTCCCACAAGACCGTGGGGAGTGGCACGCAGGTCTGTTGCAGATGCCGTACCGCGATATTGATTTTCTTCACAAAACACCATGTGTTTTACTTGCTACTGCACAACTAGTTCATAATTTAAATGTCCATTCTACTGATGCATCGTGGTTCGCAAAAAAACATTTTGATGGTCAGCAGTGCTCGGTGGATCGCGAAAGGTTGGAAACCAGTCAGAGAATGTGTACGGTGACACCTAGTGGTGACATGGAGGTAACAACAGCGTCAATAAGTGCTCCAAATCTATCGTTTACAGAATGACGTTTTTGAGAAATTGCCTCAATTAGTATTGGAGTAATTACTTTTCTCCCTTGCTCATTTCGAATTGCTAAATTCTGACAAGCAACTATAGAGTACGGTTTGCCCTGGAAAAGTATTTCAGGAAACTCGTAAGCATTCATGCAAATTTCTGACTTTAACATCCTGCTAATTCTCTCACATTAACACAGCTTATTCAATGCTAAATTATTCTGTTGATATGTAAACTCCTTTGTCAAGGCGCTCTTTTCCTCCCACCCAGGTTAAAATACGCTGCCAAGCTTAGCAGTGTTCATTGGAGCGCTGTCTTTCAGACAGCTCTGTCTTCACCTGAGGACAGCTGCTTGAGTTGTGGCCGAAATGTCGTGAGAATTATATTTCATTATGTTGAATTTTTATTATTTTATTATTTCCCTTCTTCATAATCAACGTTTTTGGGTTTAGATCGCGTTATTTATAAATGTGTCGTAACCCTCCACCACCCGACACGGCCAATCAGTAAAAAAGTGCCACGTTGACAAAAGACAAATTAGTTCACTGCTTTAGCCCACCGGTGTGTTGAAGCGCGAAACCACAACATTTACAATTTGAGTACGACGTTTCGCTGGTAATTGCATCCAGCATCATCGGGCAATTCGCCAGAATGGTGAGGCTCTGCTGTGTCTCCCGTTCTTATATAGAGCAGACTTTACCGAAAGAACCAAGAAAACACTCATTGGCGCTTGCATGCCGACCACCATGAATGAGTGATTTAAACTCCACACCCCTATGGCAAGGACAGAGGTCTCCACAGGAATAATTAATGCCGACTTCCCATCAAGAAGCACAGCCTCACCAGGTGGAGATAATATCATTGACAGCGGTAACAATTCAAATCATTCATTTACCACAAGGCAAAAGTGGTTTTCCATGAGGGTTCTGCTTGGAATAAACGATTTTAATTGACCAGGTAAAGCCCACTAAGCTATGAGCTATTATTCAGAGGCAACCTGGCCACACATAATAGCTCATAAAAGTGGCTTTTCATCATGTGGGAATTTATAGTTGCGGCCTAATAATCTCAACGCATGTTTCTAAAAGAACAGGGCAAAACCAAGGAACCCATAAAAAAATCCATGCGATCACGGGGATAGAGAACACGCAAACTATAAATATACAACAGGCATCAAGGGTCAGGATCGAACCCACGAGCTCCTGCATACCAGGTGAGGGTGATGACATCTCACCAGTTGAAAACGTTTAAGTATTTTGGGGATTTTTTATACCAGGAATAATCTGCAGCATCAAAAGAAAACCATAAATACAACAGAATACTCAACCCGACTCGGAAAATAACCCATCGTAACCCTACTTGCTGTACTATCTCGGACAACCAAAGCAACATTTTCCGAGAGAGGGGGTGTCTGTTGGAGTCACCCACCAACCCCACCTGCAAGTCACATTTTGTGATACAATGTTACATTATCCCCATCTGTTATTACAAATTAATACCCCATTGAAATCAAGCGAATCCCCCTGAATTGAGTTGGCAAAGTGAAAGTGTGATAATGACCTTCATCTCCTCCTCGGCGCTGTCAAAGCCCATGAGGATGTTGATGATATCGAAGCCGGTGTTGGGCATGTTCTTCTGATGAACTCCTCGCAACAGGCCGCACAGCGTCTGGGGAACAAACCAATTTAAATATTGCGTTATACCTCTTGATAATTATCCGTGGGCAGCTCATGTGGGTTGAGGATTGACTGTGCCTGACAGAATTAATGTTTTCATCGGCGGGCTGCTCCCCACTTGTTGGGGAGCAGTGACTCACTGCCCATGTGGTCGCAAATGTCTGCAAGCAAATGGTGAAGAATCATTTTAACAATTCAATAAAAAAACTGGACAACTTGACACATTTTTTCCTCGGTGTATTATTTGCTGTATGCAATGTGTGTTATGCATTGCCATGTGAAAGAATTACCTTGTTTTATTCGTCTGCATCCCTAGTCGAGCAGATAAACAATACATGTTTCTATAGCCGATTTAAATGTTTTGCATTATCCGTGCTTTTGTTTTATCCAGGCAATTCTTCCTCTCTCCTCACGACCCCAGACAATTGAGAGTTGACTCTATGTGTAGCTCTATAAATGCTTGTGGCACTATAAATGCAGGGTTTGCGCAATGTCCTCATGGAGCCTAATTGCTTGAGAAATTAGACGAAGCTCATCTCTCTGTCCGTGGCCTTACGTCAGTGCAGGAATTTCCACATCAGCATTACTGGATAAAGTCAATCCACAGGTCAATAACTATCGACTGCCTCCAAAGTGGGGCAGATTTTGTAATATTCCACAAAAATGACAAAATGAGTTGAACCCCAAGAGGGATTTAGCTAATTTCCTTCTGATAGTTATTATTAATCATCATTATTTAGCTTGTTTATTCAGATTTTGAAAAGTTGCTTTATAAAACAAAGTATATTATTCTTATTAAAAGCTTCACTGAGTTTTAAGGCACTTTCTCAAGAGGGTCATGCCAAGTTTATAAAAGGGGCAATGTTGCGAGGTGTAATTCCAATAATGTAATTTGCAGGTAATATTTCAACATTGGGATGCTTGGCCAATACCAGTTACGTTGTTTGTTTTTCAACCATGAGTCAAGTTCTCTAACGTGTGCTACCCAGCCAGCTGGACAACAATAATATTATCCTAAATACATAGTACATATATCAATATAGAAGAATAGTTAAACCTTGGATTGTGAGCATAATTCGTTCCGGAAACGTGTTTGTAATCCAAAGCACTCGTATATCAGTCGTGATCACGTGACGCTCGGCAGACAAAGCGTATACACGTACTACTCGTATTGCAAGACCTCGCTCGTTTATCAAATTAATATTTCTTTAAAAATTGTGCTCGTCTTGCAAAACACTCGCAGACCAAGTTACTAGCAATCCAAGGTTTTGCAGTAATGCTAAAGTAATGCTAAACACAGTGAAAATCCAGTTTAAGTAAACTCGATGATTATTTGACGAATACTTTCCATGAATTGCAAAACTCTGCTATTGCTATTTATAAAGTATAACGTACATGTGTCATACATGTGCAGTTCAAACGAAAGTATTTCTGTTGGAAGGTCACAGATTTGAATCTTTTGTCTCCTCTAGCTCATGTACCAAGTTGCTACACACACTTTGGGAATAATTTTGTATGGAAACTATTCAGCAGATGTTTGATGCCAATTTGAAATGTAATTTATTCATTCATCTTTAAATAGACATTTGTAACATGCACAAATTTAACTTAACAGTGGAGCGGGATAATAAAATAAATGAGAAAGTCCTCAGATTTTGACAAAAGATCGACACCAATACTAATCTGTGCAGTCAGCAAAGAGAGTGTGAATTCCAGATGACTGGAGCTGTGATGGAGAACCAACGTTCGCAGTGTCTGCTTTGAGAGGCAGTTTTGATAAGGAGGCCATTTTCTCCACACTTGGGAGCATTGTATATCCAATGTGAATTGCTGAATTATACTGGTAGGAACCTCCTGGTTACACCAGCCCACAGGCGATTATTGTGTCCGTCCGTCGTGCAGGGAGGGGCTGGGTGGGGAGGGGAGGGTGGAGAGGGGCTGGGTGGGGAGGGTGGGGAGGGTGGGGCTGGGTGGGGGGTGGGAGCAGTGGGGCTGGGTGGGGAGGGGCTGGTCACCCCGTGGTGCCCGTATAAAACTCAACATTTAACTACTCGCGCCAGCTTGTGCCCGCCCTCACAGTCAGGCATATTTGCGGAATACACCACGCCGCCAGTTGACCCTGGCCATTGACCGAGCAACCCAACGTTCCTACCAGCTCCCTCCGCAGGAATGTGCTAAGCATGCTCCTGGGGCACAATGATGCGTGGGGTGCATCACACACACACACCTGCAGGGAATTTACTACACGGATCTGGTGCTCCTCACGCAGCGCCAGCACACTGTGGTGGAAGAGCCCGTTGATGTTGTCCTTGAGCTGTAACAGCATCTCCCCATTCAGAGCCTCCAGCCGCCCCTCAAGGTACTCCAAGTTCACCTAAAAAAATAACATAAACAAACTACATTGATGCTGTGACCTAAATTGCAAAACGACTTCAAGGCACTTTCCAGTACATACATCTTTCACACATTTTATACAAAGCTGTCAAACTGCCCCGGTTGTGAAAATTCACCCAAGAGCAGCATTAATCCACTTAGCATGCACACTCTTGTCAAAAACCGTATCTGGATTAAAAACTCATGATAGCCCTGATTTGGGGTTTGACTTAAAACTTAACGTAGAAATGCATGACATAAATTGTAATGGGAAGCTGGTTACATAACGGTGCATAAAAATTGACAAATGCCCTGCCACCAGCACCATCGAGGCAGGTTGGGGTCTGACTGCTGCATGCTGTTACCCCCACAGCTCCACAACTCTAATCCAGGTTGGATTAATTTGTTGTTCAATGAGCTTTAGTCAGTACTTATTCATACCCAGTGGGAGCCAAAAGGCAATGGGAAAAAAATTTGTTGCCATGGAAAATGCAGTCTTTTTATGGCACACCCAAGCAAATATCATCTTGAAATCCTGCGTGATTTTACTATCTCCGAGAGGCACCATCTATAAGCCCTGCAGCTCGGTCTCATGCACATGGTGACTTGGTCTCCGTGTTAAGTACCGACCCCAACTACAAGTCACTAGAGTCAGAAGAAGGTCTAAGTTGTTACTGTAAAGTCTGATTGTAAGTGAACAAGCAGTGCTTCAGCAATAACCCTGACAACGTCACTGCTGATTCCACCGTCGGCTGAAACCTAAAAACCCTTGGGCATCAAACATGCCTCTGGGTCAGCACTTCCCACAAATTGGACAGTTTAGATAAACGCATTTAGCGTTTATCTAAACTGTCCAATTAGCAAAACTTCTAAAATAGTTTATTCCAGATGTATTTGGCAATGTCATCAGAGAATCCAAATTGTTGAATGTAATACAGTTTATAACGCATGTTACGGTGTGCCAAGTACACAGTCTTGAGTTATTTGGCAAGAGCAGCCATGGCATTGTGAAGAATCAACCGTTTTATTCCAATAAAATTATCAAAATTCCAATCATCATGCTGCCAAATTCCAATGGGACGGTGTCTTAGTTTTGGTGAAATGTATTTCTACTATAACCACCATAAACAAATAGAACACAAAACATTTGTCTTAAGGTGACAAAATAATACAGAGCTGGTTTAAAAGTCATCACGCCCACTGCTGTTAGCATACATATGAAGTAAAACTGCATAAATCTGCAAACTGAAGCTGAAAAGAGGTTAAATAGTAGTACAACTATCACCAGCTGGGTGGGGAAAACATCAACATATAATGACATTTGTCAGTGCAAGTTTCCCTGGGTGAATGCAAAGTGTGGTATTTTATCAAATTTCACAATGCTGACATGGCATATAGGGATGTGCGCAAAAATGTACATCTCACCTTCATTAAGAAGAGCTCCTCCCAGAATCGAGGATTATTCTGAGCTGGATCCTCAGTCTAAGGCAACAAAATATAAACAAGATCATACTTAGCAATGTCAGTATAATCAGACCAACTCACATTAACTGATGCAGCATACTTTACAATATTGTCTCACCACTGAAAATCATTGCTTTGCAACACTATAAATAAACATTAAACGGTCCTCAAATGGTAGTGAATCATGGAATACTGTTCTTAAATATTCTTATTCCTTTCTAACTCATATATGTATCGGGCAACAAACTGCCTGGCTAAAACTCAAAGAAAGTAAAAAAAATCTCAAGTGTCTCAACACCTTTGGTGATTCTAAACCAGTGATGGAAATTCCACATTCTCTTGAAGGCGATAAGTCTCTCCGTGATATGTCAAAGTAGTACTCATGTCATTGACCTCAAAGGTATGAATTCCTGAGTGGACCCTCAAATTGGGATATGAAATCGGAACTTTGCAACTGTTCGTCAAGCACTCCAAACACAGCTACCACCCAGCCCGTTGGAAACCTACTTGCTGTACTGCCTCCGACAAATAATACCTCTGTTGCCAAGCCACATTGGCTCCAATGCTACATTATCCACCTATCCTGGCTCAAGGTAATTTTACAACAGGTCTACATCGCCACCACTGCAACCACACACATGACCCATGTGCTCTCCGTGCACCACAGTACCTTGAAGATCTCGTCGTACATGAGCACCACCTTCTCCTTGAGCATCTTCTTGGCGCTGGAGGACTTGCGCAGGAGGCCCGCCTTCTTCTCAGGCTGTGCCATGGTTGAAGGCCAAGCGCAGCCGGACCACACAGCTCTGTGCAGACACACACACACACGTGATCCCATTGCATTATAATACTTGTCATGTTCTTAAGCCCGGTAATCAAGTATATGTATACACTGCTTGCATATTTGCACATGAATAAACTCTAGTAACACAATCAGACCAGAACGTACCAGGCTCTCATAGGGTCCATTCACTCTTTCTCTCCCCCGGCCGCTTCGGGTGGATATCCACACATCTCTGTGTGTGTCTCTGTTTGTCAAATTTAACAATTAACTTCTAATTTTAGCAATATTTGGAGATCGTAATCAACCAGGCTATGCGTTAACTGTGTGTTAGCCAACTCTCTGTGTTGCATTGCATTACATTTCCAAAAAAATTGCTACATTTTGTTTTCTCAAACTGCCTATTTCTCTAAAATTTACTAGGCTCTCATAGGGCCATTCGATATTTCTCTCCCTCGGTCAGCAGCTGCCCCAGCAGACCCACCTCTCTCTCTGCCCACCCCCCTCTCTCTCTATTTAAGGCCTCGACACATAGGCATTGGGTCTCTGTGTGTCTATGTTGTGTGTCTCTGTGTGTCTCTGTGTTGTCTCTGCTTGTGTGTCTGTCTGTGTCTCTGTCTGTGTTTTGTCTCTCTCTCAAATTTAGTTCTACCTGATGGTTGCTCGTGTTGCAATCGAAACGTCGTATTCTATAATTTAATTTATTTTCTTTCTACGTGACTTTACCAAAAGAACCAAAGAGTAATCTTAACACCTGTTTTGTTGGCAGAAAAAAGGGAAAACTTATTCTAAAATGTTGATACTGGCAAAGGAGGTCCCATGATGTAGCTGCTCACCCAGAGCAACTCATTACTCTGATAGTGCATTGTCTTTGTGCTGTATGCCTTTTGGTGTCCTCTGGTCTAACACTATTTGAGACTAGGCTCGAAAGAAAGTGGTCTTTGGTGTGGACCAATCAGTTTCAAAGACAATGCATATACTATCAAAGTATGTTTTTGGTTTGCATTTTGACCACAAATACATGTGGTTAATGCAGACATGATTCCTTGCAAAAGGTTTCAGTTTGGTGTTTTAACATCTTAACACCTGTTTTGTTGCCAGAAAAAAAGAGGAAACCCTATTCTCATATTTTGATACCTGAAAAGGAGGTCCCATGATGTAGCTGCTCACCCCGAGCTCTCATTACTTTGATAGTGGCTTTGTCTTTGTGCTGTACACCTTTTGGTGTCCTCTGGTCTAACACCGTTTGAGACTAGGCTCGAAAGAAAGCTGTCTCTGGTGTGGACCAATCAGTTTCAAAGACAATGCATTTTCTGTCAGAGTATGTTTTTTGTTTGCATTTTGACCACAAGTATTGTGGTTAATGCAGACATGATTCCTTGTGAAAGGTTTCAGTTTGGTGTTTTAACATCTTAACACCTGTTTTGTTGCCAGAAAAAAGGGGAAAACCCTATTCTTATAACTAAACTAAACTTAATACTCTACCAATATTTGCTAGGAAATTTAAAACATTCAAGCCACTCACATTGTCGCTTTGACTTAACCTATAAATATTATTCGCATGTTGCAGATCCATTGCAACTGAATCTGTCTCACAACTTATCTTTGTACAATGCACATAAGCCTTTACAAACTAGAACAAAAAAACTGTTTTGAAAAAAGCGAACCATTATGCTATAATGCTAACATAAACACTTAATTTTAAATAAACAAATGCCAAGATAATAGCAATAATAAGGACAATGTTGAGGAAATAATTTTGTAAGATCGAACCCAGCAGCCTTTTAAAATAAATCCATCAGAATGTGAATTATGAACATGCCGCATTACGTAGACTCCCAAAAATATGATAAATCCGTTAGCCAAATATCTCGCCTCACTCTTTTCAGCACAGCCGAAGCCTTCTGGTATTTGTACAACGGATAATTTATCATCGTTTTCCTTGCAACACCTGGTGAAGGTCTGCATCTACAGTGAGTACACAAAAACTTTATAATTCTTTAAGAATCTGGCTCCAGATTAATGCCATGTTGCACGTGTATACCGCAACGGACTTGGCTCCACCACTACCATTCAAAGGTCCAGTAAAGTGCAACAACAACTTGTGTATGACCTTTGACCTGCAAGCACGATTGAACATAATGTGGCAAATCAAAGTACAGTATTCCAGAAAACTGTACACCAATATTTACCATTATGCAAATTCCATGTAATTGCACTTAACGCTGCACAATGCCAATGTCTCAGTAATGGCAACCAACTAACAAGGGCTGGAAACTTGACTTTGATAGTCAACCCAAAACCCATGAACAGAAAGAATAACGACATGCAGCCATCGATTTAATTGGTGTTGTAAGGAAAGTGTGCGTCTGTGGTCCATTGTTACCTCACGACATGCAATTCATGACTTCCTTATCAATTATTTTGGTGACACGGGGGGTTTATTCTGAACTTTACATGATTTTGTGTAATGGCTATAAGTAAACCTGTGCATACACATGTTCTTGTGGTGTCTGCAAATATAACTTCCGAGTATGAAAGTTTGAAATGCGCATGAAAGTAAAAGTGCCCCTGCCTCACGCGGGGTGGTGTTCATCTCCTGCAGCTATAACCCAGGTCTTTGTCTCGCCCCTCCCACCACCACCACAACATTAATCACCACTTTTCACATGAGCAGAACTATTTTAAATGATGCCCATATCCATTGCCACGTTTTAGTGCTCTGCTTCCTTGTGCTATGCTTCTTTCCCTGTATTGCACTCACATTCAATGGCTACCGCTTCCTGTCCTGTTGAAGTACTACTGGACCTTCGCTCAGATTGTATGTCTTTTGTCAGCATAGACCATGCCCTCTTGTTTTGCATCAAACCCCTGATTCATGCTCCATACCCCGTCAGCACCTTGATCAATGCCCAATGCTGTCAGCACACCAATCCATATACCATACACTGTATCAACACCATGTCCTGTTAACTTAACACGTACATTTTTCAGTCAATATCATAATTCACAATTGATGCTATTTTTGGTGCGAGTATCATGACCGTGCCCTGTACTGTCAGCATATGACCTGTAAGCAAGACTATCCCGTGCCTTGACAAGTGACCCAGGCTCACTTGTTAACTTGCAACCCATGCGCCGTGCCCTGCATCGGGAGCTGCCCATATCCTCACCGTCACCGTGCCCGTGTCCGGCAACACATTTACCAACTTGCCCTCTCCTGCGAGCATCCTGCCCTCCTGTCCTGTCCACTTGCCAAATTCCAGACACTCGTCAACAAACCCAAACCTGTTTCTAATGCAAGCCTCAACACCCACACAGCTTCGCCAACGTTCTCGCGTGGCCAGGCGGCCGCCTCGACTTTAAACAACAGCACCCCACACGAAAATAACAGGCGCCGTCCGCCACTAAGTGCACTTTTTCGCTGGCAATTCACGAAACAAACCCCCACGTGTACGGGCGAACCGAATGACTGGCAGATGCGCCACAGTCCTGTACAGTACTCCAAAAGACAAACATCCTCCCGTATCGCCTCAACAGACTCGTGGTGGCAAGTGCTGCGAACGAGCAGCTCCAATGAAGGGGGTAAGGTGGCCAGCACCACGCCCGGCCGCCTTTGTCTCCCCAAAGACGACGTGTACGCAGCGAACCAGACAACTCATTTGAGGCTTCAATGGACCTAGGGGAGGCCCAGGACCGGTCGACGCACAATTCGTCCGTGTCGTCAAGAGCACGCCGCCGAGAACGCCGCGTCAGGAGCGAGGCGACTGCGACCGCCACTCACCTGGGTCCAGTGGCTGACTGACGGGGTCACAGCGGGGTCACAGAGGGGGGCGGGGCGGGCGAGTGAGGGGCGGGCGAGTGAGGGGCGGGGCGCTGTCACTGCAATGAGAAGGGGGGAGAGAGAGGGGGGGTCTCGAGGCGGTGGGGCACAGAGAGGCGGTGGGGGTTGGTGGGGGGCGAGGGTGGAGTGGGGGGGGGGGGCTGTTAGGGGGGTCTCGCGCGCTCCCCCTGACAGAGCTGAGCCTCGCGCGCGCCACTTCCGCTCTCTCGCGGTGCGACACTTCCGGGTCTCTTCCCCCGCCCACTTTTATCCCCCGCCCACTCTCAGCCCCCACCCCCCCGCTCTCACCCTCCGCCCACTCTCAACCCCGACGCCCCGCCCACTCTCAGCCAGCCCCCACCCCCCCGCTCTCACCCTCCGCCCACTCTCAACCTCGACGCCCCGCCCACTCCAGGCGAGGCCCCCCGCCCGCTATCACTCCACGCCCTCTCTCTGCCCCGACGCCCCGCCCACTCTCAGGCAGCCCCCACCCCCCGCTTTCACCCTCCGCCCACTCAACCTCGACGCCCCGCCCACTCCAGGCGAGCCCCCGCCCCCCACTCTCACCCCGCCCACTCTCAACCCCGACGCCCCGCCCACTCTCAGCCAGCCCCCACCAATCTGCTCTCACCCTCCGCCCATTCTCAACCCCGACGCCCCGCCCACTCTCAGCCAGCCCCCACCCCCCCGCTCTCACCCTCCGCCCATTCTCAACCCCGACGCCCCGCCCACTCTCAGCCAGCCCCCACCCCCCCGCTCTCACCCTCCGCCCATTCTCAACCCCGACGCCCCGCCCACTCTCAGCCAGCCCCCACCCCCCCGCCCATTCTCAACACCGACGCCCCGCCCACTCTCAGGCAGCCCCCACCCCCCGCTCTCACCCTCCGCCCACTCTCAGCCCCGACGCCCCGCTCACTCCAGGCGAGCCCCTCCCCCTCTCACCCCGCCCACTCTCAACCCCGACGCCCCGCCCACTCTCAGCCAGCCCCCACCCCCGTCACGTGACGCGGATTTAAATCGTGCGTTAGCGCTGTCAGGGATGAATGAATTGGCGACAGAATGAATGAGAAATGATGTTTCATGTTTTAGGCCCCATATTTGGAGTCATCGGGCGTGGCTTTGACCCGATAAGCAATACTGGAACAGGAATCGACGGGTTTTTAACGATCCAATGCTCGATTAAACGGGAATCTACCGAGCAGACAGCTGTGATATTTAGAAATGAAATCGTTGAAGTGATTCCTCCATCATGAGACCTCTGCCAGTACCAAAATATGAGAAGAGATTTCCCCCTTTTTTCTGGCAACAGGTGTTAAGATGTGAAAACACCAAATTTAAACCTTTACAAGGAATCGTGTCTGCATTCACCACAATACTTGTGGTCAGAATGCAAACAAAAAACACACTGATAATATATGCATTGTCTTTGAAACTGATTGGCCCACACCAGAGACAGCTTTCTTTCGAGCCTCGTCTCACACGGTGTTAGACCAGAGGACACCAAAAGGCGAATAGCACAAAGACAAAGCCACTATCAGAGTAATGAGAGATCGGGGTGAGCAGCTACATCATGGGACCTCCTTTGCCAGTAGCAAAATGTAAGAATAAGTTTTCCCCTTTTTTCTGGCAACAAAACAGGTGTTAAGATGTGAAAAAACCAAACTGAAATCTTTTACAAAGAATCATGTGTGCATTAACCACAATACTTGTGGTGTTTTCACATCGTAACACCTGTTTTGTTGCCAGAAAAAAAGAGGAAACCCTCTTCTCATACTTGATTCCTGTCACAATTTCTGGATCTTAAAAAAACGATTTGTGGATCGAAAAATTCAAAATTAGGCCGCCTCGTTACGCTGATTGGGTGCCTTCAACATTAACATAATTTATCATTCATTCTGTAGCGGATTCCTTTCATCCTGTTACATCACCCTTAATCAATAAGGTGCCCTTACACAAGAGTGTACATGAGAACGACTGATGAGACGACACTGTGGAGACCTTTTTTAAATTAGGTGGGTCTTACCAAAGTCTCCAACGGAAATCTAATTTAGATTTGAAGTTTTCATGACTGCAGGGATCCATACTCCTTGGTTCATTCGGTAAAGTCACATATGTATAAAATAAAATACATTTAATTAAATCACGTTTCGAGCAGTTGACCTGCTGTATCCGTTCCGCCTGATGACGGTTGCTTGTGTTGCGATCGAAACGTCGTGATTTAATTTATTTTATACCTACGTGACTTTACTGAAATAACCAAAGAGTATGGCAATTTAATTGATAAGCACCCAAAACAAATCCGATGACTCATTTCGTTCAAAGACTTTCTTTTGGCCACGAAAAGTATTTGAAGAAGTAATTACAGTGGTGGGATTTGGCCACAAAAAGTCTTTGAAGTAATTACAGTGGTGGGATTTTCCCCATTCGGAAAAGTGTCACAAGATTTTCCAGGCGTATAAACAAGTAGGTTGAGAGTTACACCTGGCGTGAATTTAATGATTGTTTACAGGAAATTCCAAAGTGGTTTCTAACACAATCCCCCAATGTGGTGATTGATGCAAAAGATGGCAGTGAATTTTAATACAGTATTCATCTATGAAGATTATATATATTATCTGGTATTAATCTTTAACACAACCGCCCAACCAATTTTTTCTTAAAATGCGTAAACAAAAAATACATCCCCTTGTGTTAGTTTTGTCAGTCTCTCTAAGCTGAAACCTAATGTTGACAGTGATTAAACACTCATTAACCAGCTAGCTAAATGAGAGCCCAGGCTTAATGCGTTTGCTTTACAAGATACTCACCGATGGCAGATGGTGACCGGCGCTCACCATTGTGAATGCAGCTGCGTTTGAGTAAAACTGCTAACTCCATTGCTTTATCTTCACAGCCCAAGCTCTCAATGTTTAATCGCAAGCTCTGGATACAGGCGCATTTAACCGAAACCAACCATATGGCAACGATAGTGTGTGCAATTTACCGTTGCCAATTACAACGAATGTTTAACCCGCAAGATACGTCGGCAGAAATTGTTTATGATGTCTGTTTCGTAACACATTGTGGCTCAATGGGTTATGGTCGTAAAGTACTTGAATGTAAAGTATTTGACGTCCATAATCGATTACCATATTGTGTGGTGCTGCCAATTTTCAGAACAAAATACTCATTATTTCAGGCTTCCTAAGTGCAGCGCAGCAAAAAACTGAGCCAGTTCACACTTCGAGTGAAGGTACAGGACACTTACGTTTATTTAAATCGTGAAATTAGTTTTATTCAGAAGTATACTGCCAACACGGGTGAACAAATAGGCAGGTTTCTTCTTGCAAAATCTGCAAAAGTCAGCAGATGTTGTGACCACGCGTGTTAATTGGTGTCCCAATTCAAATCAGTGGCAGAAGAAGCAGTGTGCTGCACACGTCCACCGATGTACCAGGGTTGACCTTTAAGTTGCGATCATCAGCATCCCGGCTAAGATAGTGGGCAAGACTCTGGCTAAATGGTCATGGGAACGTGCTCGGACACAGCTGTGCCCTGACTCCGTCACGACTCCAAGCCCACGTGACGCCGTGTAAACAACACCCCCGGGGGGTGATGGCACCACCACCAACCACCACTATTACCATCAGAATGAGAAACTGTATTTATCCTGGAGAGCTTTGATGAGCTTTTTCACAGATCTCCTGTAGGGGCGGGTCAGAAAGTTAAAATAAATAACAAAAAAACTATAGGAATGCAAAGTATATGAAAGGTAAGGAAATCACTATAAATAAACATACTCTTTGGTTCTTTCGGTAAAGTCACGTAGGTCTAAAATCAATATAAATAAATATAAATTCCCAGGTAAAGTCAACGGAGCTATTAGTTATTTATCAGAAGCGACCTTGCGACAGATGATAGGTCAACTAAGTAGCTTATCACGTGGAAATGTATGGCAGCTAAATAATCTAAACGCGTGTTTCATCATCAAATCATCAATATAACCACTGCAATCGTACATGATCACCAGCTCCTTTAATGCCATCGTCAAAGTGTCACTGTCATCAAAAAACACCTTAATTATAGCTTAGACTACCATCATAATAACCCTTATCACATCACGACCAATACCATCGGCATCATATCGTTACAATCAGATATTACCTGAACCACTTTACCAATGCTAACATAACATCACGATCACCACAATAAAATAGCAAAACATTCACAAAATATGCGGCTAACATTCTTATCACCATTAATCATCTCCATCACAATTTGAATCACTGCCATTTCGTCACTACGGCAGTGCAACCCAGCAAACATTTTGTAATGCGTCGCTAATTAGGTTGTTCCAGTTTTCACTGGGTCACTCCTGGGAGGAACTCGTTTAGGGAACGAAAGGTCATTGTATTTCAAGTTTTCATTGTCATATGAAATGTACCTATACATAGAATATAATGTATACATCAATTAATTAATCATCACTATCACCATAATCACTATCACAATCATCACTATCATCACCACTATCACCACCATCACCACCATCCCCATCACCACCATCACCACCACCACCATCATCACCACCATCACCACCACCACCATCACCACAAACACCACCATCACCACAACCACCACCATCACCACAACCACAACCACCATCACCACCCCCACCATCACCACCACCATCACCACAACCACCACCATCACCACAACCACAACCACCATCACCACCCCCACCATCACCACCACCATCACCACAACCATCACCACCATCGTCACTTTCGCTTGTGACCACATCTCGTGACTCCCTCGTGACTCCCAGAGACGCGTTGCCCGGGGACCGCGGCGAACAGCGCCGTGCACGCCAAACGTCTCGCCCACTCGCGCCGCCTCCCAGCGCTCATTCGCATCGACTCGCGCTGGAGGAGAAGAAGAGGAGGAGGAATACGCAGAAAGACGCCTCGCGTCCCCTCGAGCGTGCAACAGAGCAACACACGCACACACGCCCCCATGCACGTGTTCGCAACGTGCACACCCTCAAGACGTTTTAATAAGCGGCACGTTGCGCGCGTCATTAGCTTATCAATTAAGATCGCTGCAGAAGTGGCAGCGTCGCCGTCCGAGAGTGCCGGGCAGTGATGTCCGAGTGTGCAGGGGCGAGCGTGAGAGAAGAAGCGATCGGCGGCCACGGGAGGTGAGGGGTGGGGAGGGGGGTGTTGCGTGATTGTCACCCAAACTCTGCTTCGCCACTTCCCTTACACGCACATTTGCCGCGGACCCTCCCCTCCTCCTCCTCCCAGCTGATGCAGCCTTCGTCAACATCGACAAGAGGAGGAGGAGGCGGCCGCCGCCGCCGCTGCTGCTGCTGCTGTCCCCACGCTGCTCGTCGCGGATTAACGATGGCAACATCATCAGCAACAGCAACAACATCAGCAGCATCATCATCAGCAACATCATCATCAGCGGCAACAATGGGAGCTCGCTAGCAGCTCGCCGCTCGCTCACTCACGGGCTCAGGCGACTTCCACTCGCCTCTCTCACATCGCCCTCTCGTCACGCTCACACGGGGGGGGTGTTAATAGGTGCTCGCAAACTTCACACACTCACAGAGCCTTAATAGGCACTCGCTAACTTTACACTCACAGAGGGACTTAATAGGCGCTCGCTAACTTCACACTCACACAGGGGGACTTAATAGGAGCTCACTAACTTCACACAATCACACTCACAGAGCCCTAATAGGAGCTCACTAATTGCACACTCACAGGGCCTTAATAGGCGCTCGCTGACTTCACACTCACACACTCACAGAGCCTTAATAGGAGCTCACTAACTTCACATAGAGCCTTAATAGGAGCTCACTTCACACAATCACACTCAAATGGACTTAATAGGAGCTCACTAACTTCACACTCACATGGACTTAATAGGCGCTCACTGACTTCACTTCACACACTCACACATGGACTTAATAGGCGCTCGCTAACTTCACACTCACACATGGACTTAATAGGCGCTCGCTAACTTATCCAGCAGCGCCCATCCGTCGGTGACAGGAGGTGGACTTTGTCGGGGGGCGACGCGAGATGGACAATCGGCCGACGAGGTGGAGCGGTCGCCGCGGGCTGCTGACGAGGCGTGGTGGATGCGGCGCGGAGACGAGCGAGGTGGACGACTTGTGAAAGGTGGAAGGTTGACGCGGCGCTTTGACGATGGACATTGGAGGTAAAGCGTTGAGGGCGGAGGGCGAATTCAAAGTGTTCAAGATGGACAATGGAGCGAGAGTGTTTGGTGTGGACGCGCTGCTGGAGATGAACGGTGGAGGTGGAGCATTGTGCGTTGACAGGGCGACGAAGGTGGACAACGGAGACGAAGCTTCCGTGGGGAAGTCGTTCAAGATGGAAAATGGGAGCAGTGGGAAAGAGGTGTTGAAGATGGCAAATGGAGGTGGAGCATTTGGCGTTGGCGAGACATTAAAGGTGGGAAATGGAAACGTGGCGTTGGACTTGGACAAGGCGTTAAAGATGAATAAGAGAGGCGAGGCTTTGTGTACGAGTAAGGTGGCAGAGGTGGAAGATGGGGACAAGGTGTTGCGTACGAACGACGTGTTAAAGAACACAGACGAGGGAGGCAAGGGCTCAGGTCGAGACGAGCTGGTGAAGATGAACAAAGTTGACAAGGTCTCGCGGAAGGCCAAGAGAGACAAAGTGCCAAAGATGTGCAAGTCGCCCAATGCTGCCAAGGTGGACACCGTGTTGAGGAGAGATGACGCCAAGGAGCCGGATGGGGCGTGTGGACTGGACGAGGTGGGCCAGGTGTGCGACCTGGATGCGCTGGACACGGTGTGCGAGGTGGACGAGTTGGGGCCACTCGAGCAGATTCTGTCCGATGGCGTCCTGGCCAAGGTTCGCTGTGGGCGCTCGTTCGCCATGGCTCGTAGCGGACGGGCGCTGGTGACCCTCGACCACGCCGACCGGTTTGGGTACGCCGACGTGTCGGACGCTATCGTGGACGTGCTCGTGTTGCCGCCTCCTGGGACCGCCACGACCGATGTGGCGCCTGAGCCGGAGGAGGAATCGTCCACGGAGGCGACGGCGGCACCCCCTCCTGCTGTGGCACTGGTGGCAGTGGTGTTCGAGAGCGGGCGCGTGGATTTCTGGAGGAGTGACGTGCGGCGGCAGCGGCACGAGATGTCACCGGCCGGACGTGCCAACCTGTGCATCAGCCCTCGTGCCAGGGTGCTGTCTGCGGCCGCTCTCTCGTCGTGCCTGCTGTGGTGCGAGGCCCGCTCCTCTTCCGCGCCACGCTCCAGCAGGGACCTGCTTCTGCGCCACTGCGTGTGCAGGCGAGCCGTGTCGCAGGCCACCGCCGGCGGCCCCGTCACGCTGGGAGGCGTGCAGGTGCTGCTCCACGGCTGTCCCGCCTTGCATGTGGTGCCGTCGGCGGACGTGGTGCACCTCGTGCCCTTCCAGCGGAACCCCACGCCCCTGCAGTCGCTGCTGCCGCTGTGGTCGCCGCGCGACGGCACCGTGTCGGCGGTGGCCCTGCGCCGCGGCGGCATCGTCTGCGCGAAGCGCCCGGACTCGGACGCCGATTTCAAGGGCCTGGCGCTGGGCTGCGTGAGCCCGCCGCCCACCGGCGAGCCCGTAGTGGCGCACGCCGCTTGCCGCGGAGGGGGCTTGCTGCTGGGCCTCTCCGACGGCCGGGTGTGGCGTGTGGAGCGCGACGGGACGTGCCGCGTGTTGTGCCGCTGCGATCTGTTGCGGCGCGGCTCGCGTTTGGACATGCTGGCTGTCAAAAACGTGTTGGCCGTTGCCTCTGATAGGGACGTGGAAATGTTCGACACTCGGAGTGGGCATCTGATAAGGAAAATAAAGGGCAGCGTTTGCATCTTGAGCATCACGTCGGACAGGGACGAGGATGAATTTCGTTTTCTGACTGAAAAAGGAATTTACCGAGCTGACACGGAGCCAGCACGATCGCACGGCAGTGGCAGCCTGAGACCACAGGACGTTTTATCGGCTTGGGTCTATGAAGAGGCTTGCAGTTACTACCAGAAACGAAGTTTGACTGGCAACAAAATTACACCGGAGCAGCTGAAACAAGGTGGCGCTGGAAAAGGAGCTGCTTCTGTTGTGGCCATCCTTTCCCATGCCGTGTGTCCCAAAAAAAATACCAATTCACAGGCTGCACCCTTTTCTGTGAATCTGGAAAATGCACTGAAGCCTTTGATCGAAAGCTATGTAAAAATTGAACAAATCAAGCGTACATTTGTTGTGGATGATGAAGCAGAAATTCAATACGCCGAGTTCATCAAAGAGGAGGTGTCCAGGCTGCTGCAGGGCAGGGACATGGACACACCTAAGCGATTCCAGAGTCTCCTTGACACATTCCTGAGTGAAACTCTGTCAGCAGTTTTGGACATCCTGGGGTCCAACGATGATGGAGCAGCAGGAGCAGGAGCAGCTGGAGGAGGGCTAAACGAATCCTGGCGGTGCGTGATGCAGGAGAGCACGGACCGGGACTGCGTGCCACCCGTCTACGAGCAGCTCTGCGTCGCGCTGTACCAACACCGGCCCGAAGATCTGCTTCCCTTTGTGGGAGCGGCACAGGAAAGTCAGCGAGCGGTGCCCAGGTCACGTCTGTCGGCCGACAGTGCCGCCACGCCTCCGCACCTGCGAGCGCTGTTCGTGCTGCCGGAGAGCAAAGGCGGCGGCGGCGGCGAAGAAGCGGCGTTCATCCGCACCGAGCTTCTGTGCAGAGGCTCGCCGGAGGACGCCGCGCAGGCCATCCAGCTGCTGCTTAGCATGGGCATGTGGCAGCAGGCTGTGGCGGCCGCCAGCAGGTACCGCATCGACAACCAAATGCTGCAGGCCCAGGTGTTCACCACCTTCCTCGATGCGTTTACCTGCAGCCGGGGGCTGGACCCGTACGTGGGCAAAGTGTGGGAGTTGTGCCCGGACAGCATGACCGCCACGGACGTGCTGGCCACGGTGCTGCACCGCTTGCCCAACTCGCACGACGAGGCGCAGCCCTTCGTTCGGAGAGACGCGCAGATCACCATCGAGCTGCTGCGGCCACTGTTGACGCGGCTGCTGCTCAAGGAGAGCGCACGGTTCGAGATGTGACGGCGTGGTTTTTTTAGTTGCAGAGCGACGGTACAAAGTGTCGTGGTAGGCCGTGATTTGAAAATAACATTTAAGGAATATACCTCATGGCATTGCCGGCGCACGCGCATTTGTGGCACAGCGCTTCTGGAAGTGGGTTGGAGAGAGAGAGGGAGAGGGGGGGCACCACTCCATTCAGAGGTGGAGATACTTGAAGAGGTTTTAAACTTTGAAGTGCTTGTTGCTGCATTGCACATTCACATTGTGCTTGAATTGCGGCGACTGAAGTTTGCCAGCCTTGTGTTACAGAGGGCGTGTTTCGTTGGGCCCTCGGAAGAAGTCGAGGCCTGGCTCGCCTTGTCTTCATGTTAAAAAAAGCTGCCTCAGATCGGTCACTTTGCATGATGCCTAAATTGCACAATTTTTTTTCATGCGGTAATATTTAAACGTTTTTTTCTTTGCTGTTTATTTTCTGTGGCCACTGTTGAGTTTGTTGCAAATATACATAATCACCATTGCCACAAGCCATGGTGTTCAGTTTCACTATTGGTTCTGTATCAAATGTGCGAACTATAGTGCAGTTATTCAACCATGCTTATCTTTTCAAATATACGGAGCAGCCCAATGTTCGTGACTCATTGTGTTCCACCTTAACATTGTTCAAACTGGGCATAATCGTGGGGGTGCAGTGGTATTTGGTTGGAAGTAATCTTTGTTAATGTGTTTGTTAATATAAAGTAAATTGTTGTAAAGTTGTACATTATTGACATTGCATTGGCTTGCCATGGCGTTTACAAAAAGCAAAAAAATTATTGCAAGCAAAATAATAACACTAAGTATTTCAGCTAATAATGCCACATCAGCAAAAACATTAATAGGTATTTATTTTCTGGTACAAATTGTCAGTATTTATATGAACAAGAATGTACGGTTCGATGCGTCGCACTAAAAGTGTGGGATCCGTTTGCCACGCATACTCGATGGGACTCAATGTTCCAAATGAATGTGACCCGTCTAAATGTTGGCAGCAAGGCAGATTCTATGCCATCCACATCCGATATATAACAGTGGGTCTGTACCTAGTTGCTCTACAAGGCAACACGATTTAGATGAAGCACAACTGTCCAAGATTGTGGAATGTATGTTCGGGTTTCTAAACAGATGCTGTATTGTCATATAAAATTATTTTAAAATGAAGCAGAATGTAACGACTACTATTCCTTTTTCAGAAATGTTTTTACTTTTTTCGATTTTCAAGTTATTTTCGCTTAAAAAGTGTTCGCTTGAATGTTTGATTAAATAACTGAACTCCCGCCGCTTCTACTTTCGTGACCACGTCACTGCACAACACTTCCAGTTTTCCAAGGGAGCACCCACAAATAAGCAGATTTGATTGAATATCCGTCTGCGGGACTCCCCTCGAGACCCCCCTGATGCCCTGGCAGGAGCCACGGGCAAGACATGGCTCAATGGCCTCTCACTTGCGTGTGGATTTTCTACAGGGGGTGGGAATGTACGAGTTGCTCAGAGTTTCCACGCCTTCTGATGTGCAGGAAGCAGCGATGATTATTAAAAGAACATCTTTACGTAAGATGAGTGTTGATGTCCGTGATTACTTTTTTTAAATATTTGCTAAATGGTAATACGATACACAGGAAAATTGCGTGCAAGATTTGCTTGATCAAAATAGCTCGGTTGATATTTTCACACACTGATATCCATGTTTTCCTATAATTGGATTTAATCTTAAAAATATTAAGAAAGGAACAAATTCGTGGTGCCAAAAAATGTTTGTGCTGATATGGGCCGAGTTTCTTTGGAAAGCTAAATCGAATAACGAAAAGTAGAGTACCAATGTTTCCAAAAAAAGAAAACGTTTAACCAGTGCAGAGTGCTATGATTTTTTTTATGGAAAAAGCTCAAATGTGTGCAAACAAGTATTGAAAGACGCCTTCTTGAAATCACATTGGACCGTTTATGAAATGGACTTGAGCAGGACGCCGTCAGTCAAAGGGACGGCGGCTCAGGGTGGAATGCGCCTCTCGAAGCCACCCGCAGCAGAGGAGGCGCGCGTGGGCGCGAGACGATGAAATCCGGTCGCAGCGTGCAGGTGGAGGTGCTGGCTTCGTCGCTGGACGGATAGCGACCACTTGGGGGAGGGGCATTTATCCACAGGTGGATTCATTCTAGATTTGAAGCTTTCGTGACTGCAAGGATTCATATTCTTAGGTTTTTTTCGGTAAAGTCACGTAGGTAAAAAAATTAAATGTATAAAAGTAAAATAAAAATCACGACATTTCGGAGGCAACACAAGCTTCCGTCTTCAGGTGGAACCGTCACAGCACGATAGCTGTATCAAGTAAGATACATTTCAAGAAAACAGTCCTTGTATATATACTGGTTGAGGGTGGGAGGAGCCAAGGTAGGCCCTGGATATTATTATTGTGAGGTTCGGTGCGGCTGAAGCACGCTGCTAGGAATGAGCCTTTGTTGTGTAGACTGGTTGAACTCGGAGGTTCCAAGAGTTGTTAAGGTGCGGCTGATGTAAAGATGCGTGTAAATGGGACTGAGCCTTTTGTTATGTAGAGGTGGTGCGGCTGAAACCGCTGCCAGGAATGAGTCTTTGTTGTGTAGACTGGTTGAACCAGGAGGTTCTAAGAGTTGTTAAGGTGCGGCTGATGTAAATATGCGGCTGCTGTGAATGGGACTGATTCATGACTCACGGCGGTATTTTTTTTGGGCCGATTAGAAACCATCCTTCCAACAACATGAATTAAACACCGATTTTTTCAACTGGACGCGCTGTTTGAGCATTTATCCTTGATGTGCTATTCTCGGATTGTAGTCTGACCTTGACGTAAGGTGCACTCTGACCACTTTTTATTCCAGTTACAATACGTGATAGATGCGTTGAATGATGCAAGCTGTGCCGTTGCCTCCTCCCGGGCCTGGTTAGTCGGGACATTTGTGATATCTCAAAACCGAATTTCGTCTCGGTATGAACCTCGCTAATGACGTGTGAAGCGTGCGAAACAATTATTTTAAATTACGTTTTATCTTGACAAAATATTGCAACGATCTCGAAACTGCACACCTGCCAATAGTTGTATCTCATATCAGTGGTTAGAAGGTGTGATCCAAACCAATCCCCATCGAGGCCTGCCGTCCCTCCAGGAATGATAAGTGCTGTAACACTTTTTGGAAAGTGTTTGTGGGGGTCCCATGCATTGAGTTCCCCCATCCATGAGAATGTGACAATTCGAGACTAAGGGCCAAGAGATGAGCTCTGTCATTGCTCATTGAAGCAGGGTTTTTTGTTACTGCTGTATAATCTGAGAACAGTTGTGAAACCCTTAGTCTTAATCTTACAAAAATGCATATTAAACACACAACCACGACACGTGATATCACAGACGCGGCGATCACCACTGAACACATGGGTAAGAGATGATCATCACATTTATTCAACGGGTCTTGGGTGCAGACAGAACAAAACTTGGTCTTTAAAGTGAACGCCGGGTGTAGAATATCAACGTGTTAATGTAAAACGCCTGTAAACTCAGACTGTACGTTCTTTAAAGGAGAGTTACAGATGACAGTACAGATCAGGTATTCTACACAGCGGGAACATTTGCATCGCTCTCCAATGTTAACTCATTTATGCCGAAGCTCTCCCACCACGCAGTGCGATCATTCCTGCACAAGCTCCCACAGCTAGGAACGAAACGTCGGACATTTCGCCCAATAACTCGTGGTACAACCCGCAAACGCATCGGAGAGCCATGCAGCACACCCGCGTAGGCAGTGGAACATTTGAAAGGTGTGTATATTACAAAGATATTCTAAAATAGAGTATGCAAAGGCTGTAACGTTACAACTATTGCCACTTACAATGTCAATTTTCATTTGCAGCATTCGTCAAAGTTGCCAATTCGGGAGTGAAAAAAAATCGCTTACATTTTCGAGACGTGACTGGCTCAGTCATATGACAGCCACCCCCTGCCAACCTCGCCTTAATTTTGTAAGCAGAAGATTCTACATTACATACGCAGTTAGCTAAAAAAAAGATAGTTTCATCCGTACGTTAATTTCCGCCGGCAATACAAAAATGCACCCGTGCCTCTATAACCTCTGAAAAATAAATGCCAAACGAATGTGGCTGCCTTTCTTCAGGCCATGAACACGACAGCAGCCCGTTGTGGTGGGGAGTTGTGCTGTGGTTCGAGATGGGCTGGAATCGTGCCCCATGGCTGCTCCTCGGGCAATAACCTCCCAAAAGTGGGAACACCGACAACCCTTGTCCGTTTGATCATACAAATAGTTGCCCACCCCTCTTAGACCTACGTGGTCTTCACATTCGTCGTTTCAAAAGTAAGAGAACACAACGGTACACAAGCTGGCCAAGTGGGGCCATAACGTGGGGGCCCCCATAACATGCGATGTCAAACTTGGGAGTGGAATCCACCGGCGTTTGGTGGCAGAACGCTGCGCTCTTATAATGAATGTGCACGCGTATGCGAATGTTATAACGGTTTAATATTTTTGTTCAAACTTTTATACTTTTTAAAACTCGCGCTGTGATGCTACGTGCATACATGTAGGCAGCAATTTTAAGCAACAGTTTTCGCTCTCTTTAAGTGGCAGTGTACAGTTAATCGTGGTAATTCGCTACGGTACAGACACCCACATTATACGATGTGGTTGCGTGTGTTCATGTGACAGTACTTGAATACAACTTGAAATATGAATTGTTCATTAATGGTGCACTGTACGAATATTAAACCGTGATAGAAAATTTCCACGACCATCACTTGAACTTTGTATACCTACAATCAACATACATTTTCGTAGTAGTAGTCATATGACAAATACTTTTCTATTTAAAAATATAAATAGATGACATAAAACTCTAAATCTCTTTTATATATTCTAGTAAAATAAATAAGAACTACATAATCAATCTGCACTCTATGTGTATCCTTCCACTCGCACACAGGAAAACCAACCTTAATAAAATCGTTAATCATCAATAAAATGAAAGTTAATGTTTCAAGCAAAATAATGAAAACATAATTTTAGCATACATGAAAATAAAACAACTTAAGTTTATAAATTAATTCGTCTGAGAAGTTGTTGAACAAATATTATTCATCTTTGCCTACTGTTGATTGTTGTTCCACAGCAGACTTTTTTTCTACGCGGAACATCTGTCCATCGCAAGCAAGAGGGATTGGACTCAGGACTTCGCTAAACATCATGTAAACGACGAGGGCTCCAAATGAAATCATTTAAAATCCGAATCACACTCAGAGAGTGTTCAAGTTATATTGGCGAGCACTGCATTAGATTGTTGTACATGGGGGGGGGGCAGTTGGGAGTTACTACACTGGCCTCATCATGTGCTGTCAGTGCGATTAAATCGGCTGAACCACAGTTTCCTTTTTTTAACAAAAAAAGAGACAAGAGTACAAAACTAATGAAAGCCAAATGTACACTTGTGGGGATGCCACGATGTGCTGCAAGTGGATGTATATAAACGTGTGTATGTTGAACTTCTTTCGCACCGTATGTAGCCAACCGTGATAATAATCTGAGGTGCGGGGGAAGGACAACAAACTAAACACAAAAACAGTTCTAGAGAAATGAGTTTTCAATTTGCCCCAAGGCAATTCAACTGCAGACTCTTAAGGATGGAGCTCGGTGGTGAAGGCTGCCATCTTTTCCTTATAGAATAAACCGAGCAATGTTATTTAATCAATAAAATATAAAACTACGACTGTGTGAGTTACTGTACAAATGTAAGGTGTATGGTGTTGTTATAACACAAAAATATACATGCTACACATTCAATATATCTAGTGCAAGACAAGCTTATACAGCGTCTGCCAAATATTGGTTACATGGCAAGGGACTTGCAGGACTTAAAAACAAGGTAAGCATCAAAGAACGTAGGAACAAGTCATAGCAGTACTTGTAATACAACTGTCATCTATGTTACTGCTTTTTAATGTACAGAAATTGTTTACTGCTTTCATCATTCTTGAACGCGATGTGGCTGCAGTGTTGGCGCTCCCACAGACTCAACAAAACAAACCAAATCAACATAACAAAACACCAGGAAAGAGGAACGTTTGACGTGCGGAAAACAACAACGCTATTTATTGGGTAAGCTTGCGCTAGAGTGCTCAAGCATAGCTGTATTTATTTTACACTCAACTTACTTTACTGCTAAAGGGTTGACATTCTCGGGTAAAAAACAAAGTTACATTGTCACGTAAAATAATGTGTATAAAAAAAATCCAGCCAATGATAAAGCAATTAAAATAGCTCCACAGGCACACTGCAGCACAGTGGAGAGTTTACAGTTTTCAAGAACATGTCGAATTCTTGTCGCGGTTCCACACCACCGCCAGAACGAACCGATTTCCTCACTGCCATCTTCATCCCGTTACCTAAACAAAGACAAGAGTGCATTTATAACGCGTATATTTAAAAAGTGTGGTAATGCTTATTTGCACGGTTGTTAATTTTAGGCGGTGTGCAATATAATTGTGTACCCAATTTACCACACCCCCCTCATGTGCACACAAACACACTTACACTATTGGCTGGTCAATCAAATCCACTAAAAGTGGCATGCAAACAAACAAACAAAACAAAAATCAAAATAAGGTCATTACAAATTATTTGGCGAAGCAACATTCAGATGGAATAGAAAACAACACAACACAATTGCCATCATGCGTGGAAATGAGTATGCACAGTAAGACTGGGAGCAAAGCTCCGCCGTGCGTGCAATGCCACATTGTAGCAATTTGCGCCACGATTTTTCTACCCTAACCCCAACACAATCCCCAACACGTGTTTAATGACCTCTCACATGTTACTCGCCCAGCCAGGACTGTGCATTTCCTGCCTGAAAAGGTGGTGGCGTGTCACGTCAAATGCAGGATGCGCATTGCATTATGGGTGTCCATCGATGGAAAATGAACAAGCAGCTAAATGAGAGCCAACATGTACATTTTATGTAACCCACTTAATATGCTCAAGACTGAAAACCAGTGGCATTTAAGTCACGAAGAAGCATGTTAAAGCAGCAGCCCCTTTGTGTAATGTCTGATATTAAGTGGGTTACACCGAAATCAATAGAGCCATACTGTGGTATATTAAATAATGCACTCCACAGCAGCCAATGTAGAAGTTACAACAGCACTTGCTAACCAATAAAAAAAGCATGTTACTGGATCAGTGCTCTACTTGGGCACAATTATTAATCGAGGTCAAACATATAAAAGTACCAAAAATCCCCAAAGAGTGACATTTTAATACCACAATATGACTCAATTGTTTTATGCTGTATCTGTTGACACAAGGCAAAACAATGAAGACATTTGAGATTAGTACAGATGGTGATGTGATTGACTAAACATGAATACTGCTCTGTGCCTACGCCGAGCAGCACAAGCACATCATTTGAAGCACATGAAAAAACAAGGACAACGTTGAAACAACAACAACACGATCGAGACGCACACACATGGAGACAAATGGATTTCCCTTGGGCCTAACAAGCCAGTTTCGTTGAAAACAGAAGGGGATTTTTTTCCCCAGTTTAATTCTGCAGTGAAATTAGCCAACATGCAAAGAATGTCCCAAGGCGATGCATCCTCCTGCTTTGTGATGTAAGCACGGTTTTACAGGCTGCTGTCAATCCACTGCCGGACAAAGGCCCACGCCAAACACCGTATCTGTCTCAGTGGTTTCTTGACCGTACTTAAACATGCTGGTCCGTTGGGGGTTGGCGATGGGGGTTGCCCAGGATATATAGATATCACTCGTCACCGATGTAAACAGTGGCCAAGAATTTAACCCAGGTGGCCGTGTTCATAGCTCTATGGCGAGGACCACGACTATATTACCACTCTCCCGCTGGAAATATATTTTAAATGTGCACTCTATTTTAGTTCATCCACCACCTTTAAACTAAACATGTGGGGAACAAACCTGGATGTAACGAATGCTAAAGCCATTCCTAGCAGTCTCAACTGTTGTGTGTGTGTGTAATTGAAACACAGTGATTAAAATAAACAGGCCATAATATATACCAAAGGTAACAGAGGCAAGAGTGTGCTAACCAGGAGTCAAACATCCTGCAAAACACAACTTGGGAGTAGAGATGTGCAAACAAAAGTGACACCAAGGCAAGTTGAGTGTAACTCAATCCTGGACAGATTGCTGCCATGGTGTTTAGAGAGTCTCACTACTCAACATCAACATCCACAGAATCCACAGAAACCGCACTGCGTACAAGGAATTCATATATCGCTTCCCCGATAAGGATGAAGTTTCGATGGGTTTGTTATGGAGGAGCAAAACTAAACGATACCACCTTCTCGTACGGACGTTTAAACCATGCTCCGAGCCCAGCCCTTTCTTCTTGGCCAATCAAAGGCTGCATCCAATAAGCACATCGGTGCAAGAAATACCAAACAGCCGGCTTGCCAAACAGCATCCACTGGGTGTGCAAGCACGCGGTTCGATAGAGTTTCCTGAAGAATATTTAACGTGCAACCACGTGTGGAAAGAAACCACATTGCAAACGAGGGCAAGCACGTGCGCAAACACACACAGTCCGCATGCTGATGCTATGAAATCCGTATTAGAGCATTGTTAGTATGCACCATGCGTTGGCTAGTTAGTACAGTTAGGGTGTTGGGACTGAGCGGCGGGGTTGGTACTTACTACCCTGGTTATCTTAGGGTTGCTCTCCCCACTCAGCTTGCCTGGGAGGGGTCAAGGCTCGGGGACAACGCTCCCAGCTCTCTCCACAGTAGGGGCTGCAGGTTCGTTGTGCATAGCGGACAAGCGTGGGCGCATGACGGAGGCTCAGTTCCAAACGCAACACGTTTATCAGTCGTGCATGTTGTCTGTTTCGAAATCAAAACTTCTACGCGTATGTCGAGGTGCTCTTTTGCGATTGTACCGCTTATATGCTCCTTAGGTTATTAAGGTCACAACAGGAAATGGTATGCAACAAAAACGCGTTTTAAACCCGCTTGCTCGCTATAAAATGTTATATAAATGTTCACGTACTTGTCACTACCTGCCACTGAACTAACGCATGCATCCCAATGAACAGCGCTACAAGTCAGGAGATGGACACTGCCCGGCATGCACATTGTTAACGTGCGTTAATAAAAGAGTGGATGAGGGAATGAATGGAACAGCCATGTGAGTTTGATATCCAAATTTAAAGTCTTTCCGTTTACATTTTTGCAACAGGATTGTCAATGCCATGGGACTGTCTTGTCTGATAACCATTACTACCAAAATCCATACTGAAACGAAACATTGCCAAGATTCGTAAATTGTTTAAATAAATATGCAAAACTTTTTACGTGTAAAATTCTGTATTAAATGCAGGCTATGCACTCAAGGCCACAGCGTTCGTAGGCTTAGTCGGAGCTGTTTCAAGCCCAAGAGCCAATGCGTTTGGGTTAGAGGCTTTAGATTGGCAATCGCATTGGCCCCGATTTAGGGGGCAGACACATTGGCCTGACGAAGTTACTCCTATCGGCTCCATCCTGGGAGGCCTTTAAGAAACCTGAAACTCTAGAATGTCTTAAGGGTATCAGGCGTATGCCGTCGACAATGACGGGACAGCAGATTTGATGACATGCAGCAATTGATTGAAGATTTTTTTTGTGGGAAGCAATTGCCAGTGGCAGATCCTTCACAGCTCTGGTTACTGTTTGCACTGACAGGATAAATTAAGACTTCGCCATGAACGCGTGACTTTTAGTTACAAGTCTGCTGAGACAAAAAATACTTCAAAAAACATATTTTAGAAGACGAAAAAGCCATGGAAGTTAGTATTATATTATTAGGTTCAAATCACAGCTGTATTACTGTACATATTCATGTGGTGTGAAAATATTTGAATTGAATTATAAAATGGCAATCTACATTGCATGTCCAGCATAATGACTCTATATATAGTAATTTTAATAACAAAAATGTATTTTTCACATTTTACTTGTACAAAAGAGCGGTGAGACTTAATAGTAAATTATTATTTTAGACGTGTGACAATTGCAAAAAGAAGTTTACAAAAACTAAACTGAAGAAGAAAACATCTTACTTGGTCATAGGTATGTGTTCATCTCTAAAAAAAATAAGGCAATTAATGATTACTTTTTATCTTTTAACACTGTGAGAATGTGCATTGTTCAGTCTATACCACTAGAAAAAAAACAAGAACATAGAAACCAATGACATTAATTAATTTGTTGCAAGGGTATTTATTCCCCATCACATGGGACTCTTATAGAATCCATCTTTGTTACAATCCCCCCATATTAGTAGATTCTTACCAATTATAATAATGGGATTGCCACTCATCTCTACTGGCTCCTGTTGAGCCAGAGATGGAAATTCCATATTCAAACGACGAGAAACGGGCCATGTGATGCCCAATCTTAACTTACTACGAAACTACCACGTCAATGTCTCAACCCTGTAGGGGACGATAGGCTGAGTCGACCCCCCAACCGACATTATAACTCATTGCACCCTTCTCATAGTGAGTCGAGTGCTTCGCTATAGCACCACTTAATCCCTTTAACACGGCTCAAGTCTCTGTATTACATAAGAAGCAAATGCGGTATCTCGCATTAATTAAATACTCGTAGATACATTTACTAGAAAATGGTCTGATATTAATAGCAAAAAAACCCACAGCATTGAAATTCGTAATGTGCTAAAACTCCCACAGCCAAACCGTAAACAATGTGAACTTCTGTGCGCTGCACGTGTATTATTATCATATCGCATATTGAATGGAAGAGAAGTAGAGTGGTGTTATTAGCTCGGATGGTAAACTGAGAAAAGAGGCTCCCAACAATTTTATATTTGCTAACAAAACAAAAGTGTGCAGTTGCGATGAAAAATGCATGCAGAATTTTACAACATAAAAGAAGAGGCAAAAATTCCAAAGTGGAACAAACAAAAAAAATAACACGACTTAAAAGGTAGGAATGGTTATCAGAAGGTAAAATGCCAGATCCCCGACACTGATGAACTGCAAAAGGCGAAAAAAGAGAGACAAGGCAGGCATGAGATCACATGACAAGTGGGCAAGCAGGGTTCCAGGCCAACCGCAGGGAATCAGTGTTTGTGTCTACTCCTGTGGATGGAATTAACGTTGACATTTCCTGCCTTCAACGCCTACGCCTACTCTGTCAGCCGTGTAAACCAAGCCCCTGTATTAACGCCCCTTAAAACACCTCGCCCAATCACTGAGAAATTAATCTACATGGACCTCTTGATGAGACCATTTTAAGCTGATGCTTCTCGATTCCAAGAAGTTTAAGATTCACATTTAAGAGTCAGCGGCAGGAGGAACAAAACCAAAACATAAACACACCGTGCACACCACAGTAATAACAACAGAGACAGGGAAACCTCAATCGCTTTGGAAGGGTAAGTAACAAGCAGCGGAAGGAATTGAAACCTAGGTAAACGTCCATTGCCCTATGCGGGTGTTGAGGTATGTACACACATTGGTTTAATTATTATTAAGGTAAAGCCGATGACGAGATATAGGACTGTCAGTCTATTGTCCGAATACCATTTTCGTCTTTAGCCTAAAGTGTCCATTACTTAGTAAAATCAGAGGCAACAAAAGCACAGTTAGTCACTACGCCTTAGCAGCACCCATCTATACAGGATGTAAATCATTTATATAGAAGGGCAAAAGGTACATTCCACTGTATTAAGCATCTGTTGCAGTTTTTCATTTTCAGTTTCATTTATTTGGTATAGCCCTGTGAGCCATTCGGCTCTTGAATCGGGTGCAACCGCAACAAACAAAAACATGAACAAGAAAACATCTTAAAGTGACTATGTGACTATGTGCAAACAGAAAATCCAAGAAAAGACAGCAAAATATTGCAGAAAAAGCACCGTACACCAGCATCACTGGCTTCACAGTTTATACAGTTATAAAACTACCTGGGCCACGCAGCGAGGATAAGCCACTCGCTAAGAGCGACAAGTGCCCGTTTTGCCTCGCTCTGAACGTGGCCGTGGTTTCACGACTTTTTTTGATTGCGTGCTACGAGGATATGGACGTACACGGCAAAGCAGATTTCACACGGCACTCACTCATCGTACACGTCCTCGGTGTCCATGCGCCGGTAGTATTTTGCCAGCTTCACGGCAAAAATGATGCTCGGAATTAAAAACACCGTCGCCCAACCGAGGCCAAACCAAAACGCGTTCTGAAAAAAAGAGACGAGACAAATATAGTAGCCTTTAACGGACTGTCGGGGCAAGTGCTATTTGCGAGCCCCTATTAAGGCTGGCATGGCACACGAGGGGGGGGGTGGGTGGCCAACACTATGCCTCGCTGGGCCACATTTGTCTTCCCAGTGTTGATGTTTACACACCACACCAGGCATGCATTTAAGGCTGAGTTGACCAACGGGAGGCCCTGGACTGGTTCAGATAATCGTCACCGATGTTGGCTGTAAGCGGGAATCGAACTTGGGTCACCGGGTTCGTAGCGCAGTGCGCTAACCACAGGAAGAAATCTATTTTCCTCCAAAATGTCTAATTATTTATCATTCAGAAAATTTCCCAATGCAGGACCCTTGTGCCAAATGCTACTCTCTGGTACACAACTCAGTGGCGTCTCTCACCAGCGAGTCCATCACGTAGCTGCACGCAATGATGTCCACAGAGTCGACCAGATTGGAGACCGGTTTGCAGGTGGCCACCTTGTTGGAAATCTGCACAAAAGAGTGGAAGCCATACTCTTTGGTTCTTTCGGTAAAGTCACGTAGGTAGAAAAATATATATATCACGACGTTTCGATCGCAACACAAGCGGTCGTCCTCAGGCGGAAAAAATAATCCAGCAGTGGAACTGCTGAACCAGGCAGAACACAGCGAGAGAGCCGTTACAACAAAAGGTTATATATGTGCGAGCTTCAAATCAAATCGATATCCGTCCGAGTGGTCTTATAGCTCCCCACAATCAACTAACTCACATTTGGTACAGATGTTGCCAAAGCAATTATTTATAATACGCTTTGCTGAAACGTATTTAAGGGCCTGAGTATTGAATGGCACCAGGTGTTGTATCGGTGGAAGAGACAAGAAGAACCAGACACGAATTTGTGCAACATCGACCTGCGGGTTGCATTTGGGCTCAACAGCACAGCACCCGGGCACAGGTCTGGGGCGCTGTCACCCCTGCCCCAATAGTTCGAGGGGCGGCTTCGAACAAGCGAGCGACACTGGTTAGAAAGCCACTACCGGGTCCCTCACTCCCTGGAAAAACGGTGAAGGCGTCAACTACAGGACATCCAATACAAATGGGCTGTACGTTTACAAAAGAACCTATACACAGCGCTTGCATGCAAACGTGGGTATCTGTGCCACACCTTTCAATGAACTTAAGTTGCAATCCAATCCACTTCGATTAAACCGGACTCCAGCATTCAATTTGAGTGGTAAATATGCAGTGTTGCACCTACTTAATAATGTTCCCAGTTTCACGGTAGATATATGTTTGTGATTAAGAATGCACATAATAAGTCAAGTCAGTGGGCTACTAACAGGTGTGCATTGTATAATTTGTGCAGCTCTCATGTACTCACGGAAAACTTTGTCCAAGTAACGTAACTCTCAAAGTATCCTATTATAGTCTTCATATAGGTCTTCGTTTCCTTTAAAAAAGGCAAATATTGCAAAGTGTTAAGATTGCTGAAAAGGGTCGATGTAAATTTTCTGCAAGGTGCTTTCCATAAAAATGTTTGTTCGTAAAGGTCTTAATTGTTACCAATGCACCCACGAGGCTTGCAACTCAAATTACTTGGCTGTACAACACAAATCCTTCTTACAAAACTGAAGCAATTGAAAAAGATATTCTTTTCTCAATGGACCTCACCAAAAATTGACTGACTGAATTGACAAATATTTCCTAAAACACATTTTCTCGAAGGAAACTTTTATTTCAACATTCCACATTACAAATCATGTGATACACATGGCATTTTATTCCATAGTGAAGGAAAATAGACAAGACAGTAACACAAACATCACAACTTACCCCAATGATAACCTGTGAGGCATTGTTATTGATGAGACTCTGGGCAATGTCCAATTTGTCAATGACTTCTGTAATCTCACTCTAGGATTCACACACACACAAAACATTTAACACATTTTTTTCGTCTCTTTTGCAAGTGTGTTAAGTGCACGTGTGGCTAAGCATGTCACAAGCCCGCGTGTGTCCACGTGGGCCCACACATACGTGTGATATTTATTGTTAGATGTAAAGTGACGTTTGTACGCAAATTCCAATCAACAATAACCATCAACAGACATTATTTCATGATCTGGATCAATTTGTGTCCGTGATCAAACTCAAGTAAAATATTCTACGTGGTGAATTAAGTCTCATTTCACTGGAGTAGCTATTCAGTGTGAATGTGATCACAAGTCCCAACCTGCAGAGCAAGGGATGTCCTCTGGAGAGAATTCAAACTCTTGCTCAAAGTACTCTGAAAACAACAACAGAAATGTTAAGCACTCATTTCGGAATTAGTCAACAACAATCAATCAAATACATATTTTATTACGTACAACACCATGTTAAAGGGTACATCAACATGCACGAGGATGAACGTTACTGTAAAAGTTTTCTGCGGCCGCGCTATACGGCTCTCAGGTATGCGTTCGGGCTGCGCCGCATAATTCTTTTCAAAGACCGACGTTTTTCTCCACGTGCTGGTTCATTCAAAAGGCACGTGGAGGGAAACGTCGAGTGCTGCGGTGCGAGCCGGAAAGGATTCGGAGAGCTACAAGTATGAACATTCATCAACTTCCACTTCGAGTCTTCCCCTTCACAGTACAGGACACCAAACGGAAGTGATTGTGATTCAGAGAGAGAGATTGTAACATTTCCATTAAGAGACAAGGAGACGGAGTAAGGTTGATAGAAAAATAAAGATTCTCTTACCCTTGCTCCAGTATATTTCTTATTTAGCGTATTGGATGAGAGTGCAGCATGAATGGAGAAAAGTACAAGTCAGAAAATGGGCACTGTCATTAATTTACATTCCTTGTAAAAAATATATAAAATAGGTGAAAAAATAATCAGAAGGAACATTTGAAAGGGAGGGGGAAATGAAAATGAAGGAAGTATGAAGACAAAAAATGTTTTTAAGAAATCATACAAAAGTGAAAATTGACGAATGTTTAAATAAACACAAAAATAGAAAATATAAACCAAATACACACGTAATAAAATATACATCAACATAAACTGCAACTGGGAGGTATACACAACATGTGGCTGCCCTTGCCCAGACTGGAAACTGTACAGGTCAAGATAACCTCGGCCACAGGCCAAATATGCTGTGATGGAGGCAAAACACCCAGTTGTATTTGTAGGAAATATTAACAACACTGTCATCTCCAAGATAACCCCAGTTTTGGGTAAGGGAAGCCCCACAATTGCACCCAGTAGACCACCACCAATCACTTTAAGTATAAACATTAAAGCACTTACTCTTTAAACATGTACCTTGGAGTCACAATGTCAAATCGGAACACACGCTCATGTTCAAAACACAACGATAACAAACATCTTTAAACATTCAATTTTTATCATTAATACGCAAACAATTCACGCCTCCATTTTGAAATGTCAACGACTGTGGAGGCATGTTACTGGCGACGGAGGTTTTGATTATACACGGGTGTTTGCACCGTGGCAGCGCACCCAGCCTGGCACAAGCGCTGTGGTGACATCACCGCCACTTGGTGGCGAATGGCGGCTGACGCTGCAATGTATTAAATTTGTAGCAATGGAGGTGTTGTTGAAGAGTGGGGAACCACCACCACCTCCATCAGTCACACAAGTCTAGCCTGAGTGAGGTGTACCCCATTATGGGCCCTCACGACCGGATTATCGGTACCTGGCTGTGGATCCACCCTCTGGTTAGTCGTGGGTTCAGCAGCAATATGCACAGCGCACATCATTACAATTCATATTTCACAATCGACAAGGTTGTTGTTAGACCGTATTTTGTGCAACACAAATATTTATAGAGGAGAAGCTGGATACAAGCACACTTTATATAAGCACAGTTCTGGTATAAGCAATATCGAACATTACACTGGTGGAGGGAGTCCAAGGGCAACTTCTGATACAAGCACACTTCAGATATGAGCAAACCTTGCTTTGCTCTCAAGAGGTGTGCTTATTTAATAATTATTTAATAACAAAATGCATTCCATCTCATCTCGAACATTAGAAGGGGAACCCCTCCGTAGCAGCTGTCCCTCTATGGCAAAAAGTGACTCAGAACCAGCCTACAAAGTAGGAATTAGTCTACCAGTGGAGGTGGTAATTGCTACGTGTAATCCCAATTGAGTATTTTGTGATCCTTTTTAAAAATTTGGCAAATTTAGACGATGACGCCAACGCACAACGTATGGGCCACTCTTTTCAAAAGCCGTCACGGGATCTTTTACGTCCACTGTGAAGCAGGCAGCGCGTACCTTACGATGTATACACCCGCAGAACGAACCAGGGCCTGTCGGATTCGGACCGCGAACCTCCTGAACAAGCGGCTTAACGCTGGAATCACTGGGCTAAGTCATCACCCCATATCCAGCTTCTGCTGTACATAGAACCCAGCCACCGCTACGGTGTGTAACGCTGCTAGTGTGCGTGTGGTGGTATACGATGCGGTAAATGGTGAGGTGCACAACCCATTGATTGGCAAGGCATACAAGCCAGGCCATATTACGGTGTGTAAGCCAGCAATAAGTAAAGCACAAACCACTGGTAAGATGTACACACCCGAATAGTATGATTGGCTATGTACGGTGAGAATTAAGTTCAATATGCATACATACAAAGTGCACAACCCAAGCCGCTGCGATGAAGTGTACAATGCCGAACATTGGTGGAGCAAAGGGCCCAAGGCAGGTTACCAGCAGGGCACAGTGCTCACCATGCTGCTGTTGAGAACTACCACTTGGTTATAGTGAATCCAGCGGATGCTTGCCGCATGTCCCCGCAGCGCGTTAGCCAGTGCCCCGCTCTGCAGCCACAAACAGTCGCACGCAAACGTAAATCATCGTGAATCAAACGCAAATCATCGTGAATCAAACGCAAATCATTGTGAATGAAACGTAAATCATCGTGAATCAAACGCAAATCATCATGAATCAAACGTAAATCATCGTGAATCAAATGTAAATCATCGTGAATCAAACGTAAATCATCGTGAATCAAACGCAAATCATCGTGAATCAAACGCAAATCATCGTGCACAACCGAACAGAGTCGACCAAACAAGTGCCCCTCGTGCGTTAAAAATAAACCCAACTCTCTTAAAGCAAACTCTTCATTTTTCCCAGAACCCTCCCCGAGATTATGGAAACGCAACTTTAATCATTCGTGCCATTTAGGCTAACTTGAAATAGATACATTCAGGGTCTTACCAGAAATGCCACATTTATGTACATGAAAGCATTCAAATAGGTTTTACACTGCAGCACTGCGAATTGATTTTTTTTTTAAACATAACACGTTAGCTATGATTAAAAGCCCGTGAATGACAGTTCATAGGCGTCTGCACACTTTAGTTTGGCTCATTCCACACTTCAGCTGGGAAAACCTGAATGAAACCACATGCAGATTTTTCAAAGCATTGAAATAGAAATATATTTGAGAAAATGAAAGCGTGCAAGCTTGACAAAACTCACCAGGTTGTTAGCTTTTTCACTGAGTTCATCGGCAAACAGAAGCAGATCAACCTTGGTAATGCCTTTGCTGAGCTGTAAGGAATTAAAAACACAAACTTTAATGTGCAATATTCTACACCAGGGGGCACTACATGCACCGCAGATAAAACCACCCAACTATTTCAGCACAATATTCCCTGACGAGACATTACGCAATAATTGAAGGTACATATCACGATGTTTAAATGATGCAGTGATTCAAGGAGGTTTGGAAACGCGTGTTTAGCCAAGCGCTATTGCTCAACTTGGCAGTGCAAATGTCCAGTCATGGACCATGGCTCCCACCAACCAGGGCTATAGTATTTTCCAACCACCACAAAAGACATTCATTGTAAATACTTCCTTACCACCGCAGTGAGTTATTTCAAATAAAAAAAGACATTTAATTAACAAAGTGCAGACGTCGCCCGTTTATATTTCTGATTGTAATTTACGAAACGAAACAATTTCCACGGTGCAATTTCCACATTGTGTTTTGTCCTTCTCAACGAATACATCGTGCAGTTAAACTGCAGGGTGGGTTCGAGGAACTGCCCCTTCGTTTGGGTCCCTGTTGTTCACAGCCAGATGAGCCGGGACTACGAGCGAGGGCCTCACGCTGATACTTTGTTACGACCAGCATCATATCGTCTTAATTGCCCTAACTTAGCAACCGCGATCCTCCTCCCGCAGTGCTCACGGCCATGAGAAGCACTGCCCGGGACCCCTTGCCGTGGGATATTTAAAATGTTTCATTGCGGAGAGCGGCTATAATTCCACTCCCCCTCCCCCGAATCCTTTCAAAGCAGCGATGCAAAACCAAAAACGGATGAGCACGTGTAATTGTATTTTTCCAAGAATGGAAGGCTACGTTTTCAAAAAAACTGCATTATATGTGTACAAACACAAACATCATTACACAGCTTTACCCAGTAAAATATTAAGGTTTTTGAAAATATCTAATAACATGCCACCTTGCACTGATAAATGCTTCTCATGCATTGCAGGCTGTTAATCATCAGCATGACATCAGGTTACGATGACCCCTACTTGCGGTGCGCGTGTGGCAGCTTTGTGTTTCACAAGCAGATGGTGCGGCACTTAATTATGGACCACTACACATCACCAAGGTGACCAGAGTGGTGGAAAGTCAGACTTGTGTACCATGGACTGTACTATGAGTCTAAGGTACACAGGTAGGAGGACCCTTGCTCAGAGCAAGATGAACTGTGACACTGCAAAAACATGAGGGACGACCACGATGTGGAGAGGATTTCATCCAGCAGTGGATGACGATGATGTTGATGATGAAAGCTAGAAATGTAATAATAGGTGTGTTCATGGATTACAATAAAACACTGACATTAGTTATCGTCCTCATATTAGCTTCTTTAGGTTCCGAACATGGCTAGTTTCTTCTTAGATCAAGGAGGCACTTTGCTTTTCCTTTTCTGGGCTCTCCGGGACAAGCTGCCCAGGCGAGAGGGGGGCGAGGATTGGGCCTTTGGGTCAATAAACTTAATTGCCGACTAAATAATGGCTCGGCAATGTGATATGCAACTGTGTTGACAAACAGAAGCAAGGAAGTTGCAGCATCGAGCGTGAGATGTTGCGCAACATTTGCATAATGCAACAAAGTCGCACTGGCATCGTGGAACCTGGTGGTTGTGCAACATCAAGTAAGCCTATTAAGCACATTATCATAACTGTGCTTGATTACCCAGAAAAGCCTTGCTGAGTCTCAAGACTCCTTTTAAGGAGGGTCCTGCCAAGTTTTCACAGTCGGGGGGCGATGTTGCTACTTGTAATCCTAATCAAGTACTCGCTCGTAACGTTAGCGGCTAATACCGGTCACATTGCGCGTGTTGTTTGTAACTGAAAGGAAACCGGAGAACCCGGGCGAAACCCATGCATGGAACAGGGGGGAGATCATCGAACAAGTATCCATGGGCAGGCGCCCGAGTGAGGGATCGAACACAGAACCATCTTGCCACTGTTGCCACCCCGCTGCCCAATTATTGCCTATGATGAGCTGTTTTTTCTAGATTTGAAGCTTTCGTGACTGCAAGGATTCATACTCTTAGGTTTTTTCGGTAAAGTCACGTAGGTAAAAATAAATAATAAAAGAATAAAAATAATAGAAATAATAAGTGATTTGTTTTATTTCTATTATTATTTCAATTATTTTTATTCTTTATTTTTACCTACGTGACTTTACCGAAAAAACCTAAGACTATGATGAGCTGTCAGCTTTAACGTAGACACCACATAGGACGGGGGACATTAATGTTAATCAGCCTTATGGGCCCATTTGCTTTGAACATTTGACAAAGGTCTGTTTTCATTACTGCAACTCGCTTTGATAAATCCCACTGTGCTCAGCTTTTTTGATCCACCTATTTGCTTTGGCTACTTTAATGTAATGAATTAATCAGCCTACACACCGAGGTTCAAAAGTTCAGGGGCTTTTGTTTCTCACTGCAACCAATCAGCTGGCAGCAACGGGGTTGTCTCTAGGCATTGCGCGAAGAACGAAAGCGCAAACGCATTCTCGCAATTGCACTTTGCACAATTAACATTGGAGACCGCTCGCAGACAATAAAAGCTGGACTGCTACGTATGAACAATTTCTCAAGAGATAGTCACCAACCCCCTCAGCAAGAATAGCAGAGGCATGCAATATTGAACACATGCACACACACACACACATGGATCTCCCCATTTAGTCCTATAAATAGAAACAAGTACTCTTACTAAGCACCTATTCAGACCTATAAGGCGCAAGAAGCGGTGATGTGGCCAGGACCTCACCTACCCAACCACCTTTGTCTCTCCAGCAATGATGTTGACATGCTGCACCAGGCAACTTATTTAAGGCTGAGTCAACCTATGGGGGGGTTCAGAACAATTTTGTTCTCTCGATCTTCAGAGGTCATTAGTGTGAGTAAAAGTGGTGTTATGCATGACCATGAATGAGAAATTGATCATGGGGAGCGTGACACCGTAAGCGAACACCACACGCACACACACAGATGACGACACACACACAGATGACGACACGGACACAGAACCTCTGCGGTGAATGCGCTGAAGTCGATTTTGTCGATTCCTGTGGCGGCGAAGTCCAGCAGGCTCTGCTTGACACTGGGTTCCAGCAGCTTCATGTCCGAGAGGTTTACATTGATGGGGTCAAATTTGCTCGTGATGTCATTCGTATACTACAGTGGTTTTCGGTGGCGGTGTGGAAAAAAGACAGGACACCAAAATGAGGCGGGTAATTTTGATCCGCACAGCATTTAAAAAGAAGCCTTTATAATAGTAATACAACGGCGAGCGTGCAATCGTGTTTCCGATCACGAGGAAAAGATAACATGGCGTATTCTCACATAAATAATTCAACTGCACATAAATAATATAAACCGATTCGTACAAGGATTCCAAATCACAGTGTAATATAATTGTGCTGCTACATGCGATATATGTTGGTGCATTTTCGTGAATATGTTCTTACCTGAGTTATGTTCAGGAGGCTGTCCAAGTTGAATAGATTTGAGAGTTGAAAAGCAGAATAAATCCCTTTGTTCATTTTGCAATCACTGTAAAAACACACACACAGGCCCTGGTGATTCTAGACACTCACATTCGTATTAAGCCAGCCTCAGAGAAGGCAGGCTCAAGATACAACTCTGTCTCTCAGTACCTCCAAAACACTTCACACGGTGTATTTGCACTCTCCTGTAGCCCTCTCGCGGCTAGCAGACCTCGACATTGATATTCAGCTCCCAAACGTATTTTCATCGGCAAGACTATTATACCAATTTGAAATCATAAATTGTGTAAATGCAACTCTTTCATCGACTCGCATGACATACACCAGGATAAAAAAAACACACAACTTGTGTACCGCAATGGACTAATTCGCACGGAACCATTCCAACTGCAGTGGTTCTGTATGTATGTAGAACTTCTTTCGCACCGTGCGTAGCCTACCGTGCTAATCGGCACAGGAGGTGCATATCTGCCAGCGGTATCCACCGTTTACTGCCAACGCGCTCACACTAAGCAACTCCATCAAAACAATCATTGAATACATTTAACACATGTTTTATCCACATATCTCTCTGCAAAATAGAACCATGAAACGGGGTACAACAATGTGGGCCGTGGCACAGCAACAGACTTGCCTGTATACGCCCTCAATGGTCATGTTCAGGTCTGGCTTGTTGAAGAGAACTCCTGGCAAGAGATACTTCGGCTTGAACAGATTGGGCGTATCGAAGAACTAAGAAAGGAAGGAACACATTTTTTTTTCAACTGTCAAAAGTGGGAAACACGAAAAGTTACGCGAGGGGGAGGAGGGTAGGGGTGGTGGTAGTCGGGTTCATAGACAGTTCAAATGCTCTGCTCCCAAAGATGCCGGATTAAACACAGAGCCTAATGGATCGAGTGTGGTGGCTTTAGAGCAGATTTCAGGACATTTTAAAAGGATAAGGACAGCTGAACCAGACAGTCATGCCGACGTGAGTTTTTTTAATCATTCTTTTGATCAGAGTTTTGTTACGGTCACAAGTGCCAACCTAAACAAACTAAAAAAAAACCTCAACAGCCGTACGGTACGAGTAAGAATACAGCATCCACATGCCACTTTAAAACCGGAGTGGGTCAGGAAGTGCCTCATCTTTAAACTCGGGTGACAAGGTTACACCGCAAAGGCATCCCAAGCACTCTGTGCAGCGATTTCTTTTAGTCACTTGTGGGTTTCGGTAGGTCGTGACGACATACCCACTTGAACGGAGCAAAGGGCTTTGTAACGCTGCCGAACTTATGCACTCCTTGAGGTCCGCGTGGCTGATGGATGCATAAAGGAGTTGTATTTTTTTTATGTGGAGGGACAGATATGGGAAGCAGTATTGTCTTCTAAATTTATTTAGTATATGTCGTGAGCTGGGCAACCAACATTACTTGAGCCTTCCACAATGCACTATTATTGTTTTGTGTCGAATAAATCCTCAACACGCTTACAAAGCACCCAATGCATGTGACTGGGAAAACACAAACTATTCACTTGGGAAAAAATATACACACCTCACTCTTTGATCCTTTGTGAAAAGAACAAGGTGTATCTTACCAATGACTCCACGTAATCAGGGCTGTTATATTCACCTGTTTGTTGCCACAAAACATTTTTAATAATGAGCTGGGTTTTTCTATTCGGCATAAGTTATATCTCAGTGATCGAGACAGACAATGCGTAAAGATAACACGCGCTCGCACATGAGAAAAAACACAAATGAAGAAAATATTAAGGATGCCACCACATTAATACTTTTGCCAACCAATAAAGTATGGATGGATATTGGTTCAATGCATCGCACTACGATTTGGCACAGCTATAATTGGAAGGAAGACAACAAAGACAAGTCACGTGATGCCCCAGGGTAATGAACCCAGTAAATCATCTCTCACCAGGAGGCCCCACTGGAGCACTCTCAGCACTCCATCGTCCAGCAACGGCAGCCCTCTGTATACCCCTTTTAGTCCTAAACCCATTTGACTTAAAAGGCGTTAACTCTTACAAATGAATCAAGCATGCAAACCAAGTGGGAACCTCTTGCTTCGATTGTCAATTAAGTGCCCACGGCATCTCTGGGGAAGAACCAATAAAACAAAGTTATTCCTTTACCCAAAGGTAATGAACGCATTCGCACAAGCGTTGGGCTATTTCAATATTGACCTCTATACTACAGGCTGAAATGCAGCTCAATTCGCAATGTAGCATTCGTAACGCTACATTAAGTATAGCCAACCCAGCCCTATGATTAGCACGGTTGGCTACGTACGGTGCGAAATAAGTTCAACATACATACATGCAACATGCCTGAGGGGTCTGTAATCTAAGCACCTACTGGTTTGCCTGCTGCAACTAGTGGGATGTCAATGGTGAGAGCTCCTGCGGAGAAAGTACACCGTGTCAAAATGTGGAATGTTTCCACCACTGGTGCAAAACCTTCCAGGAAGACGACCGCCTCCCCACAAAGACACAAAATGGGCCCAATTCTGGTAGTTTTTGTTTCCACACTTTTGTGGAATTCTGGCATGATCCGAAATTGCACATGAATTTTTTTGCCAAATTCATGAGACAGTTCTACACCTAACTCGCAAATCAGTCGCTGGGATGGCAGCGACAAGAATCAGCGTCGCACGTGGCCCACGGCAGCAGGCTTGCTCTACTGCCACACCGAGCAACTAATCAGCCTCCATCTCACGTAAGAAGGTTCCGCATAGAGCCTCTAACAGACTGTTGGAGCAAGTTCTGTTTGCGAGCACCTATTAATGCTGGAATGGCACACGAGAGAGTGACGTAATCAGCACCATGCCCGTTCGCGTTTGTATCCCCAATACTGATATTTACACACGGCGCACCAGGTACTCATTTAAGGCCGAGTCAACCTAGGGGAAGGCCCATAACCAGTTTAGATATTCATCACCGATGTGAGCTGTGAGCGGAACTCGAACTCGGGTTGCCAGGTTCATAGCACAGCGTGCGAACCACCGTTCTACCATCACACACACGCACTCACGAGTGAGACTTTTCATTTAAATGGATGCAATTCATTTGCATGTCTTCGTCGAACGTCAGGCAATCCACCCAGTTTACTCGATCAGCAAAACCCCGTAAGGACGACCTCATGGAATCGCTCCCCCACAGAGCAGAGCGCGCGTGCGCCGACCTTAAAGAGGTTCTTGTCAGCCAAGGGCTGGCAGAAAAGCTTTTCCACGTTCCCGCCCAGAACGAACGTGAGCGTCACCACCAGCATCAGCAGCCACGAGAAGATGAAGCTGAAGCCCACGCCACTGCCCACAGCACAAACACACACGTACGGTGCGAAATAAGTTCAACAAACGTACATATATTCGACACACAGGGTTGTGCATTTGCATATCTCCCTCCCCCCCACGACAGTCCAGGATTGGTGCTCCCACACTTCATTTTTCCATACTGCACAATACACTCCAGAGTGTTCTTCAAGTGGACACGTGGCTCAAAAAAGCAAAGCACCGAGCTTGTGCTGCAGACATCCTTCATTGAAATCGAGGAGACTATTCATGATTGAAGAAGGCTTTTAACTGTCCTGTTTTGATGCGTCTCAGCCCAGCTGCCAATGAATACAATAACAAAATGAATACGGTTTTTCACTTAATTTCGTCTCGCCAAAGCCCTGAGCAGTAAAGGGCATAATAACATCCTTTATCAACGGCATGCAAACAAAAGTCTTTGAAGTTGTGCTTTCACAAACTGATTTAGAGCCATATTTAAGTGACAATGACTTCTGTGGCCTAGCCTTCCAAAAAGCACGTCACGCCATCATGCGACGCGACGCTCACTGGAGGTTGGGTGAGGTTGCAAAAGGCCGTTTTTTGACCTTATTTCTTGATGTTAATGGCACCAGCAAGGCACGTAATACTGCTGCATTTCCTTCAGTCCGAACCATTCATGGATAACAATAATAATTTGCTTTTCACATAGCATCTTTACAAGTGATAAGCGACTCGCGTCTTGTCTAAAACTTTGAAAGGGGACCCCCCCCCCCCCCCCAGTGACAGTTGTCCGTGTGCTGCACAAGGTGGCTTATCACCTGGCCTGCATTCATCTGCCAGTAGGGGGCGATGATAGCTACGCACATCACACGAGTCATTTGCAATTTTTTTACTTGCCAAATTTGGGCTATGACTCGAGCATACAATGTCCGACTCAAATCAGAAATGTATTTTTCAGAGTAAAGCCCATTCGGCTGAGCTCAGAAAATCTTTAACGTCCACCGTGAAAGCACACGGCCACCCTAAGCTTACGCTAAATCCACCCCTCCAACAATAACCAGGGGGGGCCTGGCCGATTCGAACCGCGGACCTCCGCAACAGCAAGCGGCGAACGCCGCTCACTACTGCCGGGGGGGGCCGCGTCGCCGCCACCCCGTACCCGCACCGCCCAGCGCGCAATCCGGATCGCTCCGCCGTGCCGGCCGCGTGCGCGCGCTTGCCGCTCACGCCATCAGGAAGTTTCCGCCGGTGTTGGAGATGCAGCCGCGCGTGGTGGGCGTCGCGTGCTTGTCGTAGCCACACGCCCCGCACAGCAGGCCCAACAGGTTGAAGAGCACCACGAGGCCCGCGAGCGAGCACAGGACGATGCACACGAGCCACCTGCGCGACGACAGCGGACGCACAGCACGCTCGCATCGGTGGGCCTCTCTCGCGCGCGCGCGCGTCCCCCACCAAAACCTACGTTGCTGGGTCTTCCTCCCCCCCCACCCCTGCCAACACAGAGACATCTCCTCGATGCGGATTTTTTTTTACGCGAGCTTGAAAAACCTGCAATTTTCTTGGTAATTAGAGCGACGCTCCAAAAATACCAACTGATAATTCTGCCTCCGATGTCCAACTGTAGAATGGCCTGATGGCGAAAATTACCGGCCAAGGCAATACACTTTGCATATTTACAAAAACCAAACAAGTCCACGCAACTATTTTTTTGAAATCAAATTGTTGTGTAACACTGAAGATGCATGTCTTTAAATGCAACTCACGAATCAGCAACTGTATGTACAACGTAAACGTCAAGAGTTTGTGCTTACTCGTTTAATACATAAACCTGCAGCAATGTGCACAACGAATACGTTGGGGCCCTTCTTGCAAGTACACTTATATACAACAGCTCTCAACCCTTCCACCAAGCTGCCATCATCAGCATGTGGACGGGCCCATCAAAATAAACGATGGCTTCCCAGTGGTGTTCTTGCAATGCAGAAAAAAGCCAAGCCGGAAAGAAAAAAACAATAGATCTTCAATAAAAACATGATCATAAACATTGTTTGTTCTGTACCCTTAAGCGGGTGGGAATTTCCTGCCCTGGTTCTCCCTACGCGTGAACCCCCCCCCCCCTTCTAGCATCCTATACATCAGTCGGTCAGCCAGTGTGTTGGGCGAGGCCCACTGAGTTCTCTCTCAACGGCGACCTGACCAAATAACAAGCATGGTACATGAGAGAGGGTTTACGGTTGGCTATGTATGGTGCGAAAGAAGTTCAACATACATCCACACATGACTAATAACACAGTAAATAACCAGAACTATGTACAAAGGAAATCTAGTAACAAATCCTAAATTACCACGTTATGCATGACACTAATTAAATTAAATGAACCCATAAATAATTGCATTTCCTACGTTGAAGGACGTTCTAAAAATGACATTTTAAAAGTTCCAGTCACAAATGGCTTCACGAACGGCACCGGCAAGTGTGGCAGTCGTAGTCATCAAGCAACGCCTTCAATGCAGATAAAGAATGTCGGGTGGGAATGTTGAGGCGAGTGACCAAATTAATTTCAGAATTGATGCGCGCCTCCATTGAACTCACCGCTCCTTCTCAAGGAGGATATGTCCACCGAGCGCTCTCAAAGGCAAGTCTTTGACCGTTTCTACACCCAACAACAACGTTTCAATCTCTCATTTCTTATAGAGACAGCTTCCCCATTTGTGCACGAACACGGAATTATTATTGCCACATTGCTTACTTTGCAATTTTTATGGTTTGATTTGTAACATGAATAAAACTCACAAATAAATAAAAATTCGCCCAGATACTCGCGCAGTATTTGTCTTTGTGGTCATTAGTGATACGTATACAAGCATTCTCAGCATTTCCATTCCTGTAAAACGGTGTGGACTTTACGCTGTGCACTAGAGAGAGTCGTGCCACGGCAAGCAGACCCGCGGAATAGCCGAGACGTCACGTCACACCCGACAGCGCTTCACTCCGACCGTGCGGCGCTGCGCTTGCCTGTAGAAGTTGTACTGGTCGACCGTGGGCAGGTGCTTGTGCACCAGCGCCTGCCCCATGTCCAGGTACTGGGTGCCGTTGTTCACTATGACCTGAATGGGCAGCTGCTTCGCCGTCGTCTTGATGCTGGCGCCCACGTTGTCCAGTAGATCCTTCACGCCTGCTCGCACGCACGCACGCACGCACGCACGCACACACGCACGCACGCACGCACACACGCACGCACGCACGCACGCACAGGCCGGCAATGAGCACTGGCGGTGCGGCCCCGCCAGTTTACCAGAAGTTGTGGGGCCATGTCACCGACAAGACCAACCACCTTAGAAGCAGAACTCCAATCTCGTGTCTCCACGTATACATTAATCAATGTTTTAGCCCAGCGCCTCGTGGATTTCCAGAACAATATGCCGATGGCACTAAAACATTTCTTTTGAAATACAGAATGGAGTTCTGCTCATATATATGTTTTAACCCATAATGCGCCACAACATTGCATAATGACTTTGAAGACTAACACAATACTCTCATTTTTAATCTGAACGTCTATGTATTAATGGAGTGATTTATACAATTTACATACTAACAATAAAGAGGTAATAAAAATGGTACCCAAATCACTGTGATGCTGCTAAATCAATCCAATACATTTTAATAATTAACAATTAACTCACAAGCACGTAGAAGAAAATATGTGTCATCGTTGTTGAGAATAAAGCTAAATTATTTTAAATTTTAAAAGTAAAATGTGTGGAGGTATATGTCAAAAAGCACAACATGGTGACCGGACTTCATCTATCAGCAATCCTCAGGAATTTAGGCACAGGAAATAGAGCCCTCTTGTGCATTTCAAATGTGAAAGTCATTAAGATGATTGCACCGTAAGTAACTATTCATTCATTCCACCTCTAGAGCCCAGTAACAATGAGAAGCAATTGTGGAGAAGAGTGGCAGGAAAATAGTTTCGCACTCAATAACAAAACAGTGTTTTGGTCACTCATTAAAAACCTGGTAACGCTGTGGAAAAATGAATTGATGACGAAGCAACTATATTGAGGTTTCATTCTAAAAGTCCCACACAGCCAAATGCTTAGAATTGACAAAGTGACTTCATGTGTTAATGTTTAAGGGATATATTTTGCATACCCTTTTTTGAAATTTTCAGCAGAGAATGTATCTAGAATAATTTATGCAATCAAAAAAATCTGTTTAATTATACATATTTGTTATTGGAATCCAGTTTAAATTCACTATCTTAGACCAAGTCTGACGAAAGCCAATAAACTTTTCATTTCACGAAATGTTGATCTACTTAAGAGTGAATTGAAATGTCCTCAAGCCTGAATCATCTCCACTCTTGGTTTGCCAACTTCATCTCGCAGGGCTGCAGTCCGTTTCTACATTTCCATGCTCACAAATCATGTCCGGCCACATACACTTTCAATGCCAATCAACGGATGCTATGCCCTGCATTGCATCTGCCTATGAGCAGAAGGAAACAACGTGGACCGAGCAATGGCCTTGAGGACCGGTGACCGAGATAACGGGCTGCCACCGAATTAGTCCTCACATTCATTCCGTGAGTTTACAAAACCTCACCGCATCCAATTTAAATGCACGCACACCTTGATCTGACTCGATGAGCCCTCCAAAGCACATGTACCATAGTCATATATCTGTTATGAATCGTAGTCATATATCTGTTATGAATCGTAGTCATACATCTGTTATGAATCGTAGTCATATATCTGTTATGAATCGGGAAATCAACTACCTCGTGATTGTCAAAAATATTCATTACTTGGGTAATTTCTCAATTATTTCCTTTCACTCCAGCACTAATAACCATAAATGCCTGGCATACATTATTCGTAAATGCTTTGCTGATGCATGCAAAGCACCCATTAGAAAATGTAAATCTACAGCACATGGGGCCGATGGGGCATTTCTTGTGATAAAGTGTACGTAATGTGTTGGGGTTAATTCTCTGTTTTCTTGTTCAGTGTTAAATCCAGTTAAATTATAGAGCAATATGCTATACAGCCAACTTTCAATTGTCGTCGAGTGATGGATGGCCTAGATCAGGGGTCGGCAACCAAAATAACAAGAAGAGCCATTTCTTTCCAATTCGGTACAAAATTCAGTATTTCAAGAGCCGCAATGCATCTGAGTACATACTGTACATACGTACATATCGTCAAGAAGCAGCCCGTAAAGAGCCGCATGCGGCTCCGGAGCCGTAGGTTGCCGACCCCTGGCCTAGATTCACTAATAACACTGATAGTGCAATACTTCAATACTTGCCACCATGTTTGCGGTCACGTGGCCGATGGGCCATGAATAACAAGCTGCTCTAATGAGACCTGTCAACTCGTAACGAAGATATTCTATTTGTGTTTCTCAAGCACGGCTAATCCGCACCCGGGATTATCCACCCATGGACTATCCAGAGCTAACTGTACTCAAATCTGGAGCCAATTTGAAACGTATTAATAGTGAGGCACTTAAAAAGCAGACCCTTGGCTATTCCGTTCAAATTCATGAAACCACAAGATGCTGCTAAGCATGCTGTGTTTACTGCACTTACGCAACTTCGCTGAAAAGACAATGTACAATGATCCAGGCAAAAGCAATCCGAACAAAGAAATGTTTGCATTACACAGAGCAGTTGTCAACTCGTGCAATTCCATGCTCATCAATAATGTGTGAACAAGTTTGAGAAAACCAGCTGCGTGTTATTAGACTTCATCACCGCTTTGTTATCTTACCTGCAGCGATGTTCCTCGTTTGCTGTGTGATGATTTCAGGCGTGTCATTAAAAGTTGCGTAACCCTGCGCAGGGGGAAAAATTACCACCAAAAATTAAACATTGATGTCGTAAATTTACGATTTCTTTTGCGTGTCACCAATACTCTTAACCTTTACATACGATGATAAACCCGATAAGGCTCAGACATATTACGACAACTTGTGCATTGCAAGATCTAAAAAAAAAACTGAACATACCTTGTCAACCATCGCTGTAATGTTGGTGTCTAGCAGTCTGTTCACCTGCTCCAATTCCCGGGACACGTCCTGCAGCTGCACAGGAAGGCAAACACCACCATCAGCTCTGCGCACTGTCAAACTAAACCAAACCCGGTCCTTTTCATGTTCAGTAAACCTGTTCTTCAGTGCTCATTGTACTTATATTGTGTCTAAGCTCATGCATTAAACATTTACAGCGGTTAAGCTTGGTCTTTTTTATCTGGAAGAACACAATTTCAAGTAATCTACACGCACACACAGTAAAGACGGTCGGCCTCTTGTGTTTAGTGTTATGCGAGGGCAGTTAAGGCTGCCATGGAAAGACAACATCCAGCATCTTTTCATAGAAGCTCCTCATTTTAGCTTGAGTTATTGACTAAGGGGAGGGAAGTTGGTTACAGTTGCATCTTATGCGTATATCTAAGACTTTACACCCAGGAGGTTTGCGTTTGATTCAGAGGCATGGGAAATCACAGACAAGCAGGAAGGCAGCCAGAACCAGCGCCAACAATTGCCCAAGCTCTAAGGCTCTATATGAGGATGTTTGACCATCTCCATTGAGTACTTATACAGGAAACCAGAGCCCTCGGAGACAATTCACATGCACGGATGGAGGGGGGTAACACTCAATCCCCGTACAGATGGAATACAGATGAAAATGAGCCAACGTGCTGTACTGCCGCGCCCTGGCAAAACAAGGAGATGGCGACCTCGCAGCCCAGCAGATTTGAGAGTTTCCCGAACGTGCTTGTGATCTACCAACCCTTTCTGTGGATTAGAGGCCGCGTGAGGAGCCACCAGGGCACTCGGGGCACAGCGCACGCAGCGCTGGCGCTCACCAGTTTGCTGTCCTTCCCCTGCACCTTCGATTATCGCGGTTGGCTACGTACGGTGCGACAGAAGTTCGACGTACACACCACACATACCAAGCTGAAGTCGGCGTGGATATCCAGCACGACGAGCTGCGCCGACATGGCGGCGCACTGCTGTGCCCTCTGGCACATGGGGTCATTGAGGGTCGCGTTAAGGCTGTTGCGCACGGTCGTCAAGTTCCTCTGCAGCCTCTCGGTGCCGTCGCGCAGCACCGAGAGCGACGTGTTGACGTCCAGCAGCGCCTGGCGCGTCGCCGACATCACTGCCCGTTCGAGGATGGGGGGAGGGAGCGCATCAGCGAGCAAGCGATCGTCGTTGCGGTCATCGCCATTGGTCACGTGGCCGACCTTAGTTATCTCCTCGGCGGATTAACGGTGTGATTTTCTCACAGCCAAATGCGCTTTGGAAACGGGTAAAGACGGCCGCTTAAATATCACACGATTGGCATTTTTGCGAGAACACAAAGTTATTTTGTGAAATTCAAAACGTCCGTTACGTTCGATGTGCACTAAATAATATACTCCATCATTAGACTTGTCTTATTAAAATGGTATTCGGAAAACAATGTACATACAGGCAGGCCTCGCTTAGTCGTCAAGATGCGTTCCTGTAGAAGTGGGGTCTGGTTGGCTGAGAGTGTGCGTCGCTCTCATTGGCTGAGTCAATGATGGGGGCTGGTCCGTGTTCACACGAAAGCACTTTGTAGACATTTTAGTTTTTAATGTTCTTCATTTTCTTAGTAAAAACTTTCTCCAGGACAAAGGGCACCGTAACGAATGCGTTCTCTGTGGGGTCGCGCTAAGCGTGGTCTGCCTGTATACTTAAACTACAAAACGGCACCAAGAGTGGGCATCATTTCAAATGCAATGGGCATCTTCAGTTACACCACCAGATGCAAGTTTGTTACAGTGCGGACATTTCAAACAGCAAATCGTTTTCTGGAAACATTGGACAAGATTTCACTACAGGGAATTCATAATGCTATGACAAGCAATCGGGAAAAATAAGGTATAAACTACACGCGTCAACGCACTTTGTGAAACTAATTGGAACGCTGCTATGCAGCCAACGGACTACTAATGGGAGCTGCACTCGAATTGCGGCTTTAATTTCCACATTGAATGGAAGTGTACCAAACAAAATAACATTTATTCGGGACAGACACAAAGGGTCACTCAAGTGTTGCGTTACCTTTGGTGATTTTCCCCCCAGTGACTTTGGAACAAAGCGAAATAGGGAAAACAAATGTTTCCAAAGATCAATGGTACAGTAGCAAAGCAAAGCAGCGTTGTTAGTGAATGCATTTCAGCAGCCAAAATCAACAGAAATAGCAAACGGAAAACCAAAGCAGGTAATCTGATCCACGATTACACATTAAATTTGAGTTTAGCTCAAGCAACACAGAGAAGGAATGGAATGAAAAACAATGACATCAGATTTCTAAAACGCAAATATCATCAAGTGCAAACAGTTTGTCGAGGAGAAGGACACGCATCTTATTTAAGATTCCAAAATATGTACAATAATTTTACACGTAAAATAACAATTTCTCATCTGCGGAGTTTGACTTCTATCGCGGGTGCATATAATTTATTTTATTTGAACTTTAATTGTAAACTACTGAAAACAAATTAATAAAGGTGCCCAGTTCGGGCGGGGGGAGGGAGGCTGAGCCCCCCCATGCCCTCACCCCAGCAATTTATTCCTGAACACAATTTCCATCGAATTTAATGGTAACCTGGGGCGGGGGTTGTGAGGCTTCTGGGGTTGGTCCCGCACCACCAAGTGACCCTTGTGCCCCCGGCAGCGTTCCCTCTCCTCTGCTGTCCACCACTCGTATTTTGCACCCCACACCCCAACGCAACAGCTCTACTGCCCCCCCCCCCACCGCCACTGGAACTGGGCATGATTGGAACCTAAAATGTGAACGTTTATATTTTTATTTTATAAAACGGTTTCACTCCATTGCCTTTGCTCTCGCGTAGCTGTGTGCGATGTACGTATGCACTGCGTCGAACTTCGTCCGCACTGCACGCGGCCAACCGTGCTCGTCGCCGGTGGTCAAGGTGCCGTGTGGACACTGACCGTTGGCCATCTGTAGGGCAGCCTGCAGCGCGGGATAAACCTTCGTGCCCAGCCGACTCTGGATCCTCTGGCCCAGCAATGGTCCCACCTCTGCAAACGTCCGAACCGGCACGGATCGAATCGAGATGTAAAGCAACTGCGAACGCAATGCCCCTGAACACTTACTGACTTGTGTGGCAATCTGAGGCCAAAAAGCAATTAGTCACACTGTGAAGCAAAACTGCAACGTTAATAGCATTAACACTGGATAAAGCATTTTAAAGACCAAAATATTTTTATCATCAGATGTAAGTTCACATTTAGGATGGATTTTTTTGGGGGGATTGTGCTAATAAAAAAAAAACCCATACGTGAAGCCCTTGCCACAGACCTTTCAAAACACCAACCGAATGTTCTTAAAATAGACGCTTTTCCTGTTTTCCTCTGTATGTTTGCACTCCATCACACAGGACCCAGCAGATGAGCATAGATTAGAAACGAACCGCTAGGGGCACAAAGCACACCCACTCAAGGGCTGCCTGGCCACCTGGTCACTTTATATTTACATGACCTGGTAGCAGCCACACCACCCTTGGCATGCCTCACCACCATTATCACTATCGTGCTCTAAGCAGCTCCTGATAGAATCAGGCCCTTGTGAGGCCAACAAGCCACAGGATATCCATTCCACGTGCACTGGAGCAAGTGCTACAACGCAAGCAAGTAAATGTGTTTATTTTATATTCATAATTGACTTGTGGGTTAGGCCACGTAATAATCTGGTCAAATTTCTGTCGTACCAACTGACACAGCCAAACACATATTAAATTGTCGCGTGTACATTTTTTTTCTGCTCATTGCGACTATTTTTTCATATTAAACCATGAATTGTATTTAAATCAGACTAATATTAAAGGCAAGGTTTCAGTACGAAGTTCTTATAGCGCACATATCGGGAACAGTCACGCGGACAAATGACCTCACGTACATGTTCCATGTACCGTAACTTGTAGGCCTCGGCAAGAGTGTACGGTGAACAATATATTTTGTTTGTCGAAAAAAACACGAATTTTGCATCCTGTATGTTGCATACAAATACCAGTGGCCTCTGTGCTGAAGTAGATAGGCATTTACTGGAAAACAGGAAGGCAAACGGCGCGATAGCTTGAGCCCACAACTCGGCCGGGCTGCTACTCCTCTCCTCTATCCCACCTGTTTCTATTCACTCATGGCATGCCGCTCGCCTGTACAAAATATACCGGTGATATTTGTCTTTGAAAAGATATATTGGCACAATGTTGAATACATAATCACTGGCTGAAGAAACACACTTTTTTTTAAACATGAAACCACGTATGCCCAAACTCCATGTCTCACCCCCCTCCCCCCGGGTTTCAAATTCTAGCAATTACCAGGTGCATGGTGCGCAATGTGTACCCATTTCATTGAACGTTTGAGCGACTAACGGTAATATGGACACGGACGTTATCGGCTCAGGGGAGCGAGGCCGCACGTGCAATTGAGCGTCTGGCCGCGCCTCCACGACCGCTGGGGGGACGAGCCGGCTCGGTCGTCCGCACACTGGTCCAACACTAACAACAGGCCTCGGCCACGGTTCCTACGACAGCCCTGACCAGGCCGAGCTGACGTCAAGCGGGTGGTGGCCTCACGGGTCTCCCCTTCCTGAACGGGGACCGTGGCGGCTTTACCAAAACCACCCTCGCAGCCGGTCACGGTGTCACATCAGGATATCAACCCGGAGCCGGTGATGACCACCACTTAGTTCAGCTTCGAGCAGGGACGTATGAGCATGACAGCGACATCAGTTGGGGGAATCGTCTTAATGTAGCCTGTGTTGAAACGCAATTTGCAATAGTCGTTCCACCGATCGCTTCCCAGAAGGCCGTGGAGTGTAGAAAATGGCAGTGGGGGGAGGGGGCGTGGAGCCTGATAGTCAGAGTTCCCCCGCAGCCTCGTGGCTCACGAGTGTGGGGACACGGACAGGGGCCATGCCGCTGATGTTGTGCCCCGTTTCCAGCGGTCATGGAAACATAGCATTAGTCCCAACGGGGTCCGCACCGGGATATAAATAAAAGATATGATGACTGTGAAATGCTGCCTTAATAGAAATGACATTATTACCTGGCACTGCAGGTAATGCCAAGAGATGCGAATACAATTACTTACTATGATTCAAAAAGTTTAACATTTACAGATACATAAAACCCCAAAACGTACAAGCAACAACCCTAAATATTTACACTCACGGTCGAGATCGGAAACCGCCCTGTCCTTCGTGATGTTGTACTTTTCAACGATGTAGTCGATTTGCTAAAGACAAAGAAAAAAACCACACTCAAGTCAGTCACCTGTTCAAAAACCATGCTTTGATATGCGAAGTCACAGCCACAAAACGAGTTGCGCTGCAGACTATTTTGGAGTTGGAAGCCCCCTTTCGTTTAAATTTCACGACAAGTGGAATTCTACAAATTAGCCGCAATGCTCATCTGCAATTTGCACAAAGCCCCCTAATGAGAACCACTGCAGCGTGCACACCACATGGGCGACGTGCAAATGAGCTGTTTATTTTTGGCAGGACTCTTGGTGGTGAAGAGACAACACCGGCCATGTGCTTCTAATTAGGTCCAACTCAAGCCGGTAATGAAAGCAAAACGAGCCGCGTCATTGCCGCATCATTGCAGCGCAGCGGCTGACTTTGCTGCGGTGCAAATTGTGACCCGCAGGAAAAAAAGCCTAAACTTTAAATCTGGCCTCCCGATTAACCTTTCTATGCATGTGCTATGGAGAAGGGCCATTACTCAAAGCAAAATATATTTTGTACTTTTCATATTAATGCAGTGGCATTGATGAATGCGTCGACTTGTTGTTGTTGTTTGTTTTGTGCGCCACTGCGAATGCGGTATCGGCGAATCAGTTGCTAAACTTTAATCTACATCCACAGGTGCGTAAGGTTTTCGGTAACATTTAACGGAGGAAACCGCGCGGACGTGAGGCTGGGGGCAGCTGCCGCTTACGCCGGGCGTAGTGTTGAGCAGGGTGCGCACGTCCTTGAAGTTGCTCGACAGCAGGGTCTCCGACTGCCGGACGGTGTTGGTCACGTTGTGGTTGGCCACGTAGGCACACACAATGCCCGCCCTGCACGGAGACGCGCGAAGGGAAAGCAGAAATTCTAGATTTGAAGCTTTCGTGACTGCAAGGATTCATACTCTTAGGCTTTGTCGGTAAAGTCACGTAGGTAAAAAATACAAATAATAGAAGTAATAATATAATAATTAGAATAATTATTTTATTTATATTATTACTTCTAATAATTTTATTTTTATTTTTTACCTAAGTGACTTTACCGAAAAAGCCTAAAAGTAGGAAAGCAGAAACATGTTTTACTTACCACAGAGAAGACACAAATACCGCTGGCTTAACTCATGTTTTTGGTAAAATACTAATATTTCATCACTCTTGGGTAGAAAAATGTACAAATCGCCACAATTTTCTACCAAATCGACTGCTTTTCCCAATGGTAAAAAAACACACAGTTGAAGCTTATCCATTCCATAACACCAGATGCTATGGTGCGAGCGACTGCATCTTCATGGGACAGCACGAAACCTTTCAATATTTATTCTACCCAAGTGACCTGTGCCCTGAAAGTAAGATCAGATCATACGCTACCCTATACCGTAGCCAATGAAAAGGCCGGCAATTACAGTCACATGATTCGCTCACTCAAATGGAAATGGCCAAACATGAAAATGCAGGGTACATCCGAAAATGTCTTGAGACTCTGAAATGCTCTCCAGTGTATATACATGTTGTTGTTCATCTCCTTGGTTCTTTCGGTAAAGTCACATAGAATGGAAATAATAAAATAATAAAAATAAAACTTAATATGATTTTATTATTTCCATTCTACGTGACTTTACCGAAAGAACCAAGAAGATGAATCCCTGCAGCCACAAAAGCTTTAAATCGAAAAATGTTGTTGTTGTTATTAAATAAATGTATTTATAAGATAACACCATCAATCTACTCCTTGTATGTTAACTGCATTACAGCTAGATCAGTGCCTAGTTCAGTAACCAGAAAATTTGGGTCACTACAAAACAATCATGCACGTGCCTCCTACACTCGTGAGTGACTACTTCTCTTTTGTACCTTACATATTCACAACCTCCCTGTGCTAATGTAACACGAGGATTTTGACCCAACTTTTGTGAAAACGAAAGTGGCAGCCACCCACAGTGAACAATCGACAGCAGCCCCGCCGCCAGGCTGTCCCTGTGCAGAACGCGTCCGTCTCAAATCCCTCCCCACAAGTTTCACAATGTTGTTCTCTGCTTTATAACACGCTCCGCAACAAGCCGCACGATATCGTGCACAATACCGAGCGAGGACCAAAAACACCGACGTCAGTGGCGTTTCTACAATGCTTATGTAAGGCGTGGGATTATATAAAAGCTAATCATGAAAATGGGCCGAGTTTTCGTTTTTTAAGTTTGCGATGTCAGGTGTGAGCAATTAATTAAGTGGGAAATGCATGCCTAGCGTGCAATTATTTAATTGGCAATTATTATTATTACGCCGAGCACAAACGTGGGGGTCCTAACATTTCACCCCTAATGAGATCAAGGACACTTTGGCAAACACTCACTGCGCGACGGGACGTCAAAAACACTGCCGCCGCCACCGACAAGCAAGCAAGCGGCCGCCACCAGCGAATAAATGGGCACCACTGCTACTGACAGGCGAGCAACCGCTACCGCCACCGGGTAGCGAGCGAGCGAGCGGCCGCTGCGACAAGAGTTGTCGGCGGGACGAGACGACGTACGCGATGACGAGCGTGACGAGGAAGAGCGTGGCGCCGAAGCAGCTGCGCTTGCAGTCGGCGTTCTTCCGCTGCCTCTGGTGCATCTCTCCGCCGCAGTTCCCGCAGCAGCGGCACATGCACAGGCAGCAGCCCACCAGCGGCAGCAGCAGCAGGAAGGCGACGCCCAATGCCGCGCACACGATGAAGCCGAGCTCATAGTAGATGATCTGAGGGCAACGGTTGGGTCCGGTGAAAGCACAACGTGAGCGCGCATGGCCACATCACCGACCCATCCACTCCGAACTGAACCGCCACACTTACAGGTTACGACACTTAATAATGAGGTGCAACACGCTGCACAGCATTCACCATAGAGATAGAACTCAGAGGTATGAGGAACCACAGACAAGCGGGAAGGCAGCCACAGGATTGGCCAGCACCAACCAATGCCCAAGCTCTGAGATCCTCTATCAACATTTCGTGCGATCCACCAACCATCGCCTCCACAGTGCTGGTGTACAGGCGTGCGCCTTGTTCCCAACGCACTGCTCCAGGTTGGAATTCCCTCTCAATGTCTCTCCTTGCCTCAAGCTCTTGTTCACTTGCTCTTTTAAGCGTGCTTAAAAGAGCAGGCCACTTCAAGCCGGGTAACTCAGCAACTGTGTTTAAAATATTTAAAAACACAATATCAGCCATCACCTCTCACACAAACGCACGCTTACTCCGACAATGCCACTCTTGTTTCACCAGACAAACCGTCGTGGGTCGTCAACATTTTTACCAGACCACGCGCACGGCCAGCGTGTGTGTAATATTCTGGAAATTGGGTGGCTTTGTTACGTGGAAGCCTACCGGAGTACAGCATAAAAAGCTTGGACATCTGTTGGCGAGGTTTAGTGAAATGCCAAGGCGTTAAAATTGGAAATGTGCCGTCGTGATGTGATAAACAGAGTGAATATGCGATGAAAATTAACGCCAGACTAGCTCTTGGCAGGCGTCACTAATGGCACGGAGAGATGGCCAGCATATTCTTTTTTTAAACATTAATCCTTTGAAATACTCTTCCAAGTGATATTTTAATATCTTCTTCGACAGTTTGGACCAGTATACCACTCTGAATGGCCAACTTGTTGCCAGTTACATTCATCTGTTATACATCCAGACAGGTTTGCCAAAAACAAGAAAGCATCACAATGGAGTCAGCATACTGGGTGAGCATACCTACAGGACAGACAGAAAGACTTATTTTTACAAGCATTTAACACACAGTTCACTCTGAAATACCCATCAAATACCGATGCGTATTACATACATGAAAAGCACACAATTACAGGACCACTAATGAATGGACAGTGGCTATTTTAAAATATTCACTCCTGGCTCATGAACGCAGACAAAATCCTTTCTGTTCTTAAACATTTCAACCGAGTTAGATTTGCAATGGGCAGTGCCCAAGCCTGAGTAACAGATCCAGGCGTAGCGCAAAGGTCACAACAGACGCGCCAGGTCGCACAATGCTGTGTGCGTGTCATGAATCCTTGTTGGGAATCAAGACTCAGCATCGCACATGGTAGTATCAGATGTAATGGGGCTCATTACTATGTGCGAACGTCTTATTTAGAATCTGATAACATCAAGACATAATAGTATCGGGTATACCCGGCTTACAATAACAAGGAGTTTTTTTGTCCAAAATAAGTCACAGCGAGTCCATTCAAAAACGTATTCGTATTAACTGCTCGGAGTGAAAAAATATCCGAGACACTCGCGGTAAGTGCTGTCACCGTTATAACAGCGAGACCAGCACTGACGTTTGGAAATCTGAATTGATAAACAGCTTTAGTCAATAGGGACCTTCTGAAGTTGACTCTGTTGGCGGTTCGCTGGCAAGTTTTATGTCATTCAAAAAAACTTACCCGACCCGGGAGAACACCACTGGAAAGAGGCCAAATCTTAAGAGAGCCGTCATACGGTTAAACTTACGATACGCTGGGGACAGAAACAAATGGTGCCGCCTTATAGGATTCATACATAATGGTGGGACTGTCTCCTTGCTGTGGTTTTAGGCCCACGTTGAAAAAAAGGAGCATCAGTGCCTTACTTTAAATAAAACGGGGTTTATTGCCAGGGCAGCTCAAAACTAATGAGCACATGCAATGCTGTTTCACAGATACACATACCTCGACATGCATAATCTATTAGGCATGTTTTCCCTGTGGCTGCGGAGACCTTATACCCTGACCCGAGTCTAAGACCGTAAATTATCTCTTTGCCGTTATGGCTGTGTTATACGAATAAACTTGCCTCTGGATGTATTTTTTAAAAGTCCACCAACATTCTGGTCACGTAGATACACACACATAGACAAATAATCCCTCACAAGACCTTAAGTCACGTGCTATTTGCAAGCACACAGAGGTTCATATATGTATGTTGAACTTCTTTCGCACCATACGTAGCCAACCGTGCTAATCGGAGGTGCGGGTGAAGGAAAAGAAACTAAACAGAAAAATCACGTGAGGATTTTGACTTGCCAGCAATCAAACAGCCCCCATCTCCCCATATAGACCATTTTGGACATTTCAGTAAGCGAGCACTTATTAGGCCAAAAAGGCAGTCTAAAGCAGACATGTGGCCAGCACTATGAAAAGCAGGCCACCTTTGTCTCCCAATAATAATTTAAGTTTTCAATTCCTACCGGAATTGTGCAACATCGTCAAGAATCGAACTAGCAGTGTTGGAATTAGTGCAATGCTCTATCCACTATTCCCATGCGCCTTCATATTTGCCTTTGCCAGCAAACTCACATACATAGAGATCCCCCTTATAGCCATGCAGACATTTGAGGCAAGTGAAGGCCGCCACTCAGCGCGAAGGGGGTGGTGTTTACTACACACCGCACCAGGTACTCATTTAAGGCGGAGTCGACCAAGGGGAGGCCCAGGACCAGTTCAACTGATGTTGGCCATGATTGAGAATTAAAGTCGGGTAGCCGGATTCATAGAGCTAACCACTACGTGGCTGTTCCCCACAAACATGTGCCATACACTTATAACACATTACAGAAAACCTTCACGGCAAAAATTGCTTCACGTTCCATTTTTCCCTGGCAAAATGGAATCGGGCAAGACATTCAGCCACATCAGACCTGACCATGAAAATGCAAAAAACATGGCAAGGTGCGGCGGTTAGGGAGCACGGCGCGTTCCCGCAAGGTCGAGATTGGCCACTGCAAAACCTCGTTGCAGCCGCCATCACAGTCTTCAAACCGGTGGCTATAACCAACCTAGATACATGGTGGGGGGGGGGGGGGGGGGCTAAAATGCTGCAGAAAGCCAGCACACAGCAGCAGCAAGCGTGCCGGATCTTCACGCGTGGCGCGCGGCGAAACCAGAGAGCGGCCGCGCATAGCTACGCTAACATCGACGCGAATGAGAAATGAAAAGGAAAAGCGGCGGTGGAGTTACCTTGAGCATCAAGACTACTCTCTCAGCCTGAGGTGCCATGCACGTGGCGAATGAGGCATGCAGCGTGGAACAACAACAAAAAACACGTCCATCGTGAGGCAATCAAGCACAGGGCAACAGGTGAAATGAAGTACCGAGTTCATTTAATTCGTGCGACTTGCCATTACAAAATGAACTTCCGACGATAACAATGCAGCGGCAAAGACGGTGATTCGTGGGAAACACTTAGGTTGTGAAAGTGATGCACGGCGACACAAATGAGTGGCTCGTGATTGCAGAGCAGACACAAGCGCAAGTGAAAATTATGAACCGTGCAAACTAACCTGGTGATAGTCCTTGTTTACGACTCCAAAACCTTGCTTCAAAGCTTTGGCGAGTAGCTCTGCAAGAGAGAAATGCCGCAAAAAATGTAAACATCACAATCTCTTCGAATAAAAACAAATTCATGGATTGTTCCCGGTAAACGCTTTCAAAGGTGTGCATCACGTAATTTTTGCTTTGATATACACGCACATATTCTACGCAACCATAGAGCATGAAAAGTGCCGTGTGAAATATTTCTAAACCAAAATCTAACGCGAGCGTAGAAACTTTTGCACAAATTTGTGGTGAACGTAAACTGTGCCGAAACTTGCTCTGGAGCAGCGGTTTTCTGCATGTGGCAAGGTCACCACGTGGGGTTACACGAGACATCTCCAGGGGGTACGCGAGACAATTCAGAATCAGAATATTTATTTCTAATGGAGAAATCCGATGAGCTATAAAGCTCTTTTTCACAGATGTCCAGTAGGGGCACGAGGTCAGAACGTTACAACAAAAACACGACAGGAGGACAAATATACGAGAGATAAACAAATCATTGAAAATATATACAAATAACAGGTAAAGCCCACTGAGCTATTAGTTTCTTTTTCAGAAATGACCTGGGTGCAATGGACCGCTCAACGAAGTGGCTTATCACTTGTAAATGTACAGCAGCAAAATAATTTAAATCATCTCAACACATGTTTCTAAATGTGTGAAAACTCCAAATATACTCCACATATCAACGTGTCAGGGTCGAATCCACAACCTCCGTCGTACCACGTGAGCGAGTAAACCTCTCGCCACCACGGCACCACGTACACTTACCTGTTTTATGATTTGGCAAACCCGTGTACTTGGGACACCCCGGTCACCCACTGTTCTACTAACTCATGCTCTCTCCCTCTCGTTAATCACAATTATTTTTCAAATACACGAAGTTAATTCTTCAAGTCTGTTCCAAAATATGATTAACATTCCACATCCAGTGAAGCTCAGTCTTAGCCCTCTGCTTCTGGGTGATGATAACTCGGCTTGGAATATACAAAGTGATTTTTGTATGTGTTCTTAAACTGTCAATATATATCGTTCATTATATTCAATTATTTAGCTTAAACTAAATGTGTTATTTGCTAATAATGAGTAAATGTAATTAAAATGCAGACTTTTTGATGAAAGGCCAGCCTATATGCTGGTAGGGGTATGTGTCCAGTTGACAGGTCTGGTAGGTGGTACAAGAGCAGGCCAACGAACCCACAAGAACAATAATGAGAACAATGTGGAACCTTGTTTACTGCTGCATAGCGGCCAAAACAAGATGCAGAGGGCACTGCACTGAAATTAAAAAGCATTAATCAAGCAGCTGCAACATTTTATAATAATCTCCTAAAATGTTTTGTATGACCACTTAGCACTGACTCAAAGTGCAGTGATATACGTTTATGACACAATACACACTTCCAGTTTAACAGTTTCACATAAATGTGTCTCGTTAGAATGACAACGCGAGCATTAACAAAAGTGACATTGTGCAGTAAACGTCCGACAGGATTAACGCAATTTAATAATTTGTACGCGTGGCTCAGCACAGCAGGTGACAGAGGTTTACCCACTGATCTATTTGGCCAGATTACCCAAAAAATCATTATCAAATATTTCATTGCACACTAAGCTCTCGCATGCCACCTGCGGAAAGCTCCCGCGAAAGTAGGTCACCGCACTACACAACGCGATGGATTTACAGGCCTGGCAGCCGCACAGCAAACTGGGCACCCAAACACTTCCCGAATATCGTGAACATAAAACAGCGGGGGGAGGGAACGCATCCAGACTCACTAACAATCCTCTCGCTATGTTTCTGTTTTTGATCTGCAATACGCAAATCACCTCTGTATTAAGACACATTTCACCGAAACTAATTTTGTCATACAGACATAAATACGTTCACTCACTGGCGCAACCAGAACAGAAATGTACAAATAGTTTATGGAGAATTGTAATTTTCAAATAATACGGCAATTTACAGACCCCTAGCAATTTGCTGCGGGACGATGGCCTCAACGTGCGGTGACAGTCGTGGGAGGTGTTTGACCATACTTCACTACGCCGGTCTGCGCAGGTTGGTGACATGGTATAAAGGGCAGGATCAGGTCAAATATAATTGGCCACTGATGTTGGCCGTGGTAGAGAATCTAACTCAGGTCACCGGCTTCAGGGAAGTGCTCAGACTCACAGTGCCACTGCCCCCCACACACTACAGACTTACCATTGCCATGAATGTACAGGATATATGTCAATGTAAGTAATGAAGCTGCTCATCAGTAATAGGCAATAATATAAATAGGTAAAAAACAAGAAATTGCTCAATGTTATTTCAGATAATAAACAATTACGTTTGATGGCAGCGTTCATCGTGGTGGTGTGATGGAGCAGCTGTTAGCGCAGTGTGCTGTGAACCCGGCGAAGCCCTAAGTTCGATTCCGAGCCACGACTTATCATATCAGTGGCGAGTGGCATCTGAACCAATTCTGGGCCCCTTCCTTCACCAACCCACACTGGCCAGCGCCAGACCCCGACAACTCACACAGCATGGAGAGGCTGTCATACAACCGTAAAGTAACAAAGAGCTGTACATTTTTTTATTACTATTTTAACTTATCAACCCAATAAACATAACAAGGTGATCTTTTTTATACATTACATTTAAAGCAAAACTTGAGAAATTAAGCGTGTTACCTTGAGTGTTTAATTATTTCTGCATATAAAAAAAAGATTGTTTTAATATTTAAACAATCAACCTTTATCTGCAGGATGCAAAACCCAATGTTATGACCCGCACAAGGGCACACTCAACGTTTTAAACATGAGTGCACTCTTTATAAAATATGCAGCTGCTCCAGATTAAAACGGAAATATTCCGTGAACCGAGGTCAAAAACACCAATCTCGTGCATCGTCCGTGGAGCTGTCAAAACCGGAAGCACAATTTGACCGCCATTCGATTTTAAAAGAGCGACAAATCCCGTAGCGTGCACTGCACGCATGCAGAACACCGCAATGTAATCTTCACGCATTTACTGTATGCAGCAAGGGACAAGGACGTCCGTTGTACCTAAACGGCCTAATTAAAATGACTGATCACAGTTTCCACCGCTAACAAAAAGACTACGCAGCTATTCCTCGCACAACGGTGTCCACAGCAGCGGTGTCCAGCTCTGCTTTTGGTATTACACAAAGGGCACACACGCATTAACTTCTAAGCATTATGGTTCACTCATGGAAATGCATTCCGTTAAAAAAATACTCAGCACACGTTTTAATATTTTTGCGTTTTAAATTAAAAGAAAACGAGATGCATTTTGGAACAAAGCACTGAACATTTAACCGTATAGCATATCATTTAATTAGTGCTTGCTATATAGTACTTGTTTTTATAAGGACATTCTACGGAGTCTTAAGACTCTTTCACAAATGTCCTGAAATAGGGATGCGTAGCCAACGTATCTTTAACGAGCACTCATGCAATTTTAATGACACTGGTCTTTGTGGAGTTGACACACTTTTCATATTCGGGCCATACCATGTGCTATTAAGAAGGGCCACTGACTGAAACATCACATATTATACTACTTTTCCTTTCAAGGCAATGTTGTTAACGAATATGTTCAAGTTTTCACACTCGAGCATCTTCACCATTGTTTCACGACGACAATATGCACACACAGTGAGGTTTTACATGTTTGATTCGAAACGACAAAAAAGCCGTGAGACAAACAGGCCCACTCATTCACACATCCACATGCTATGCTGAGAACGCATCTCAGTCGCATTGCGATTCTCGCGCAGGGCTATACATTTCAACCATTCACTGACAGATCCTCTGGTGTACACATGCCATCCTCAATCTTACGTCTCGAGATCACATCAGTGAGCCAGTTAAAAACACACTGCATGTCCGACAAGACTTTTCACCATTTCACCGCAAAAGGGCTGTTGACGATTGGCAAAATAATTCACCTCTCCCCAGTTGTTTGGTTCATCGCTGAGCTAAAGTGGCAAAGTGGAATGGCTGATAGGTCAGAGGACTCTTCACGCTCGCAAGGAAGAGTGACGGTGTCGTAAAGAGTGAATTGTCATTTTAAGCCACGGGCATATGTATGTTGATACATCATCATGGCACTGACACAATCAGTAGCATACATCATTTAAATGGATATACTGATGTGTTCTTCATTCTCACTGCTGAAATACATGGCAATATTTTAAACTTCAACAACAATTTATGTAAATTTGTATAGTTCCATGTATTTCTAATCAAGTTTACTATTAATAATACTATTTCTTTTTAGTGCCTTTTGTATCACAAGGTTCAGGGACACTTCACACGTGTTAAGATAAAACCAACATTTATAGAGACAAACTTTGTAAAAACACGAAAAAATGTAAAAAGGAAAAATGAACAAAACAGTAATATAATCACAAGACATTAAAATAAAATAAGACGTCTACATTTGAGAAAGAGATCTTAATCGTTGACTTAAAAAGGTGAAACCTGACGCAAACAGGCAGAGTGTTTCACAGTCACAGAGTCTGGAAAAAAAAACACCACCTGTGAACGTGATTTTTTATTGATAGGCCCTTAGTTTTTATCATGAAAATCTACAGCTTTTTTTCTTTTAATAACTGCACTGCATTAAAATGTACATATAAAATAAATATTTGCGGTGTTCGCTGAGAAAGGCAACTGTTACAAAACCAAAATCGTGAGATGTAAACGGTAATTGACAACTAAAAAAGTAAGCAAAACTCAAACAATTTTTGAGGACAATTTAAGGTGCGGGCAAATTCGCGAAAATCACCGTACAATGACGTTTGAATATGACAATGTAAAAAAAAAAGCAGCAACAAGGTCAATGGCGTGTTGAAAACAGTGACATTCCCATCGCATGCCGTGGATATTAATGGCCACTAAATTATCAACGACGGGGCATCCGAGCACCGTTTTGGACTGGTCTTGTAATTAGCCAGAGTGGCTGCTCAGGCTGTCTTAGCCTCCTAATAAATCGGTTTAAAAATCAACAGAAATCCTGTTCCGAAAATCCCAGCCACTCGGCAACAGAACTTGTTTTGTCCAGCATCACAATCACGCACTTGTTGCGCTGCCCTTTCGCAGTTGCGATGGAAGCGGCTCATATTGCACGCCCTTCGCCGGCGTATGAATGGTACCACGGAGAGCCGTGCCCATTGACGTGCTCACGGCAATTGTAGGACGTGTACTCGCAAAAATCTCAACTAGCCAGCTGGCAGGCAGTTACTTCTGCCGCTTATCGAAATGAAACCCACTGCATAAATAAAATAAATGGAAAACGATTAATTAACTGTAAATGCGGATAGGTTTTGCATAAACCATGTGATTTGAAATTGGGCAACCAAAGGAAACACCATTGTGAAGCCTGAATATAAACAGCAGAGCAGGTGAAAACAGGATGCACAAGACTGCCAAAGGAGTTTGTGATGTTAGGCAGGCAGGCAGACCCAATGCCCACACAACACAGGCCCGTGCGCGACAGTAAACTCGTGAATGCCAACGGTCCACTGGACATATTTACAGGCTACGCGTAAGAAGCGTGCAGCTCTTTACACAGCAACATGGAGGGGGGGAAAAACAATTATTAAAATTAAGAGGACAGATGCCTCCTACCAACAGCACTCGGCAGATGCTCAAGATTAAGGCCATCAAGTGAATTAACTTCAGTCTAATGCTCAAGCCTGTGACATGTTGCTATGGAGAGAAATCCTATCGTTGATATTTTATAATCTGCCACAGCCAGCAGAGCAGTCAAATCCTGAGCCAGGCCTCCGTCATATGTAGTACAATGCCGAGGCCACCACTATATGTGCTCTGATGGATTGTGTTCACAGTCAAAAGAAGCTCAACATACATATAAATTCATTCAGAGCAAAAAAAGGCACATATGGAGAAAAAATGTTATTGTTACAAATATATAAAACTATTGACACTTAATAAAATGGGAACAGGTGAGAGAATATATGGATGAACTAAAACGTGAAATATCCAAATTATTCTTAATGTAAACAAGTTAATTAGTGCACAGTAAATTTATATACCACCAAGGAGTGAAAGGGCAAAATCATCTAAGGATGGAAATGCACACACAGATCAGGGCATGGCCAAGTGGAAAAAGATAAAAATCCAGGCTAGTGGGGATATATGGATTTCAGCTTACAGAGGAGAAAACATGAAAGGCACCTATCCAATACTGATAAATAATTGGATATAATAATCCTCAGATGTAAAGCATATAAAAATAGGATAACGTTCTTGCATTATTTTTTAGAGTCAAATTTTCTTTCAAATGTCAAAAACATGGAGAAAGCGATGACACCTCACGAGCATGTCAAGCAAAACACACATGTCTCAAACGTGCCTCCTATCGCGCATTCAGGCCCCAATGACCGTTGGGTGGTGCTCACCTCCGTTGGCAGGCTTGAGGAGGAGCTACCAGATCTGGAAATTGCACATTTCCATGCATAGGGTCGTTCTCTCTCTCTGGAGCTAAACCACCGCTGACTTCAGACAAGAAAGTATTTGTTTTATTGGGCCCAGTTAGTCGATCGGCAGGTCGCGTGTGGTGCGGTGAGGTGTGAGTGCTGAAACCTATGCCAAGACTTGTGGCTGTTATGGAAGAGTCGACCAAAATATCTTCTACAGGGACCCTCTAAAGTTGGCTCAAGTAGAGGCCTTTCCGCCAGCAGCACATTTACCCTTTAAAATCTACGGAAAGGATGACCTGATAAGATATTGTCTAAACGTATATAAACCGCATATATATATATATACCAACACTTCAAAATAGTCACACAATCTCACAAAGCACTCACCGTGAGGAAATGAATTCGGCTGAACGAGGTCCAGAAACTTGTGCACCATCAAGAAGAGCGTCCCGATGGCGCCGGCGTCGTAGTTCGTGTCGGTCACGTACGTGGCCGTAGGAACTTGCCCGTAGTCCAGCGTGGTGGACGGCACGCCCGACTGACCTCCCGCCAAGCTCGCCAGGAGGACGAGCGCCAGCAGGAAAAACACCGCCGGGAAAGCCATCACGCCACCGGCCATCGTCGCTGCGGGAAGGCTGCAAACGCTAACGCACAAGGGAGTGGTGCGCCACCATCGTCTTCCGCGCGAAAGCTTCGCACACCGTGCCAGCGAACACGGTCCCAACAACGCTCACGTCCAGATTCTCGTTCTCATCGTACGATCAGATGAATGGTGCGCATACGTTCACATGGCCGTGGCACCTCCCGTAGTCTTGCGGGGTAGCGGGAGTGTTTATATCTGTGACATCTGGAAAGACAATAGCAAAAATTAAGAGGGCATTTTAAACACACACTTTAAACACTTTCACAGGAACGCACATACGCAAAAAGCCGGCTGCCATATACCAGTTCACCGAATAAATAATCTGCAGCTGCACTTAAGAGGAAATCACACCGGGTTATCTGAAAGGTTCACACAGCCAATTACAAGGCACTGGTTGGTTGCACGAATTTTTCCAATCAAATCAGCCACACGGTAATTTAAAGGTTCGCTGATGTTTTAAAATCGTAATATGTTTTGCTTGTTTGGATTGCCATTTGGCTCGCTGGAGGCGCAATTGAAACAAGTATTTTCTATCGCAACGAAAATGTTATTGGCCACTCAAAAGAACGCCTTTTATATACAGTAAAAATATGAGTAAAACACGATTTATGGTTAATAATATTGCAACAAAAGACTACAAATCTATAGTTGCCTAGATTTTATATTAATAAGGTATTTGGCTGCATTCTATTTTCACAGTTAAAACATAACGGTAACATTTAAAGGGCAAAAAGTACATCTGAGATTTGCAACGAAAAATAATCAGATGCTCCGACACGTTTTATCAGTATTTACAAGAACATCTGCAATTACTTTATCACATTAGCTGGGGCCGTGCGGCAAAGGAGATGTTGCATCTTAGCGGTGTAGTCCTGGATAAAGGATAAGAAATTAAGAAAGTTAATTGCTCGTATTGCCTTATAATTACGATTTAAATAGTGTTTGAGATGATGTACGACACCAACACGTCCAAATCCTGCGTTAAACGTTTATTTTTTTATCGTAAACAATAACCACCGGCTTTAAAAAATGGTAAAGCCAACACCGCGCACAAGTAAAAAAAAAGAAACGCATGACCATGCACATACTTCTCCACTGATGACTTCAAATGACAGCACACAACTGCGATGAATACAAATTCAGCTGAATGCACAATCGCGTGCCTTTGAAACATTTGCCACTGGCTCGTCTAACAAAGTTTGCTTTCCCGAGTTGTCGATCGAACTTTGCGTCTGATTTGTGATGCATGAACGCGCGCCTGAATTTGCGTTTATTATTCTTATCATTATTATATCATGCAGGTTGCTAGTTATAATAATAATAATAAAATATGCATTTATATTCAAACTTGACTGCTTGCTTGCATCAGCAGTAGTCACAACACTGGCATGGCTTGTTGTTTGTTACAGGTGAAAGTAAAATGTTTCGTCTCATCGCATTATAGACCATGTACGTTCAGTCAAAGGCCACTGTCAGACAATGTCACAGCCAATACTGAAACGCTGCCTATTCATTGACGCAATATAACCTGCATAACACCTAAAGATACACGTGCAATGTGATTGATAAAATGAAATTTAATGGGTTTTTTACCACTGACAAATGTATGTTTAAGTTCCTGATGTCATGACAAAATGATCTATAACATAACACAAAGCAAGCACGTTTGGCTTTGTTTAAATGTGAAAGCAATGACATTTATTTGCTCTCGTGGAATATTCTTCGTGATTACCTATTCGTTGGTTAGGCATAGGTAATACTGAAAGAAAATTACATACTGCAAGGGTTAAAGCACTAGCAAAGGCCCCCATGGGGAGACATTTTAAGGAATATTTAATTGCAGAATTTGTCAAATTCTCATCAGCATGCCTAATCCACAAACACTCCAAGTACCATCAAGATTGCAGCAGGCTGGGCTGGCAATTCCCACCCCCCCTCCTCAAATCAAATGATTTTCTGTGCAGTGAGTCATTTATTAAAGTCAACATTTTAGCCAATAAGCCTTCATCAAAATCTGTCAAGTTGAGCGATTACTTTTCCTCCTTAGTTGTGTTTATGTTCCAATAACAACACCCTGTGAAGCTTGAGCAGTACGGGCTGCCCTCCGCCGAGACGCATATTATTATTATGCCAGGCACTATCCGTGTCCCCCAGGTGCCTAGAGGACAGGCCAGGGTCGAGCTGCAGGGTACATTGCCAGGCTCCAGAGAGCTGAATACACAGATCCAGCAGGCACTGCAGATGCACCTAGAACGTCCTAAGAGGAAGGAATAGAAAGGCCAAAGGCCAGCCAATTGTCGTGCCACCAAGACCAAGTGGGCATGGAAAGAAGCCAGTTCATCTCCCTCCTCCTCTTCTTCCTCATCATCATCATCAACCTCCTCCCATCCCTCAGTGGAGAACTCGACAAAGGAGGGGGGAGTGCTTTTCTCCCCCATTTGAGTCGGATGAAACGTTCCCTCGGGAATTCCCCCAGAGAGACCGCAGGAAACTAAGGAGGAGAGTTATGTCAACCCTGCAGTTGGAGTTTAAGAAGCGGAATCAATTACCAATTAGCTCGACGCCTGCTCACCACATCGCCCTTAAAAAAATATTTCTTTGAGATGGCAACACTAATCCCCAACAGGATGTTGCAAACATTTCAGGCCCGCAGTGCAATATTCCTAGAACTGCCCCTGATAACATCACTGCCTCATATACAATGCCACGACGGCAGTGCGCACAGCTTTACATTTACTGCCCGGAGTGCACAAGTGGCAACGCGCTGAGACTTTGTCTTGAGCTCGTTATTGTAATTGGACTGGGCGGAAAGTCGAAATTATTCAATTCAGCCAACGCGGGGGGGGGGGAGATGCTGTGGAAATAGCTGAGACATAAAAGATTTGTTTTCAACATTGGCCTCCGCCATCGTGAACTGCAGGCCCTTGGGTGCAGATTGGGGCGAGAGATAATTGAGAGATAATTGACTTCAAATTTACAACATTTAATCATATCTAACAGTTGTTAAAATGCATCGTGGCCAAACATATTGAACACAAATGGAGACTTCCACTTCGAAAGGGATGGTGCAATCCAAATAAAAGCTCCGTTTTTTCATAAATTTCATCCAACAAAATGCAAATTAAAATACAGCTATCGAACTCAATAAAACAGCAATTAAAAAGGTTGTCACTTGTTGGAATGACAGAATGCTTGTATAGGCTGTCCCTGATTAAACAAAGGTCGCTAATCGAGGACTACACATGCGGCGTGCAGTGGTATTAAACTGTGCATTTGTTGAATGAAAAATAGAAGAACAAATGACAACACGAACATTCGTGTGGGATTTGGGCACTGACAGCAGTAAACAGATGTGATATTCATGGGAACCTTACCGACGTTGATATGCATGGGCTCTGGATCATTTGGACAAAAAAAATATTGTCCACACAGTGTAAGCATATGTTCACCTATAGACACTACTAAAAGTACCTACTCTTTGCCATTGTATAATTGTATAAGAGATGCTGCATATAAGCAGTGTACTTGCAAGCTACGTAGTAAGCAACTTCAGTTTTTGTGCAAGCCTCTACTTTTTATCAGCCACAACATTAGAAAGGGCCAGCTACACAAAGACAAAGATCCCCCACGTAGCCTATACAGACTGTTGGGGAAAGTGTTGTTAGCGAGCTGGTACGGTACACAAGAGGGTGGTGCGGACAGCACCACGCCCGGCCGCCTTTGTCTCCCCAGTGGTGAACTTTGCACTCTTCACCATGTACTCATTCGACCTGCTCGCCACCGATGTTGGCCGTGAGTGGGAATTGAACTCGGGTCAATGGGTTCGTGACAACGCGATCCCAGTCGGACTCCCACTCGAGATGAAACACGCAATTATCTACCACCAAGGTGATACTCCCACAACACTGTACGCTCCACTGTGGGGAGGAGAGGGGTATTCATCTCCCCAATGAGCACTGTGTGTGTGTGTGGACGCGGTACCAGGCGCAGAAACAATGCATTATCTTACCTTGCATTTTCCATATAGCAACGCGGCTAACGATTGTGCACCTTTATACAATATATACACAAGCATCTTCCCAAGCAGACTGATAACTTCAGGTTTGATCTTTTTGGGCAGTTTCTCAAGGCATTCTGTTTCTCTGTGCGTTGGATATTATTCCTGGGTATTTTGCGCCACCAGATACTCCACCCCCTCAGCTCACCATTGCTTATAGAGTGGAGAATTTCCCATACCTGGGCAGCGTGCTTATGACCAGCTCCGGTTTGAAAGCAGAGATCTCACTACGAATCAATCGGGCGGCATTATCTCTTCATCGGCTGCGCAATGCTGTCTGGAAGCTACCTGGTCTGTCGCTCCGCACGAAGCTTCGGGTCTTCTCGGCCAGTAATGTCCTCCCTTCTCTATGCTTATGAAATGTGGGCCCCTTTACTGTAACATCTGCGCCGGTTAGAAACTTTCAGGCTGGCATGCCTATGATCCATCCTGGGTTTAACCAGGCTGGATTATTTGATGAGCTCACAAATCCTTGAAAGATCTGGACACTTTCCCATCAGTGAGCTCCTCCGGCAGGCAAGGCTGCATTGGCTGGGTCATTAAGCCCGCATGCCTAGCCACCACATGCCCAAATAGCTTCTGTTTGGCTGCATAGAGGGGGTTAAACGGGCATGACTTGGGCTGGAGAAGAGATGGACTGATGCAGTACAGGAGGATGTGGAGCGGAGTGAACTTGGCCTCTATGGAGGAGGCTCGTGAAGGACGCTACTGGGAAGTTGGAGACAGTCGCTCTCCAGCAACAACGGAGGGCAGAGGAGCGATGCTCACAACAACAAGTGGAGCGCCAGGCGGCTAAAATTCATCAAGTTGGCACAGTACCGGTCATCTCAGTCAGCCAACCCATGGCACCTGGGTCTGTCCCAAGAACTCCTGTCAGCGAGCACGTGGCCTCAAAGTGCACCTGGCCTCAAAGTGCACCTGGCCTGACACAGACGCCGTGGTGACATCACCGTCACTTAGTGGCAAATGGCGGGTATTGGTATTGGTTGGATATTATAGAAAAAATCTCCAGTGCTATATGTCAAATGTAGGGTGCAGTGATAGAACAGTGGTTAACGTGCTGCACTATGAACACAGCCACCCGAGTTCGATGCCCATCCATGGCCACCCGACATCCACGGCTAACATCAGTGGCAGTTGACATATG